TCACTTTTTGTTTTATTATTCATATTTAATTTTACAATAATTTAATGAAAAATAATAAACATTAACAGTAAAACAAACAAATTAGTGTTTATTATAAATAAATTAAACCAGTTTGGTACGTTAATTTCTTAGAAAAGGATTAATTTGTCAAAACAATACCCCTAGCGAGAAAAAATCGAACTAATTACTTGCCTCATAAAAAATTTTATCGGCCTAGGCCATAACAAGTTATTTCTTTATCGAATGTTGACAACAATAAAGTTTAAATTATAGACCGCGTGGAGAATTTTTTAGTCGTGTGCTAACATTCAAATTTCGTACTCCCAACATGAGAAACACAAAAATATGACAGTTTTAAACCATAATATTGGAATTATAACAACAAATAAACAATTTATGTTTTTACTTTTTTACTTTTTATGTTGTTTTAAGTGTTTAATGGTATTTATCTCCACGCGGTCTATAATTTAAACTTTATTGTTGTCAACATTCGATAAAGAAATAACTTGTTATGGCCTAGGCCGATAAAAATTTTTATGAGGCAAGTAATTAGTTCGATTTTTTCTCGCTAGGGGTATTGTTTTGAAAAATTAATCCTTTTCTAAGAAATTAACGTACTAAACTGGTTTAATTTATTTATAATAAGCACTAATTTGTTTGTTTTACTGTTAATGTTTATTATTTTTTATTAAATTATTGTAAAATTAAATATGAATAATAAAACAAAAAGTGAGGTTAGGACATTACAATTTGACGTTTCTGTGGATTTCACTGATGTGTTTTCTTTTTCTACGATTTAAATTATCTTTAAGTTTTAATTTGCTTTAAGTTTTCAGTGAAATTAAATGTTAAACACAGCGTAAACATTCCAAACTACCTATTTTTTTAATAAAAATGCAAACAAATTGAAGTTAGATACCTATTTATTAAACAATTAATTGAATTCAATGTAATAGCAAGACGGTAAGTAAACCATTTTCTTACAAAAATCCATTTCTACTTAAATCATGTAGCTAGGTATTGTCAAACTATTGCTGCTTCTAAAAGGAATAATAATTATTGTACATTTAATGTAATCTTTAGCTAATAAATAAATGACATTCTAAAAAAGTGAGGTTATACCGCTTTCATGTTGAATTAAATTCACCTATATAAAGTGCTTTGAAGATAAAATGTTGTATGCCATTCGGCCAAGAAGTGTCTTTTTGTGCTTCGCTCAATTGTAGGCCTCCGCTACGCGTCGGCCTTCAAACTTTGAGCTTAGCACAAAAAGCCTTACTTCTTAACCTAATGACATAAATAACTATTTTATTTGTTATAAAGTAGTAATTTGTTAATTAAAATACAACCTTTTATTTTTACTGTATTGGCACCGCTGAATTCACGGCCTACTGTTATTTATTTATCAAGCTCTTCAAATGGAGATAGGTACATAAATACACATTTAATTTTTTCCCGTATTTTCGGCCGGGTTGTATTTTCGGCCGAGGTAGTAAGAAAAATAGTATACACTACACGGGCAGAAAGTGTGAGAGCCCTGAACTGCACGCCATCATGGCGCGCAGTGCAGGAATCTCACACTTTCTGCCCTTGTAGTGTAATATACTATTTTTTATTTTTGAGTTTTTATTTCACTTATATATCAAACGACGGAAAATTATTTAGAATTCTCGTTATAAATTTGAAACAAATTAAAATTTTTACGAAAACCCTTGAATATATTTTAATTAACAGATAATTGTAGAAAATCTTATGAAATCGTTTGAATTTAATAAACCGGCACTTTAATTACTCTTAACCAAAAATAAAATATTACATTTCAACACTTTTATAAAATTTAATAATTTTTAAAGTTATTAATAAATATTATGTATTTTTTCTACTCCCACCTTTAAAACGCCCTTTATCCATGACACTAAGTGACCTTTTAAATACACATTGACAAGTTGTGGCTTTATGGCGCTTTAGTCACGGGCTGAAGTTAGCAACAGGTTTTTAGTCACGGGCTGAAGTTAGTTTTAAGTTAGTTGACAGTTGTCAAATGTCATACAATCGTTAAAATAAAGTGCCTTTCTTGTAAAATAATACTAAATGTGAAAATTATTTTATTATCTCAATATAAAAATACAAAATATTAAATAGTTTCTCAACGCCAATATTTGAAAAGTTTATATGAACATTGTACTGACCTTTTAATTTTGCCGGCAGTAAACTATAACTTAAATTCGGGCACGGACTGCACTGTCAAGTGCTCATAAGACATTTTCTTTACTTTCACTGTGAAAAACTGACAATTTTCAAGAAATACATTTCGATTTATAACCTTTATAATCTGTGTTTATAAAATATAAAAATTTGACATTTGACGGTGACACACAGATTCCCCTATTGTTTCATAGATGGCGCTCTATACAAATTATTGATTTAAATCATTTTAAGATAATAATAAGTATTTGTCGTAGAAAAAGTATAGTATGCACCTCGTTTATAAACTTTTCTATACATTCATTAATTTAAGCACTTGCTCGCAAGCGTTTATCAAACTTGATACATAATATACTATTATCTACACCTACATTGATGAGCTGTGACTTTATGGCGTTTTAGTCACGGGCTGAAGTTAACAATAGTGGCTTTTTGACATTTTAGTCACGGGCTGAAGTTAGCTTTATTATAAATGAGAGAAAAGTGAGGTTAATTAAAATTTGACAGATGTCAAATGTTTAACAAATAAAATTGGATTTAAATTCTTCTTTGTGGTCGTCGTAGATAAAGTATAGTATGCAACTCGTTTTATAAACTTATCTAGATACTCGTTTTTATTAAACACTCGCTAATAAAACTCTAAAATGGCGTTTATAAAACTTGATACATAATATACTATTTCGAATATCACCATTTAAAAGGCCCAACACCGTACATATTTACACATTGACAAGCTGTGACTTCATGACGTTTTAGTCACGGGCTGAAGTTGGCTTTAAGCTAGTTGACAGTTGTCAAATGTCATACAATCGTCAAAATAAAGTGCCCTTTTTGTGAAATAATACTAAATATAAAATTACGCTTTAGTAAATTGTTTATTTAATTACCTACCTAGTTTTTCTCGTATAATATTTGTATACAAAGATCAAAATATAAAAAGCGCGTTCAAGGTTTAAAACAACAACATTGTGTACCTACATAAAACACTTAAAATTTTCCTGTTAATCCTCCATAACATCATTATTTTGCGAAAAATAAAATATAGAAATAATTAGGTGCATTTAACTTGAAGAAAAAAGGATAGCATGACACGTTGTGAGCCACTTGACTTCATTTCTTGCTTGTTGTCATGTTCAACGTGTTTTAAATGCATTTTTATTTTTAAGTACTTAAAAGGTCACAAATGTATTTTTTATAAAAAAAAACAATAAAACATCGCAATTGCAAGCAAGCTGTCACACACATCTGCCAGATACAAAAAAGTATTGAAACTTTATTTTTTTATTTTGTCTTTATTTATTTATTTGATTAGATCCTATTGAAAAAAAGTATGACAAAGACAAAAAAATATCACAAACTCCAAAGTTATAATTTGCAAATTAATTACAATAGAAGAATATAACACAGGTTACTACAAAAATTTTGTAGACCTTTATAGAAATGAAGAAATGAGTTAAGGAATCCTACAAAATAAAGGAATTTGTAAAAATTATAACAATTCATAAAAAACAATAAAAAAAAATATTCACACATAAAAGAACAAAACAATTCGAAAACATTGTTTAAAAAAGTCGTAAAAAATGAAATAACGTGAAAAATTGAATATAAAATAAATTTCAAGATTTAAGGTTTTTTGTAAAATGTTAAAACCTGTGCATGTAGATAAGTAGGAAAATCGATAAAATTTACAAATATGATCAAATACCTATTTAGTAAATTTTTAATTTTGAAAAATTTTAAAACTTGCGCCAAAAGAAGTAATACAAAATAATATGTCCTTATAACATCTTAGAATGAAAAAATTTGAACAAGACAGGTAAATTCGATTTAACTATTATGGGTACAACACAAAAGGTATATTTCGCATTCAAATATCAAAAGCTTTAGGTTTACTTTGTAGTCGGTAATTATTTTAATAATTTACTTAGCAGTGCATATGGGTACGACAAAATTTTAAAGCTGGAAGCTATCCAAAAATAAAAATTAACTAGGTAACAAACAAGTAAGGTCTTTGTAAAACGCGTTTGTTTTTTATCAAACATATTGAACAATCAATATTCCTTTAACCCTTTGATGCAATTGCAAAGGAAACACTTAGTCACGTCTGTTTAAGAAAAAATGACTTCAAACAAAAATGTATTTTAAATTAATTATAAGAGTAATATTCGTCTTTAAATATAAACAAATATAACAACGAAACTCGAGATACCGGATTTTTTTTTCGTTATAAGGAGTGAGTAGTCAAATATCATCAATACAAAATTAATTCTTAAGATTCAATTTAAAGGATTTATAATAAGAAAGAATAACAAATAATTCAAAGAAATAAAGATTAAGTTTATTTAAAAAAATGATTAGAGGTTTCACGTTTTTTCTTTTCTTAGGACTGATTAAAAAATTTCAAGCGTATAATAATTTTCATATTATAAGTTATAATTTATAACACTTATAAGATTATTTTAAAAGACTTTATATTTTTACACAGTTCAAAAGTCAAATTATCATACACCGCCATACAATAATGAAAATATATTGAAATTACATAGGAAGAGCGGTTCCATCTATCGCATTTTGTAAAATTACAACTCCCTGTAAAATAAATTCATACACATAACCTATAATGTCAAACGTTAATCTAAGGCAAACGAATTCCAATTCAAGTGCAAACACTGAGTTTGGCTATAATATAAGCGCTTTCTCCTCCTGTTAAATAATGTACTATTCTTCATTTATTGTTTTAGCAGTACCTATCCATACATAGGGTAAAATATGCGAGTAAAAAAGGTGTCACTTACCAGTCCGTGATTAATAAATCCATGATCGTTAGCTACTTCGTCGGCCACATCTTGGCCACCGTTAATATGCACAGCCCATTGATGTGTATAATGTGCACTAATTAAATTTTGAAAATTGATCACCATAAACAAGTACAAAAATAATTTCATCGTCATTTAACGCCGCGCCGACGTTTCTACTAATTCGCTAATTAAAAAATTTCCTCAACTATATCGTATAGAAAAATTGGTTTCGATCTGAAAACAAAGAAAATACATTTAAAACATATCTTATCTTGAATTTTATTATCTATTTTATAGAGAGTAACTTGTGGCGTTTAAAACAAAATAAGTTACCCCCTAAAAGGATTTTAATACTTCATTTAACACCCTCCTGCAAGTGGCCTGAATATAAATCGAGTAACTTTTAATAAAATAAGTTTTTACACGAACTGAGCTAATTTAAAAACGTGAAAATCAGTCAAAGGTTGCATGTTTTAACACGCGACAAAATATCTCAACAAAGCGTTTTTTACTTCTTAGTTAGTAATTAGCAAAATCAAATTAAAATCTGTTTTTAAACAATTAATTAATCAATTACATCCTTTTGAGTTATACAATATTTTACCAAACATACCTATTCAATAATCATTTGTGTTTTTAACAGTAAAATTAGCACAAATCAGATAACAAAAAATAAACTAAAAATTGTTAATCACTTGCTTAAATATAAAAATTAACGGGTTCTTAAGTAAACTGTTTATTTTTATTACAACGAAACTATTTTATTGTAAACTGTTTCATTAAACCATTAAAATACAAGAAGCCAGCATTTATTTTACACCACAAATCGTCATTACATTTTTTTTAAGTCTTATTTGTATAAATGAATAAACACAAATAAAGAAATAAATTATGCACTTACCTACAAACAACAATACAGACTGATTTTAATGTGAGTTACTGAGATATATAATAATTCCCCTTTTTAAAGATATAAAAATTTAATTATCAACCATTGGTTCTACGAAATATTATTCATATGGAATAAATAATAATTATAACAATATGTCCCAAAAACTCTGATAAAAATACTTTTTATTTATAATTTTTGAAGGTTATTTGTAAAATAGCTGTCCCCTAATAAAAATAAGATACGGTGGTTCAGACAATTGCTGAGCAATCCAGGTAACAAATTATTGTTAAAATCAACAGTTAAATGGCAAACTATCTATACCTGACATTGATAATTACGTTCACTTTAATATTTTAGTTAAGAAAATAAATAATTTGTGGAACCTTTATGCAAATGAAAACAATTTTTAGATTTGTTGGTAAACAAAAACTTAATTATTAGGGGTATCTATGTAAATGGTAAATACCGATTTAAGTACTTACAAAACAGAATTTGTTTGAGAAATGCAGCATCCTACTCTTATGACGATTACATAGACTAAATTATATACAAAAGTATACGTAAGACTAAAATTTACCATTCCGTAATTGAAGCAATGTCATTTTAGATTGTCACTTATAAACAGAAACCACAAAATAAATCACATGTGCGAAAACATCAGTCGCACCCGTAACACCACATTTCTCTTCGAAAACAGACTGATCAACTAAAGCATTTTGTGTGGTAACACTGTCTAGTCTTATTCACGAGCGTCTAGCCGTCACACCTAGAGGAGGAAATCTGATTAAAACGATGCTGCCCTCTATGGAGCCATTCGCGTATTTCTCAACAGTAAAAGATTCTAGCAGGATCCTGTACACTAAAACCGTTTTAGTAAAACGTCATAAATTGTCGTAGGTCAGGCACAGATTATAAAGGTTAGGTCAGGTAAAAACATGTCGAAATAATGCCTCCAGAAAGTTTTTTATGTGATATGTGTGCAAAGACTTTTACTAAAAAGTTTAATTTATTAAGACATTTTAAATTTATTCATAGTGCTCAAGAAAATCAAAATCAGGGTAGATTTACTTGCTGCCATTGTAATAAGGAGTTTAACAAAAAATTCAATCTAGTTCGACATATAGAACAAGTTCACCGTTCTCAGCCCAAAGAAGTAATAATTTACAATTGTCCAATGTGTACTTTTAGTGGACCCAAAGTTATAATTGTCAGTCATTACAACATTGTTCATGAAATAAATATTTCTACGAGATTAACTAGTTTCTTAACGGTGGCAGATTTTGAGAAGTGGAAAGATGAATTAGAAACAGAAGCCTGTTCAAAACACATAAAGCACAGAGTAAAAGAATCCCAGTATAAAATACAATATTTCTATCGCTGCCATCGTGATGGATTTTATAAACCAGAGGGAAAAAATATACGCGCCCTCAAAATCATGGGAACCAATAAAATTAATGGACACTGCCCTGCCAAAATTATAGCAACAGTTTGCAAAAATACCGAAAAAGTCTCTGTTCAGTATTGCAATAGTCATGTTGGGCACAAACTGGAAATAGGCCGACTAACCTTATCTAAACTGGAGCGACAACAAATTGCTCAAGAAATTGCTAAAAAAATTCCTTTTAAAGAAATTTTAAATAAAATAAGGAACTCTATTTCTAATTATGATATCTCAAGGCTACACTTATTGACAAGAAAAGATTTACTTAACATAGAAAGCATGTACAATCTTAATAATGATGCCATACGTGACGCAAATGATTATACTAGTGTTGATGCATGGGTGAAAGAAACCCAGGAACATAGTGGAGATTCTATAGTCAGATTGTATAAGAAACAAGGAGTTTTTGATGACAACTTTCCTACTCTGCAAAAAGATGATTTTCTGTTGATGATTATGAACGTGTCTCAGATTGAAATGCTCCAGATGTATGGAGGTGATTGCATTTGTATTGATAGTACCCACGGAATGAACCCCTATGACTTTCAATTAAGTACTTTACTAGTTCTTGATGACTTAAGACAAGGATTTCCATGCACATTCATATTTAGCAATAGAACCGATGAAACATTATTCAAAATCGTGTTTGATGCTATTGCGCATGCTTTGGAACACCCCTTGCACACAAAAGTTTTTATGTCGGATTTAGCGCAATCTTTCTATAATGCTTGGCAATTATCAATGGGCCCAGTTGAAACTAGAATTTTTTGCTCTTGGCATGTGGACAAGGCTTGGAGGAAAAATATTAATGAGAAAATTGCTAATTTAGAAGATAGAGTTGAAATATACAAGGTGGTGAGAACTTTACTGGAAGAAACAGACCAAGTTGCCTTTGAAAAATTATTATTTAAAGCTGTTAAAACCATGCTAAGGAATCCAAACACATACGAATTTGGAAAATACTTTGAAAATTACTATTGTGCTAATAAGATGTCATGGGCATACTGCTACAGATTATATTCAGGTATAAACACCAATATGCACCTAGAAAGTATGCATAAAGTGTTAAAATATATTTATCTTGAAGGAAGAAAAGTAAAAAGACTGGATAAAGCTGTGCATGCTATTCTAAATTTTATTCGCGATAAGTTATTCGACAGGCTTATAACTTTAAACAGAGGTGAGTTGATTTTATGTATTAATGTGGGTATATATTGTGCAATTTTTAGGAAAATTGACAAAAAAAATCTCTGAATTACGAAAAAGACATAAAAGAGCAACTGAAGTCAAAGATCAATGCATAATAATGGAAGATAATGGAACATGGACTGTATCATCTGCTTCTGGTGCAGACATATACCAAATAAAACCATCTACTACTAATTTTATATGCAACTGCAACATAAAATGTACCCAATGTGCTATTTGTATCCATTCTTATCGTTGTTCTTGTCCAGACTCTTCAATTTCGTGGAATATGTGTAAACATGTTCATTTATTGGGGATGTTTCTCAAAGGACAACTTAGTACAATTGAAGAAAGAGAAGATATTGGTGACATGGTAATTGATTGTGATCCCAGAACAGTGGAGGAAAATATTATATTGAAGTAAGTGAAACATTTTTTGATTGAAACTATACATTACAATTACTGTTTTTAAGGTCCCTCAAAAATCCTTTGTCGAATGAATCTCATGACTTAAATAATAATGTGGATGCAGCAAAATCTAACACAATAAGACTATTTAATGAAATTATGTCTATGGTTACAACTGTTGAAGAAAATAAGTTCGTGGAAAAGGCTTTGTTGCCACTGCCCCATGTTTTATCTAGCAAATCTTATGGCAGCAATGTTTTTATAAATACTGACTTTTGTCAAAGAGAACCTTCAAATAAACATATTGAACCCCAAAGAGGAAAAAAACGAAAAAATGCTTTAGGAAATACAAATCAGTTAAGTGAAGATTCAGAAAGGGTGCCGGAAAAGGAGAATGAGCCTAAAAAGAAATTCATCTCAACCAAAAACAAAAAATCTACAAAAAAATTAAGTTTGAAAAAACCATCGAAGAGTGAAAAAAATAATATTTCAATAAGTTTATTTCATAATGCTGATGCCAAATAATAATTTATTTGATTTTCCTTTTATGTAGGTATAATTAGTTTGTGATACAAAACCAAATGTTTTATTTTATAATGCTGATGCTAAATAATAATTTATTTGATTTTTCTTTTTATGTTTAGTGCAATAATTATTAGTATGTGATGCAAACCCAAATGATTTATTTTTTATGTTTAGTTCAATAATTATTATAATAACTATAGTTTTTGATGCAAATCCAAATGATTTAATTTTTCTTTAATTTAACTGAAATAATTAAAAATTTATTTACACATAAGATAAAACTCTTTACCTGTACTTACCTACCTATACTTTAATAAAAATTCGTTTAAACATTATTATTTATTTATTAAAGAACATGATCCTTTTTCAAAATTATAGATCTTTTTATCTTAAACTAACTTAAAAGTAATTGTCATATTTATACATTATTATGTAGATTCTTACCTAAACTGAATTACCAATTTAAAAAATATACCTACTTACAATAAATACCTACTTGATAGGTATAATAAAACAAAAACAATGTGTATATAAACTTATTTTAAATTTTTACATAAACCGAATCAAACGAAACAGTTACAATTCCAAATAAATGCCTTCTTGTGTCAACAATATTTTGTGTATTATTATACATATAGATAATGCTGCATTATTTATGCACATATAATTTGTGGAAAAGTCGTAGTTCACATTGCATTTTAAAAAATGATTAATTAACCCGGTTTTTAAAATCTGTACGTAAAAATGTATTCTATTTAAGTAAATATGTCATTAACTAAATACCTTGTGCATTATTTTGTAAAATAGCATAATTTAAGAAAATATCATACAATTATATTCAATGGGAATTCTTGGATGGTAAGGTTATAAACGTAACTTTGTACTTAATTTTTAAATTCTTCGTATTTCCTTATAGTTGGTAACATCACTGCAGTGCACATGATCATTTATTTTTTCCCGCGTACTTTTAAAAGTTCGACTTCAATCGTAAATATTCGTTTTACTTCGTTTTGATATTTTCCTCCTCTAGGTGTGACGGCTAGACGCTCGTGTCTTATTCGAAGCGCGCAGGACCGGCACCCACATTTTTCAAACCCAAATTACACTGTGCAACACAAAATTATAGTCGGGTGAAAACAACTTATCCTTTAGAGGACTTTAGGAGCGGAGCTATAAACAATTAAAGTTTATAAATGTATTTAAATTGACAGGACTCATCTGATTTAATATATGCGTCTGTATCTTTTTATAGCAGGTACTTGGAGTCAAGCTCATGCATGAGACATGTCCGAGAATTGAATTGAACAAATAGCAGAACGTCGCTTAGAATAAGAAACGTCGACCCATCGATCATTTACTCAACGGTTCAATTCAATTCTCGGATATGAGCATAAGACATAAGTACCTGCTAATACCAGGTATAAAAAGACGTTCAGCAACTCCATGGAGCCTACACAAGGAGTCCGAACTGTATAAAAAAATCTATTTAGAGGGCAGGTTTTTTATTAAGTTCGGGCTCCTTTTGTGGGCTTCATCTTCCTAAATATTTTTCCATTATACGAGGTAATTTTACAGAAAAAAACTAAATACGAACCTGTTGAATTGAATAAATAAAATATGCTGTTGTCAATTTCAATTAAATGTGTTTGTTTAAATTTGAAATTGTTTTTAAATAAAACAATTTTACTTTATTTATTGTATATTTATTAAAGTAATAATGCAAAATAAAAATATGGTACCAAAGAAACAGTTTTAAAAAAAGTATAGTGATTGTATCACATATTAATAACAATATCACATTTTAGTCAAATTTAGTATGCAATAGTATTTTTTTAAATAAAATTCACTACACATTTACAACATCACAGTGTTACATACATCAGGTCAAGTATACCTACATGTGACAGGATAGTCAACTCCGTTTAAAAAGCGTGCCGTATATTCTCCCGGTTCTGGGCGGAGCTTCTCGTGACATAATCTTTTAGCACAAAGATAAAATTAAACGAGTTGTGATTGGTCAGTCAAAAATCGAGTGTGCTTAAGCCACGCCCTCAACTCGAAGAATATACGGCACGTATTTTTACATGGCCAAGCATAGGAATTCGAACATCCTGTCCCAATACATCCTTGCATCAGGTCTTAAATTATTAACATCCATGACAAATTTCGATTTAGAATTTTGTTGTTGTATTATTGCAAGTATTATTTACCAAACGTTTTGTGGCACATAGGGCGACATTTACAAACCAGGCTACATTGATTGGGCTTACATGCCAAAAAAGCAACACACCTATTTATTGATTTGAACTATATTTACTATCAACGGGTGTTGCGTTTTTGCACAAATTATATCTTATTCTAGTATTCAGTCAAAAATTTAAACCATACAATTCCAATCGCACGGCGCATGCGTAATAATAATTGCCCATGCGCCTTGCAGCGACAATCTTACACTTGTGGAATTTAAATGTAAATACTAAAGACTAGAAAATAGTTGAATGCGTTAAATGAGATCATTATCAGACAAAATTTAATTACTAAAATTTAATTAGACATGAGTGCGCTGTGTATCTTATCTAACAATTATTATCATGGGTACGATTATTTTCATTGCACAAAACAACTTTATTCATTTAATTTTCTTTCCTTTTGATTAAACCGCGACGTTTTAAATGCTTCAAAGCGCATTTGGCCGCCGTACATTTGGCAATCCTGTAATTTCGGCCGATACCTTTGAACACTCCGACTCCGAAAATCTCGACGGTCACTCTGACTCTTCGGCCGTCGGCCAATTTTTCCGGTTTACCGAATTTCGCGGTCTCCGGTTCTAATTCTAGTAGTTCCCTGATAGGCGACTTTGGTACTTTATTGCTGAATTGTTCTATTTCGTTTTTCATCATTTGGTAGTAAACTTTCCAGACCGCGTCTAAAGACATGCCGGAGTCGAGGAATATTGCTCCGGCTACGGACTCAAAAACGTCACCCAGTGCTTTCGGTACTTCAACATCTTCGACCTCCTCGCATTCACTTTCGACTACTAAATATAATTCGTCGAAGAGAGCATGGCCACTTTCTTCCTGAAGGCGTATGAATTTCTCTATGACTTCGTTTAAACCTGGAGATAAGTGTTTAAAGTACTTATGGAAGCCATTGCGTACTGCCAATGAGGCAAAAATCGTATTGTTCACGAGGGCTGAGCGAAGATCCGTTAGCGCACCAGGAGAATGCATTCTCCTATCCTCATATAAATGCCTTGTTATCAAATAATCCAACACAGCATCACCAAGAAACTCCAATCGTTGGTAACAATCAGTTAATTGATTGGGAGAATACGAGGCGTGCGTGAGGGCTTGCAGTAAATACGATCTATCTCTAAATTTATAGCCGATATGTTTCTCGAAAACTTCATAGCCATCCAGAAGTCGATCGAGTTGTCCTTCAGGATTATCAACGAAGCGCCTTAGGGGCGAATGCGGTATAAGTACTTCCCCGTAGGTTCCATCACTATTCTGCGGCAATACTCTAATACCCAGCCATGCCATAAACAAATGCGCTCCCCTGGGTCCGCATTCAATCAAATACGCACCGATCAGCGCCTCAACGCAATCGGCAATACTTTTATCGGGTATGCTATGCTGCGTCACCAAGTTATACGGTATAATACTGCTTATAATCGGGTAGGCCTCCCCTTTTTTCCTGACCATACTGCAAATTTCGTCCAGCGTCATGTCCCTTGTCGCCGCCATGTCGGCCATTGTCCAACAATTGGCCGGAAACTGCGCGTCAATCAACGCCTCCTCCAGCTTCTTTGGCACGTAGAAGCACGGCGGCAACCAGTTATCGTGCGGATCGAACTTGGTGGCGATCATGAAATCGCCCAGCTGCTTTCTTTTGCCCAATCTGTATAAATTCAAATTGCTTACTTGTTTTGAACGCAGATGGGATAGTTTGCCTTCATGTACATGTTCGTATTTAGCGTACAAGTAGTTGGTGATGGCGTATTTAAGAAAGGAATCGCCAATGGTTTCCAATCGTTCCAAATTGATGCCATCGTTCGCGTTTGACATTGTTAGAGCTTGTAGTAATACGTTTGGGCTTGGTCCTGGGTGCTCCTGTAAGTCAGGCTGAAAATCGAAGCTGAAGTTCAATGGTTCAGATATGTCGTATGTATTCTTGTAATTCAGAGTATAATCGTTGTACACTTCAGCTACTCGGGTGCATTCAACATATAAAAGCGTACAAAATGTTTCGTCCACATTGACATTAATTTGTCTACTCGTTGAATTTCTTTTTACAACGGCTTTCTTGTATGTTTCGTTGACGGGTATGACGATTCCACTTTTAAGAATATGCTGCTTATTCCTCTCACACGCCAATTGGAATTGTTTCCGTAAATCTTCAGTGTATTCGCTTTCGTCATCATCCTTCCATGCTTGTAGTTCTTCGTACAATTTAAACTCATTATCATCCGGATATTCTTCATCGTCCAAAGCCTCAGCCACATTATCTTTAAACTCAATACGCAATCCACCAAATTGCGATTCTGATTCATCCGACTCCGTCTCATCGGAATCACTGAAATCATCGTCACCATAATTCGAAAGCCAACTCGTCGGTGACGCATATCTAACCAAACTATTCTCAGTAACGCTATCCGAATTGGTGGCCATTTCGTTTGACCACGTCCCGATGCTCCACTTTTGGCGATTATTATCGTCGGCTTCCACGTCATCATCTTGGTCGAGTTTTTCATCGCAAGGCCTGCTTATCTCCTCGATTATTTCGTCACTCTTCATCAACTCATCTAAGTTTAGTTTTACCACTTTGGTTTCCAGCTTTTTCAGTTCTTCCTCTCGAGATTTTTGCAGGACGTCAGATAGACTCCATCCGAAATTCAGAGCTGGCCATTTGAAATCTGAAACAAAATAAAACGCTGAAAATATATGGTTTTGGAAATAAAATGCCATATAACCTGGTTTTAAGTCGAGCACACCCAAATGCAAATCTTGGGCTACAGTTCTTCTAATCTGATCAGTCAATAGCAACGCGTTTATCCTGTACAAAATGCAAGGAAGGCACACCGCTTTCCTCCACAAGGAAGCCGGAAACGGATGTATGGCACACAATTCCGGAATTAAAATCTGCTTTTGCTCCAAATTCTCCCTCTTGGCCCTCTTAGTTTCCTCACTGCTCGTTGGCAAGGCCACACCTTTTCTATTCACGTAGCGCGGCGTCAAAAAATTAAGCCTTGCTGACGTGTGATCGACATCAAGAAGGTGTTGGTGATGGTTTTGTATTTGCAAGCCGTACTTTCTTTTGTAATACTCCTCAAAAGTTGCGTATTCCGAACCAGGGAAAGCCGACTTTGGATGAAGGTTGCCGCAGATTTGGGCTACGTAAAAGTATTGCGGCTGATCCTGGTTTCTGTACCAAGGCATCACTACGGCGTCTTTATAATCATCTATGCGGAATTCGTAGCTTCTTCTGTTGTCGTCGGGAATCAACTCGGGGAGGACGTTCAAATTTTCGTATATACGGTCTATGAAGGGCCAGTCTACATCAAAATTATTGTTTTCTGAAAATCATATTTGCTAATATAAAAGAGTCCTTGTTTGGCAGAAAATTATACTAACCATGTTTGGTTGGTACTATCAAATAATTGTTTGAGGAAGAATTGGGATCAAACAGCATTAAATACTTTTGGAGTCGTAATACACTGGTAAAAGTGTAGTTAACGAATTCCCTGATCTTGCAAATTTGATTTTCACTTAAAATTAAATCATCTTTACAAAGCTCTATGCCCACGCTTACTTCTCCACTTCTTGTAAATATTGGAAATGCACTTATCTAAAAGATAATTATGTAAGTCAAAATAGAACAGCTTGCGCCATTAAGTTGTATTGAATTCATGATTTTATATAGCATATAATGCAAACTAACTAAAATACATCAAAACAAAAAATAATCAAAGTCAAAAAGTACGCTATAATACATATTAAATCGATGTTGTAAAAACAGTTAAGTAGCAGTAAAATTTCAGCGATTATAAATTTTATTGACTATACCTACTCTATTTAAAATTTTAAACATCTTAACATCTAAAAATAAAAGAACAATAAAAAGTAATATAATACAATGTTAAATCAACAGTTTCAAATTTTGGCGTTTATTTTAGTGCTTTATACAAACATGACTCAATCCGAGTCCTCGACATACCTTTGGTATTGGTTTTGAAGTGAGAATGCCGAATCCTTGCGGCGATTCCTCGGGAGGGTAAATTTTGCGTCCCCTGGTATTTTGCTCTTCGGGCAAGGGACAAGTGAGCGTCATGACGATTCTGTAAAAATAGGTTTTTTCGCTGATGGACGGATGGCAGTCTAGGAGCGCATCCGCCATTCGCTTATAGTAATATTGTCTTCGTTTCGTAGTGCCTGGTCTTATTTCCGACGTTTCATCATCCGGCTCATCCAGGGTAAAATTGTTCCAGTCCTCTTCGTTCGCTTTAAAATTCTCCTTTCCGATTGGTTGTAGGTTGTCATCGAATTCACCTGCTTTGTGTAATAGCTGGCAGAGCATGAATGCGGCTGAGGATCTGCTTAGCAAAGCATTCGCACTGGGAGGACTTACGACTGTTTGCTTTACAGGTGAATTTATTGGCAATCTTAGAGAACAAATAAACTTGCCATCTATTTCGTGTTCTTGCCATAAAGGCGTCAGTCGGGTGAAGGTGTCGCTCGGCAGTTTGGCACAATATTTATTAATTAAAGCTATGGCGTTCGTTAAGGTAACATTAGGCGAGCCTTGCTCTTTTAAAGGCTGATATGGCTTACACTTGATTGAATACGCCTCCGCTAACACCTCCTCTTCCACACTGGGCTCCAAACTGGAGCACCTTTTCAGTAAAGTATTTTCCACCTCGTTGTACTCAGCCAAATTATTTACAAACGGCATAAATTCTTCCTCATTCGTGAATAAAATGTAGTGCGCATCGTTCGCTCTCGCTCTAGCTTTGCTTTGTATGTAGCTATGGAAGGTTTTGGGTAAATCAAAACGTATGACCAAGTTGCACTTCGGCAAATCGCAACCTTGTTCGAGAAGCGAGGTTGTTACAAGAATGTTACATTCGTGGCTACGGAATTTACGTAAAACGTCCTCTTGCATTTTATGTTCTTGTTCAGCTTCTCGAATTTCATTGACGGGGTCCGCCACTTTTTCTACAGCGAATAGAGCCGATATCCACCAGTAATGCTCGCTGTCGCACTGGGATAATGCCTGAAATTGATTCAATAAAATACAAATACCACAAATTGCACATGGTCAAAGTTTAAATTATATAATAATAATAATAATTCCAAACGCAAGATTCAAAACGCTTCGATGACCTTGATGAGAGCGCGTGACGTCACGATGATATAATATAATAAAACAAATAAATGTGTCAAGAATTACGAATTACTTCAACATCTGTTTCTATGTTAAAATCAAGGTAAAGTACATACTAGACGTCCGAATTTTAAAAATAAGTTCATAAAAGGTATACTAAAATACACTAAAGAATTTGGTTGAGTTCGAAATTTTTATTTTTGCAATGTATGGTTGTTTTTAGTGACTAATCTCTAAAGTAGAAGAAGTTTCACACCGATTTTCGACATTATATAATGTCCCAACCCTGTCAAGGTTAAAATTAATATTTTTTATATACAGAGTTGGGAGTATCTTAAAAAAAAGATACTTAAAAGTAACTAAGATACTTAAAGTATCTAAGATACTTTATCTTAGATACTTTTTATATTGGACAGAAAGTATCTTTAACTTAGATATTTTGGAAAAGTATCTTGTAACTTGTATCTAAAAAATATCTAAGCTACTCCGTAAAGTAACTAAGATACTTTTTAATGTAACTAAGATACTTTTTAAAGTAACTTAAATACTTTTCAGTGTAACTAAGATACTTTATTAGAGAAAATTGGGGGAATTCCAGAATGATTCAAAGGAATTACCTAACCTACAACTTGAATTTTATAATTTCATAGTTTTTATGCATACTTAAAAGGAACTTAGTTACTCAAAAGTACTTTTTAAAGTATCTTGTAACTCAAAGTATCTAGTTACCAGAGGTAACTAAGTTATTTTGTTTAAAGTATCTTGAAAAAGTAACGAGATACTATTATTTTGAACTCGCGCATAATGCTCAGTGCGCATGCCCGCGCAATTTCGTAAAGTTAAACTGAAAAAAATCTGAACTCAGGGATGCTGTGTTTTTAAAAAACCATAAGTTAATATACAAAATAAAATGTCCGTACCATAAATTCAGCAAAAACTTACACATAACAAGGCAAAAACAGCTTTGGCAGTATATCTATTATTAACAAATACAAGGGCACATAATATTTCTTCAGATGAATTTCTTGGTATGTAAGGCCTCCTGGGGCCTTTATAACCCTTCCCTTTGGTCTTCACCAGATTTGATTCTTGCTCGAAAGATTTTTCGGGCGGTTTTTCTCCTGGAGGCTTAAACTGCATTAGAACCTCCAAAAATTTTAATACTTTAGGTGATGAGTACAATTTAATTTTATCCATTTCGGGAATTTGTTCAAATTCATAATCACAAGCTGCCCTGACATTTATTAAAGTGGTGGAAGTCATACAGTATAGTAAATAATGCCGTTCATATGGGATTTTGACTTTCAGCTTTTCTATTTTTGATAAAATGCTGAAAGCTGCCTTATCGGCGCACCAAGGGCCTAAATCGTCAAGTATACTTAAAAAATTATCTAATAACTCTATTGGTTGTACTTTAGGGTCAGGAACATCATCATAGTCATCTAGCAAATCATCACCATATATTTCACTGGGGTCATAACGGTGATCATTCAAAAAATTCTTTGCTCTAATCACAAGTAACTTTATTGAATCATATAGAGTCAATGACATTGTTTTTGGACATACAATTATAGTTTCTTTGGGTCTGCATGATAGTCTTATTAGAGTGACTATTTCACTTGAGGTATCAACTGTGGAATGTAACAATTTTTCTAATCTATACAATTCAGCTTCGAGACGGTCATGTTGTAAGTCACAGCCTAATAGACCGGTTGTCAAGCCCAACACTCTTACATCTCCTTTATTCACATTTAAATATTTATTCATAATCGAATTAACTAAAACCTGTCTCTTTCCATACAAACAATCATCTATGACTAGCAAATTAAAAAAATTTAGGTCTAAATTATTTTCAGCGTTTAAAAACTCAACGCAATACTCTGCTGTTGTAATAATAACATGATACTTTTTAAATACATCCTCCCAATCAGTGTCATCAGTTTTTGTCATCAAACTTACTACATTTAAATCAGTTAGGAATCTTATATGGCAGGCCATTATGTCAACATTCTGCATGTCCAAAATTAAGAGAGCTCTTTTGCCTTTGGCAGCGTCAAGCCGCATCTGCCATGAATATTCTTGTAGCAGTTTTACTACAATAAAGGCTTTGGACGAGCTTGTGCTTGAACAAACAACTGTATTTTTCTTTTTTGCAGAGTCCAAGAGCTCCACTTGGTATTCCCTAGGTGTAAAAGTATGTGTGTACACATTTTCATTCAAATAGCATGCCATAACAATGGTATATTCACTTTTTATTTACTTATATTTTAGGTTATGGTCCGGTGTATTGTTATTACAAAATTATTTTCTTATCAAAACCAACTTGCATACTACCATTAATGATAAGCAAACCACTAACGCTGATTTCTATTTAGAATTTAAAATTAAAATAAAAAATATTGCATTATTATTACAAATTGACAGTTTAAAAAGTCTAGAAGCACTATGAACAAACAATTAATCCAAAAATCACCAAATTTCCAAAGTTGTACATACACCTAACAGTAAATTTTAGTGTACACTGTAATTTTAGCACAATACCTATAACATTTTAGACAGCCTGTTGTAGTTAAAACATAAAAAACCATTTGTATTTTAAAGGTTTAATATAATTTCTCAATCCTGACATAAATTAAAAGTCAATTTAAACACAAAACCCTTTTTAGTAAAATAAATTGTGTTCACAAGTAGTTAGTGGAGGTTAGCCGAACAGACCTTTTTCGTGCCAACATAAGAAAAAAAATATCAATTTTATGTCAGAAATCTGACAAGGAAATAAAATTAAGTTTAATTTGTCGCATGGCTTATGAATACTTTTCAATTAACTATAATATGTAGAAATATAAGTAAACAAACACAAGTAAGTCAATTTTATCTTAAATTAATCATTTGGGGGTGATTTTTTATCTATGCGTTATCGTTTTAGGTTATTTTTACAACCCCGCCCCATTAAATAAATTGTAGTACAATTTGAAATGATAATACGTGAATAAGAAAAACCGCCTTTTAAAATTTAGAATAATGGCGGTTCCTATTGAAAACAAGAGTACATGTTATTGGTGTTTTAAGGCTGTTAAATGGATACCTGTTTTATTTATTGTAACATTTGTTGCTTGGTCGTACTATGCTTATGTTATCCAGTTGTGTTTTTGTGAGTATATTGACTTATTCCTATGTGTTTGTTTTAAATGCTGGTTATTTTTAGATACGGTAGAAGGCCCAGTTAAAAAGATTTTGTATTTAGTTTTTTACCACTTGTTTTTCTTCATGTTTTCCTGGTCATATTGGCAGACCATTTTCACTGATATAGGAAGGGTGCCTTCTAAAGTAAGTCACTAAAATACTAACTTAATAAACTGTACATTACATAATAGTTTTTTTTAGTTTAAAATACCAGATGCAGATTTTGAAACTGTTATAAATGATAGCAATTCCCTGGAAGTTCAAAATACAATATTAAACAATTTGGGGAGATACCTGCCAATTGTTAATGTGACAGTGAGTGGAGGTTACAGATTTTGTGAGAAATGTAGAATAATTAAGCCTGATAGGGCACATCACTGTTCAGTATGTGGCGTCTGCGTGCTAAAAATGGACCATCACTGTCCCTGGATTAACAATTGTGTCTCATTTACAAACTACAAGTTCTTTGTGCTGTTTTTAGGTTATGCCTTGATGTATTGCTTGTATGTGTCTTTAACCTCTCTCCCTTATTTCATTGATTTTTGGAGGGTAAGTTTTGAAAAATCAATATTTTTGGATTTTGTTAATTTTTGATTTTCTAGGGTGATTTGACAGGAATCGGTAAATTCCACATATTATTCTTATTTTTTGTGGCAATCATGTTTGGGGTTAGTTTAATGTCGCTGTTTTTTTACCACTGCTACTTAGTTAGTGAAAATAGAACAACTTTAGGTAACATATTGGGATATTAACATTATTTTTTACATTAAATTAAACTTTGTAGAAGCATTTAGACCCCCTTGTTTTCGTGGAGTGGGTCCAGATAAATATGGCTTCCATATTGGAAGATACAATAATTTCCAAGAAGTTTTTGGTGATAATTTAAAGACTTGGTTTTTTCCTATAAGCACAAGGTAAGATTCTACTTTAGATATCCTTTACTATGGGTCACATCCCATACCATATTGTGGAGTGACCCCTATTACTTTCCTTTATTTTTTGTCCAACATTTTTATTTATTTGATACACCAAATCAAGACCTTATTGCATAATGAATTTAGTCACTGTTTTGTCAGGTAAGAAGCATAGTTTATGTTAATGCAGCTTTTTACATATAACAAAATAAAATAATAATAAGGTTTAATAAAAATGCTCAGGTAAAATAAAATTAGGAGAAAGTTAAAGGATTAAAAGATTGCAAAGAAAAATGTTGTGGTTTTTGTAGTTCAGGTGATGGTATTGAATATCCATTAAGGTCGTTACTTCAAGGCAGTACTTATCATTCAATGGACAACACACAAAACAGGTTAGGAGGTACCATTGAAGTATGATTGCTATTTAGCAGAAAAGTTTTGTTTTTGCATTATAAGTATAATTTATTGTCATTTAAATGTGATATTTAACTTAATTGACTAACATTTTTATTTTTCTTAACTTTAACTTAAAAAACTAACAAATGAACTTGGTTGTGTCGCTATTTAAATAAGTAGAGTTTTTGTGCATGTAAAAAGCTTCATTGCAGCTGAAGATAGACAAAATATACTGATACATTTATTTGAAACAGCACAAGAGACATTGAGACAGAAACAAGCAAGTTGAACCCAGTCCAAACTGAGATTTCAATACTCTAGAAAAAATTACAAATTACTGTACTTACACTACCTAATTATTGTTAACGTTTTATTTTTTAATGAAAATAAATAATTTTATATTTAATTTTGTTTATAATTTTTCATCCTCCATTATGTTTTGAGCCTTATTGGTAGAATAGAGGCGTTGGTACCAGCATTTATAAGGGTGTTTTTATCTAATAAAAAATTGGCCTTACAGGGTGTTTAGAAAATAGTCTCTTGTGCTTTTTTGCTTTACATCAAAAAACTAAATTATAGTATACAGGGTCTCTTATATTTTTAATACACATCCCGTGAAACAATAAAAGCTCATATGGTATTTTTCTTCAATTTTACCACACGTTCTGAAAATTGAAAATTGCGACCCTGTATAAATACCCTATTTTTCATTATGTAGTGCTATAGTAAATAATAGAGTATTTTCTGACACCTGTATTTAAAAAGCGCTAGTTAAAATTAGAATTAACAGTGAATCAAAAAATGACAATTTAAGATTGACCTGTTATAACTGAAAAAAGTGGGCATCTTATTGAAACAATTTGACTATATCTTTCATACAAAATTTTCAAAAATAAAAAGTTGCCTTCTACAACAAATTGTTTTATTTTTAATTATTTTTTTGTATAGTCTGGGCGATGGCATAAACTATCCTCAAAGAAACTTGGATGAAGATAGAGAGGGACTTTTATATGGTAATAGTTTTGAAGAAGACACATATAATGAGTATTATCACCCATAATGTGTTGGTTCTTGTCACCTCTTGTGAGAACACCAAGTTTATAAATTTTATAGACTAGCTGTTTTAAGTATAAATGCATTTTTTATGTACATAATAAGTAAGGAATTTTGTAAATATTTTAATTAGCAATAAATTGTTAAAAATTTGTTGATAAATAATTTTCCCTTCATTCAATTTATATTAATAATAGGTTTGTTCCTACCGAGCATTTGGACAGTCATGCGCAATACGAAAATTTGATCGCAAATTTACCCACGTCCATTTGATATTCCAAATGCCCGGTAGGAACAAGCCTAATATTTATTTTAAGGGGTGTTTAATAAACTTAAAAAAATACACAATTAATATTTAGATTTTATTGTTTTAAAAAAAGGATACTATTGATTATAGTAATATACAAAATTTTAACTAAAATAATGAAATAAAAATGTATATAATATTAGCTTGTTTACAGTAAAAGCATTTTTATTTAAAACTAACATTTAGGCTTTTGATTTAACAAATATGCTTTAAACCCCCTATTTTATGTTACATATATATTACATAAAATAGACAGTTTTTTAAATTAACAAAAAAGCTGCTAATTCAAAGTCTAATTAGTGTGGAATGTAAACACTCAAAATATCATTTAAATAATAAAATTCCAAGAACTCTTTAGTACTTTTTTGAAACTTTAATTTAGCTATTGAGTCAAATTATAATTTTAAGTATTTTTTTATTTTATGACTTATATGGAAGTTCATAAAAATCATAAGATAATTAAGTTATTGCTCAACATTGTTTGAAATAAGATGTGATATATATTCATAAATAAAAATATGCAGCATTTCTAAAACTAAAAGTCTTGTGGCAAAAAATGGCATTAAAAAATGCTGACATAATGAATTATTAATAAAACTATATAACATATAAATATATTATTTACAAATGCTAATTTAACATTTTATATAATATATAATTATAAATTTTAAATTTATTTTTTTCTAAACAAATGTGAAAATATAAAAATTGTACTTGGAATAAAACACTTCTTACATAGAGATCATCATAAACAAAGTGCCTACACAATATATGTATAAACATTTAATAATACATAAGTTATTCACAATATAACATATTTACATTTAAAATTATAATTTAATAAAAAATCCCTTTTGAAAAGATCTTTTTACCTTATCAAATAAAGTCAGTACAGAAGAAAAAGCACAATCCAAAAATAATAGTGCCGTTTAAATAATTTTGAGATATTTGCATTTAAAGTAAATTTAATTGAGTTTTAATTTTTGGTGTAAATGTAATACGCAAATTATGCTTGAAGCATTGTGTCGTCGCCGCTTCAAAATATCCCCACTCTTTCGATGCGTTCGGATTCATTCGACACTGTAAACTTTAAGCGTACAGGGTACACCAACTAAACTTCGGTTAAATTGGAGAAAAGTTAAGTAATTAAAAGCCTAATAAAGTGAAATTTATGAAATGAAAAAAAGCCAGCGGTTCTCAAAATATTTCGAAAAAACTAAAAATCCTTTCAAAACCAAAAACTTTTTTATTCCTGGGACACGTTAATCTGCATTTTCGGAAATATTGACTTTTGCATTTTTTACATTTATTCAAAAGGTTATGCAAAAAAGTGCAAGTCAATTTTTCTGAAAATTTCCAAATATTTACGGATAATATCCGTACACTGATGTCGAGAAAAAAGTTATTTTCCTACGCTAATTATAATCATATTTATTTAACACTTCGAATTATAAAATTATAATTTAATTTATTCTTTTGTAATTGGATATTTTCAATGAACTTTTTTTTGCTAAAAAGACCCAACAGTATATTTAACGTTTACATTAATTTTCTTAAATCAAATTAATTGAATTTGGGTTTTTCCAAAAAGGCCTTCACCATCTTTTGTTAATAATGTAGTTACACTGTTGGATTTCTTGATTCTGTTTTATCTATGTAAAGTTGTAATATGGCGGCCATTGGAGAAACAAATTAAATGAAAATAAATTATATGTAAAGCTTACTTTTTTTCAAATTAGTTGAAATGCAAATATTAATAATTACGCAACTTTTGTCTTATTTAACCGACCGTGTAGTTCTTCAAATAAAAAAGATACCCTTAGAAAGATACTTGGTGCACCTTGTATAAATTTATATACACCTTTTATTTTATTGGTTCAATTGGTTATAAAAATATGTCCAAATATAAAATGTGCTTTTTGAGCTGGGCAATAAAAATTGTACAAAGTACGGTAATTATACAGTGTTGGCTACATATGGAAAACTTTTTTATTATTAATTTTAAGAAAAAAAGTTATTCTTTATAAAAAGTTCTGCATGTTCTAAAATCTAAAATACAATCATCAGATATTAAATTTGTTTAGTCGTGTATGCAGTTTGTCAAAAAATATGAATCTTACTTAAAAAAAGTTCATAACTAAAAACTACGTTCAAATATGCAAGAATAACTTTATTTCTTAACATTAATAATAAAAAAGTTTCCAACTTAAGTAGACACACTGTATATATATATATATATGTATATACATAAGTATAATTGCACGATCATAAATATTATGTCTAAGGCAATTTAATTGAAAGATTCGAGGAACTTTTTATCAAATTACTTGAAAACAATGTGTGTGTGTGTGTGAGTCGCAAATTAAAGTGTCTTGTTCACCTTGAGCGAAGGCAGGCGAAGCTTGCCGTCGCCGATTTCGGCCTCCTTCGTCTGGCCGTGCGATCTGCGCAGCACTTTCACCGAACGCGGACTGTTTTTGTCCTTCTCCATCTGCAGCGTCCTTTTGCCGCGCTTAAAAGCGGCCTTGCCGACGTCGCCGCTCGCTATGGTCGCGACGTTGCCGTTTTGACAGCCGTTCTTGCCGCTCAGCCAGGGCGACTGTTTTTTCCTGGCCGCGCGCTTCGCCGCTGCGGCCGCCTGCTCCGATAACTGATTCTTCTCGGAGGAGGGCGGGGTCAACACTTTGCGCTGCACTCTGCGCACCTGGCTGTCTTTCGTTTCTATTCTGCAAATTACTCCAACTTCACTCGCCGCTCTTACTTACACAAGCAATCTACCTATCTAACTTCTCAAAGAACATGCTTTTTGTACGCGTTAGAGCTCTAATTTGGGTTTTTTACCAGTCTATTTACTTTTCTAAGATAATTTAAACAAAATAAGTAGATACTTTAAGTTGAAAGTATCTTTAGTTAAAAGATACTTTTGAAAGTTTTTAAGATACTTTTGAGTAACTAAGATACTTTTAAGTAACAAGTTAAGTTAAGTATGAATAAAATCTTTAAAATTATGAAAATGTAACAAGTTGTAGGTTTTTTAATTACTTTGAATCATTCTGGAATTCCCCCAATTTTCTCTAAGAAAGTATCACTAAAAAGTATCTCTATAAGTTACTTGAATGTATCTTAGTTACTTTACTGAGTAACTTAGATACTTTTTTAGATACAAGTTACAAGATACTTTTCCAAAGTAACTACTTTCTGTCCAATATAAAAAGTATCTTAGATACTTAGATAAGTACCTAAGTTACTTTTAAGTATCTTTTTTTTCAAGACACTCCCAGCTTTGCCAGTGATGAGCAAAATATCTCTAACTGTGATTTAATAGCTAAGTGACTTAGGTAGGGTTTTAAAATTTCCGTAAAAATTAAGCCGGCGGAGAAAAAACGTTTTTTTTTCGGGAAAAACGGAAAAATTGGGAAATTTTCAGAAAAAAATGACTTCTGCATTTTTTTCATTTAATTCAAAGGGTAATCCGAAAAAAATGCAAAAGTCAATTAATTCTTCTAAAAATTTACAAAAAAAACGGAAAAATTGGAAAATTTTCAGAAAAAATTACTTTTGCAATTTTCTTTTGTTTTATTCAAAGCGTTATACGAAAAAAATGCAAAAGTAATTTTTTTTCAAAAATTTATAACTATGATTATAATAATTATTCCATTAATTCAGTAAAAATATTCTACTGGGCCGCAACAAAACATATTCGGTGCTGTTAATCGTTGTATTTGACACTTCGATTTATAAAATTATTATGTTGTAATCATTAATTATTTTGTAATTGGATATTTTAAATTTTGCAAAAAATGTCAAATCGATTTCCAAAAAAAAATTAAATTTTTCCCAAAACAGCCAATTTTTTCAAGGTCTGAAAAAAAAAACAGGTTTTTCTCCAATTGGTTTTTTTTTCGACCCTTTAAAACCACCCAACAATCACTAGTGTTTCTTTAATAAAAATAATACAAAACCCAACTTAGATCCCTATAATAAAATTTTCGTTACAATATGTTAACACAAAAATACATCACATATTAGTAAAAACTAGTAGGTTCAAATATATTTAAGTAACAATATAATACTATTAACAATTATTTACAGTTTTTCAGCTCATGAAAAACATATAAATATTTAACAGGGACAATCTACTGTTAAAAATATAACAACATTGTGAATGTTTCAACATTAAAAAATCCCTTAAATACTAAAAGCAACCATTAGAAAAAAATTCTACAAAAATCATTCTCTACAACTATACAATAAAAATCCACAATGCCTAATTCTAAAAATACGAAAAAATAAAGTAATAATACACAAATTTTGTGTAAAACTATACATACATAAAAAAGATATCAACAACCACACTTAGGTAAAAAATATATTGAAAACATGCATTAGCCATGCTTTAAGAAATATAATATAATATATAAAACAAAAAGCTCTACTCTGGGTGCAGTTTTCTTAAACAAACCTTTTAGTGAACAACCTTGAACTAGTAGAGCTTGAACTGCGCACACTTCCCGTCAAAATTTTGCCACCGCGCAGCATTGTAGTGCCTGATGTGGTGATGGAGACCTTTTGAGTTTTCGGCGGCTTCTGATCAAAGCTAAAGAACAAAATTTGGGTTTTTCTTGAAAAATTGCACTTTTTAATCTGACTTACACATTGTTTCCCAGCGGCTTGGCCCTGAGTCTCTGTGCCTTAATTTCGTTAAGTTTGTCGCCTTGTGTAATTTTGTTTTCTTCCGAGGCGAATTCTTCTTTGTCGTTAATTTCCATGCAATCGACCTTCTCCATTATACCTGTCACATTGTCATTTGTTTTGTTTCGATTTTCGTCCGCTAAACTGTAGATGCCGTTGCTGTATTTAAAGGGTCCCGACATACCGTTTCGTTTTCTGTATATTTCTCCAGCATCCCACATCGATTTTTGTTTCCTAAGTTAAACATTGTTTAAATTTAACATATAAACTCAATTAATGTACAAAATGGTTTATATTATGTGCCACAACACCTGGTGGTGTTTCTTGAAATTTGCAATAAACCAATTAATAAGTTTTTTTTTAATCATAGAAGAGGATATTTTAACTTACTCCTGTAGCCAAGTTTGCTGATGGCCAATTATGGAACCAGGTCGACATATTCTTATCCATGCAATAGCTTCCTCTGCGGTAAATTTAAAATGTTTCATTATATAACAGGCAATTAAGGACCCTGTTCTACCTAAGCCAGCTAAAAAACAAAAATGTTGTTAAGTTTTCATTTTACTATTTTAGTCGATAAAAACACATTAAAGTATATTATGTATCAAGTTTGATAAACGCCATTTTATACACGAATTTAATTTAGGCACGAGCGAGCTTGCGAGCGAGTTCTTAAATTAATGAGTGTATAGAAAAGTTTATAAACGAGGTGCATACTATACTTTTTCTACGACAAATACTTATTATTATCTTAAAATGATTTAAATCAAATATTTTTATAGAGCGCCATCTATGAAACAATAGGGGAATCTGTGTGTCACCATCAAATGTCAAAGTTTTATTTTATAAACACAGATTATAAAGGATATAAATCGAAATGTATTTCTTGAAAATGGAAAGTTTTTTACAGTGAAAGTAAAGAAAATGTTTTAAGAGCACTTTACACTAAAGTCCGTGCCCGAATTTAAGTTATAGTTTACTGCCGGCGAAATTAAAAGGTCAGTACAATATTCATATAAACTTTTCAAATATTGGCGTTGAGAAACTATTTAATACTTTTGTATTTTGTATTGATATAATAAAATAATTTTCACATTTAGTATTAATTTACACACGGCGGTCCTCAAGGGTGAATAGGTTGACCAAAAATGTAGCCAAAAAATATGTACTACATCTAATTGTACTCCACTTAGGCTCTCTAAAACCATTTTTGGGTAAATCGCACCTGATCGAAAAGTTGATTTTTTTTAGTTTTAAAAGAAAATTATAAAATTTTAGTAGTTTTTTTTGGTTAATTTTTTTTATATCAAAAGTTTGTGTAATTTTAATCATTATCTTATTGAAAATCACATTCTTTAATCTTCTCAATAACATTTAGTAGTATTTATTAATTGAAATCATAGTTAAGTATCAAATTTTCATCCGTCCTGCAAAAAATTTAACAAAAAAGTAGGTAGGCTAAAACTACTGTGAAATAGAATATAATGTTACAATTACCAAAGGGTGCCATGAAATCTAATAAAACAAAATATGTTGTTATGAAAACACGTCAATTGTTATTGAACAGAGAAAATAAGTTTTATTTAGATGTTTGTGCTTGCTGTGTTATTTAAAGTAGTGTTTTAAGATCAAAGTAATAATGCAAAAAGTCTTTGTGACGGCTGGTGGATTTTGGGTGCACCAATATCTCAGTTATTAGACATGGTACGCATATGCAATTTATAATTCACTAAAGTTTATCAACAAATTTCAAAATTTATTTAAAAAGTCCTAGTATTACAGATTTTATACCATTTTAAAACTTTTATCAATTCTATTTCTAAATTAAAAAAAATAGAAATGATATAAAATCCGTAATACTTGGACTTTTTAAATAAATTTTGAAATTTGTTAACAAACTGTATTGAATTATAAACTGCACCACTTTAATTTGAATTATCTTAATTTGGGGGGCAGGAGGCTGGGGGCATACTAAAAAACTAACTTTTTTCCCAAACTTCAATTTAAATTCTGCTCGCGCAGAACTTGTATATAATGCCATTATAAACTTATATAAATTTGATGTGGGTCCTATGTCTAAAAACTGAGATATGGGTGTGCCCAAAATTCACCAGCCGCCACATTAAGATAATCATGAAGAAAACCGATCGAAAGTTTGTGTTGTCTGCGGCAGAAAGATAGTTTTTGGTAAATGCAATCCATCAAAATTTATATTAAATGATAGCCTATACAATTTGATAAATCTACACTGCTTTAAATTTGACAAAAATGACAGTAGAAATCCCAATGCAGCATGTGGCAATTGTCGTTTGTCTTTATACGATAGGAGACAGAATATCTTAAAAAGACATCTTCCCAAAAAAGAACCGGGTTTTGACAAAATTGTGCTACATCCAAGAACGAGACTCACATGTCACCATGTAGCTGTCGACTATGTACCATTGCCAGTTTTAAAGGTCACATTCCAACACACAAAAATCCTAAATGGAAGAACAAAAAAGCAAATTTTAGAACATGTAGTGAATGCTTGCAAAAAGTTAGTAAAGGAATTTCCCACAATTACAGTAAGCACAATTCTGTTGTCCCTACAGTATACTGTTTTTCTGATATTATTGAATCAAGAAATGGCACTTCAAATGTTGGTTTATATAGAACTTACCTGGGAAAAATATAAAATTAATCGTTTGGACAATGCAAGCTATGGTTTGAGTTTGAGAAAAGCAGTAGTAGATTTTTCTAGTTTAGTTATTAATGTTTCATGTTTTGTAAAGGTAGTTACCTAATGTTATTGAAAAGATCAAAGGATTAGATTTTTATTCGAGTGTAACCCAAATTACACATATTTTTGATATAACAAAAAAAGTAACAAAAAAAAACTAATAAAATTCCATGATTTTCTCTAAAAACTAAAAAAAATCAAGTTTTCGATCAGCTGCGATTTACCTAAAAATGGTTTTAGAGAGCCTAAGTGGAGTACAATTAGATGTAGTAAATAGTTTTTGGCTACATTTTTGGTCAACCTATTCACCCTTGAGGACCGCCGTGTACAAGGAAGGTACATTTGACAACTGTCAACTATATTAAAACTAACTTCAGCCAGTGACTAAAAACCTGTTGCTAACTTCAGCCCGTGACTAAAACGCCGTAAAGCCACAACTTGTCAGTGTGTATTTAAAAGGTCACTTAGTGTCGTGGAAACAAGTACGATAATGGTCGTTTTAAAGGTGGGAGTAGAAAAATCCTTTTAAAGTAGTAGTATGTTTGCCACAGATTGTTATAAAGTTAAAAAAATATTATTATTAATAATTTAAAATTGATTATTATATTAATTTTATATATAAAAATATTGTAAATATAAATCCTTAAAAAACCTATAATTATTAATGTTCTAAAACAAAGATTTAATGTTTATTAAAACAATTATAAGGGATTAATTATTTTTTCCAATAAATGGAATTTAACAAGGTCTACTGAAGGTCAAGTACAATTCTCTAACACGTTTTTAAACCTACAACTTTTTGTTGGGTTGTACACGTGCTTTGGAATAATTTGTATGCATACAAATTATTTTTGTTTTTAAATTATCTACAAAAATTATCTTAACATATTCTAATTAAACCAAAATGTAGACGTGAAAAAATAAAATTAGTTTTTTTTCCAAAAATTTATTAAACGAGTTTAACATAATAGGTATGTTCGCGGGTTAAAAGTTGTACTTCTTGGCGTATCTAAAAAAAAATTGTTTTGCATGCAAATAATTTATGAAAGTAGCAAAAACAATATACCTAATATTTAAAGAAAGACATTAAATACAATTAATAATGGTGTGATTAAAAATTTTAATAATTAAATTTGTATATATTTAAAAATTAAAAAAAAAATCAAAATTATGCAAATTTTTGGAAATTTTGTAAATTTGTAAAAAAATTTGAAACCAGTAAAATTTGTTCTATTTTTTAAATTTATGTGCACATTTGTTCTACCATTTTTTAAATTTATTTACTCTAAAAGTTATTATTTTATCTTTGCTTAATAATTTTAAGATGATAAATTTGTATTTCATATTAGATAATTTAAAATATTTGACAGTTTATAGATAAAACAATTTTAAATAAAAATTTATTGAATTACCCACTACAGAACATAAACAGATAAAGTATATAATTGTTTACTAGTATTTTAAACTTAATATTTAATATTATTTTTATTTATTTTATTGTTTTAGTTCCACATAAATTAAACTTTGATAATTCTTATTACACGAACACATGGATAAGGTTATTTGTGTAACATATTTTTTTTAATCTAGGAACTTATCTGTGGACTTCTAAATAACCACTAAAATATGGATAAGACTGTATATTTAAGTAAATGTAACTTTTTATAATTTCAAGTTTGAAGAAACTAAGGTAAGCATTTTTTTAACATACCTTTACAATGTACAGCTACAGCTCCTCTAGCAGTCTCACAAATATTAATAAACTGGTTTAGAATTCTGTCGCTGGGAATTCCACCATCAACAAAGTATAAATCCTTGTGGTCAAAACCAGCTTGCAAAAACCTATTTGAATCATAGACCTTTGTATTTAACCTCACAATTGTAGTAACTTTATGTCTTCTGAAGTAGGCAAAGTAAGTCTCAGGGGCATGTATTGGATAACCTTTATCCAACTGAGATCTGTTATGGGGTCCACAAAAAGCAATGAATTTGTTTGGTAGAATCCAATTGAAGTCACCATTTTCCACCCTTTCATAGTGTTCATATTCAAGGAAATCGAAATTATCGAAATTAAAGTAGCCAAAGCTGTGTGCCTTTTTAATGGCTTTAAGACAGTTGAGTAGAGAGAGGGTGTAGGGTTCCCATACGGAGGCATCTCTAAATTCCAAGTACTCTTTGGCCGAATCATGCACCAAGATTTCATATGCTTGTTCGGGCTCATAATTCAGATATATTACCTAAAAAATAAAATAAGATTGTATAATTACATAGATAATTTGTCACTTTTAACTTACTGCATAGGATCCAATTAGGAAAGCTGCATTAACCCTCTTTTGGTTGTCATCGCCCGTGAAATGAACAATTTTCTTGTTATGAAATGCAGAATTGCTTAGTTTGCTTTTCAACTTCACACAATAATGATATAACATTGACAAATTTAAAGGGCCAAAATCCATGTAAAAACTGTCATAGTTGAGTTCGGTATCCACTCCAAAGTAGTGCACTGAAGGGGTTGATTTTGGCTTCACATTTGTATTCAATGACACAAAATATAAGCGACCTGTAACCTTTAACATCATGCCTTGCCAATCATAAACAATAGTCTTACCTCTTATGAATTCAGATGCATTTATCAATACATTATCAAAATTTTCCATCTTCAAAGCAGAACGCTTTTTTCTTTTCATAGGTGTACTGTAAGGTATTTTTTATATATTTATCACTAATAATATATATGAATTATAAACATTTCTTTATTAGATATGATCCCACTCACAATGTAGGAGTATTTTTTTTATGTAGGCGTATGAAATTAGAAAATGCTAAATTTATTTATACAATTAAAGAAACCAATAATAACCAGACTAGAATCATGTCAACAATCTGTTTACGTTAATAATAATACGTTAAAAAAATAAACAAAAATGAATTTAAATCTATTTGACTGATTTACAACGTTTTACGACAAACACATGGACATACACTTTAATAAAAACATTACATACCAACTCGTCATATCCCCACAATCTATCAAAACATTTTTAAAGCAATTAATAATTGTAGAAATAAATTTTTTAATTATTAGCTGAAAACCCAACTAGGTATTGATAAAATGGCGAAAATACAAGTGCTGCCAATATCAAAAATTTTACGCATTCTTTAGGCCTTTCGAATACATAAATTACTTAATCCGTGCTAAAAATAAACGATTTTTTAATTTTTTTTAATTATCTTTGCATAATAATAATATTTAAACGTATTTACTATATACACAATACATAATAAAGAGTTATTTATACAAAATTCAAATCTGGGGGAAAAATAAAGTCACTAGAATATCACCGGTTGCTTTATTTAGTACAGCGCTTTACCTAAGTAATGCGCTCTTAATAATGCTCTTTACATTTATAGGCTTATTATGACAATACAATCGGTTTTTATTACATGTTTATTATAGTATTATATCAATTGTTATAGTTCATATGCTTTAAATAAGATTTTAATAGTATTTTAAAATTATTACTTTTGTTCGTTCGTGTACTGTATTATTTTTAAATTTTGTTTCGTTTGTTTAATGCAATTAACACGTAAATCAGTTAAGATTAAAAAAGGATTGTTAATAAAAGTGACGTTATTCTTTATCTTGGTTAATGTTTTTATGACAGTACCTACCTACCTAGCGCTAGTTAATTAGTCATAGACAGGAAGATGTAACAATATATTTTCATTTAGAATGTAAAGTCTTATTAGTTAAATGTTTATTTATACAATAAATGTAGAAAATTGAAAATTATAATGTAAAAAAATTGATCCATCATCTAAGTAAAGGTTGTGAGTTTATCTATACATTATAAGTGGGGCAATGACGTGAAAAATTAGAAAGTTTACTTTTATTTTTAAGATTTATACCTACACATTCCATTGATCCAGTATTTATCTACACATATTGCAGAGAAAAATGTCTGAAATAAAAGAAAAAGTTAACCCTACAATATATGTTATATTTATTTCCTTGTTATTGGACTTATTGGCTTTCACGATGATTTTACCGCTATTGCCGTCGCTATTGGAGCATTACAGGAAAAACGACTCCACAGGCCTGTATTTATGGTTGTCAAGTAAAATTGAGTTTTTTCAAAATTTAGTTGGAGCCCCAGAAAAATACAATTCCGTACTTTTTGGTGGATTTTTGGGGTCGTTATTTAGTTTTTTGCAATTTATTGCTTCGCCTGTGGTTGGAGGTATATCAGATGTTATCGGAAGGAAATCTGTTATGATTATATGTTTGGTATGTATTTTATTTAATTACAAATAAAATTTTTATTAATATTTTTTTTAATTTTAAGGTGGGAATATCATCGTCATATATTTTGTGGGCTTTATCAAGTAACTTGGTACTATTTATATTGGCAAGATTCATTGGTGGAATAAGTAAAGGAAATGTTTCTTTAAGTATGGCCATTATTGCTGATGTGTCGTCCATGAAAACAAGAGGAATTGGAATGGTATTTTTCTATTTACATTTTTTTCAATACAATTACCTACAATTTTGACTTTTAGGCCCTTGTAGGAATTGCCTTTTCACTAGGTTTTATAGTGGGCCCTCTAATAGGCGCCTTTTTTGCCATTTGGTCCAAAAACAAAACCGGCGATTGGTTTGTTGTACCAGCTTTATTTGCATTTTCCTTAAGCATAGCCGATTTAATATTTTTCACTGCTTACTTTAAAGAGAGTCTTCCAAAAGAAAAAAGAGCCAAAAGTGTATGGAAAAGTCTACAAAACACAAGAGCTCTCATCAACATCACAGAGTTATTTAAATTCAATGCTGTGACTGATATAAAAGAAAGCAATCTTAAGGAATTAAGAAGAATTGGCCTAGTTTATTTTGTTTATCTTTTTATATACAGCGGCCTGGAATTTACATTAACATTTTTAACACATCATGTATTCAATTACACCTCTATGCAGCAGGGGTGGATGTTTTTTGTTATTGGAATAACAATGGCTTTAGTACAAGGGGGCTATGTTAGAAAAATACCTCCCACAAAAACAAAAAAGACTGCTATCTTAGGATTATGGCTTATAATACCATCATTTGTTTGTGTTGGCCTTGCAAACGGCCCTTACATGCTCTATACAGGACTTCTATTATTTGCTATATGTAAGTAAAATAATATCAACCAATTTAAATTGTTAAAAATAATTTTTTTAGCTACTGCTTTGGTTGTGCCTTGTATAATGACTATGGCCTCTGAATATGGCAATGAACAACAAAAAGGAACAGTTATGGGTATTTTTAGATCTCTGGGGGCCCTGGCTAGAGCCCTGGGTCCAATTTTGGCCAGCATTTCCTTTTGGAGTGTTGGCTCAACTATTACATACTTATTGGGTGCTGTAGCTCTACTATGGCCTGTTCTAACTCTTAAAAAAACATTACAATAACAATAATTTATATATATTTATGTACAGTATTACAAATTGTATACTTCCATTGTGATATACAGTGTGTTTTTTTAGATTGGGGTTTATCTAAAAGTACTAATAACAATAGTTTGACAGTTAAATGATCCAAGTTAGGTGTGCTGTAATTCAATTGTTTTAGTATTGTTCTCAGTATGTTTTAATTTGTTGAAAGAAGAGCCCAAATTGTAAAACACCCTGTACCTATTTAATGTGCCAATCTTACAATAAACATGTTACATTAATAAAAATTGTGTTTTATTTAATTTTAAAGATTTGAAAAGGTACGCGCATGCACATAGCCAATCGGCCATCGAGCGTTGCCAACTGTATGGTGAAAAACGAAAATCCCCAATTAGTTATCGATTGTTCATAATAACCTATAAAGAGTGTTTCTTTTGTCAGTTTTTCAATCGCTAAACAAAAGTTTAAACAACAATGGGACATTTGGGGGTTTTCCCCCTTAATTTACAAATGAAAATGTGTTCGTTTTAGCAAATGAAGTACATATTAATTAATAAATAACTCAAATACTTCAATATGGCTACTAATAACAACCAGAATGGTTGGTTAAGTGGCTTAGGCATAGGATTTGGGGCCCCATTGAGCGCAGTACCCGAACAACAGAGCGGATCTTCACCAGAAATAAATCAGTTTGAACAATTAGACCGAAATAGCATTAGTAGCAATACTTTAAAGGTGTGTAAATTGTTAAAAAAATGTATTTGTTTATGTTATGAGGGAAATGCATTTTTTAGAGGAATCCAAAGATGGAACTGTCCAAGAATGATTTGATTAAATTGGTCACTTATTTTGAAGGGGAGATTCAGGCTAGGGATATTGCCATTGCTGCCTTAAAGGTAAACTTTTTGTAAATTATTCTACTATCGATATTATATATTATATTTATGACATAAAAACTATTTGTATTTTAATACTTTAGTAATAAATAAATTTTATAACTTTAGTATTAAAGCATAACATAAATTAACATTACAATTATGTGTTCATTCATAAACTATTTGTATTATTAATTATGACATACTGTTTGCTTATCAAATTATTTTTAAAAACCACAACAAAATGTTTAAAAAAGGTTTTTCTATACAGGTTAAAGGTTGACAAAATATTCTTTATTGTTACAACATAGATATGTTGGACCAATATTGAGAAAAATAATTTTAAAAACATTTAAATACCATTAAATAATGTCTTATGCCATTTTTACAAAACTACCACCAAATATCTATTTTAATCACACTGTTGTATTTATTATAACAGAGGGGTTGTTTCTTGAAATTTGCCATTTTACTTTCTATAGAAAATTATCTCTATAGAAAGCAATAAACCAATTAGAGCACAGCATTCTCCATAGCACACTAGCTGCCATGGATTGGTTTAATTTCTATTGAAATCATTTTTTAAAGAAAGTAAAGTAGAAATTTGAAAAACCCTAGTTGACCTTAAGAATAAACAGTCAATTTTAATAGTATTATAAATTTTAGCTTCTTGAATTGATTTTTGTTTTTTGAAGCCATATGAATATGTTTACAAAAGAAAAACTCATTTTTAGTCTGAAAAAGTGAAACAAGTGGTAAATGTGGGAAGATACAGACCGGCAGCTATGTCTGACCCATACACAGCCCTTTTAAGAGACAGTGTTGGAGATGGTCCTACGGCCAAGCCACCATATTCTGAGAGAGATATGGGAGCTGTGGCTGATCATCAGCTTCAAGCATTGGAGCAGTTGGCTTTGCAACAACGCTGGGCTCACCAGCATATGGTTAATATACTGAAAGAGGCTGAAGCAAAACACAGAAAGGTAAAATATTAATCAAATATTGGCCTAAACTGTCTTGATGGGAATATTGTTATTAACCGCATGTATAAGTGTTTTATTAACCCCTCTAGGTTGCAACTAACAATGATCAATTTAGTTCGGGACCAATATTTGATTATAACGCGTGCAATGTGCTTTTTACTGATGTTAAAGGTTATACAGGAACTTGAAGAGGAAAAATGCAAGCATGAGCATGACACCGCGCAAGGTGACGACATCACATATGGCTTGGAAATGGAGAGAACTAGATTAAGACAAGAATTGGAGATGGAGAGAACGGCTAGGAAAAAATTGGAGAAGGAAGTCAAGAAGCAAGTGGAGATGGCGGACGAGGAGAGGGCCAGGCAAAAGCAAATTGTTCTTCTTTTATTGGCTGAAAGAAAGAAAATTATAGTTAAGTACATTGAGGAGAGAAAAAGAAGCGAGGATTTAGCACAGGTCAGTATATCACCACTCAATTGCACTATACGCATTGAAACCATAATTTTGCACCACAGATATTGTCGGAAGAAAAATCCCGAATCGACAGCATGGCGGAAGGGTTGGAGGAAGAGAGCAAAAAATCGCTACGCATGGAGGCGGAACTGGAAAACCAAAGCCACGTATACGATTCCGAAAAGAAAACATTGAAAACCCAACTTGCACACAAAGTCGCCAGATGTCAGGAGTTGGAAATGGAAATTGAAAAACTCCGCGCTGAATGCGAAGCTTTAAAAACCAGGGCGACGTTGCCTTGCGATAGTGCCGCCCCAATGATAAGCAGCGTTGCCAAAGTTGTACAGCCCACCTCCACAGTGTCCAGTGTTCCTGTTTCTGGACCAAGTAAATTCAGTTTTTTGCCATTCTATTATTTTTTCTCATTTGTTTTTTTTGTTATTAGCCACTGGAATAGCTCAGTCGGTTGCTCCAGGTCAAGTATTGAGGCAAACTGCCACCATACCTACTACACCATTAAATAAGGTATGTTACTTATCTAAAATTATCTAAATTTAAGTTTAAGCAAAATACCGTATTTTCATTTTTCCTGTATTCGGTTTTTAAGAGTGGGAGACGGGCGAATTAGGCATTATTAAGTTAATTTACTTTTAAAAATTATTCAGATACTTAAAATGTAACGTAATCACTTTCAACAGTAAATTATTAATTAAAGGTGTAAAATCATTATTTGTTTTGCATTTAAATAAAAGTTTTTTCTTATAAAAAAATTAAATAATTCTCTTAAAAACAACGATCCGGATATTTAACTGAGAATTGGTCTCTTGTTTGACGTAGAGAATTGCCCACTAAAGACCAGCTTATCTCTTGCAATTTGTAGAACATTATAATTTTAAACAAAAAAGTTAATTTATTTGAAAACGTTCGAAATACACACTAGCAAATGCAAAATATGACTGAATCGTCGCCTACCCAAGCAGCATTTTAAGTTTAAATAACTACAAATTTACTAAGTCAACTTTAAAGTATTTTTTACGGTTAACCAACCGGTTTTATAACGGTATAGATACGAAAAATTACCAAATTTGGGGAAAGGTTTATTTCGTTATTTTACCTACATAATAACCATTTTAATCTACTTAGAGAATAACGTAATAAAAACAATATAAATACCACACATTTACGTTAAAATAACGCTATAATTACTAACTGTTTGCTCTCTCTTTCTAAAACATTGACATTCGTAATTTCTTTGTTCTTTTAATTTATATTTTACGAAATGGTATTTACAAAGTAATAAAGGCCACCCTAGAGTAAAATTAAAAAATATAACTTAAATTGTCAAAACTAATAATATTTTTCATTAAAACTCAAATGCACATTATTTTATTGATAAAAATAGGCATGATACATCTTAAAAATTATATGCCCTCTAAATATTTTACGGTTTTAAGAAAAATTATTGCTTGGGTTAAAATTTAACCTACAAAATTTTATAAAACCTATTAGTTTTAATAATTTTTTAATAACTAAAACTTTCATTTTTATATTTATGAAAAAATATTTTATAAATGTTTCGATAAGTAATTGATGCCATCTCGATGCCTCATTATGGCGACCTTAAAATTTTTTTCCCTTAAAGTGTTATTTTTCACTTTAAGCTTATTTTTCCTTGTCTAGTATTTATACTAATAACCCTAAAAAATACCAGGCGAATAGGAATTATTTACGTTTATAAAGTGGTCTTAATATCGTAAAATTATGACTTATGAGTAACATTTACCGTTAATTTTTTCTTTAGGTGAAATACACTTATAAGTAATTTTCTTTCGTAAAAATTACGTCCCTCATAATACTTTAAAGTGTTGAAACTTAAGGGTTATTAAAATAGGTAAAAATAACATAAATAAAATTTATTAAATAACTTTAAAAAAGTTTTACTTCAAAGTAAATTTTTAAGGTTAATGTAAAAAACTATTTACTTAAATTAAGTAATATTGTCTTAAAGCTCTACGCTTTTACTGAAAATGCTGCTTGGGTACGGCAATCAGCTTACAATGGCAAGGGGCGATCGGGTTCACTCGAGTGTATATAAATATTTTAAACTCGGTGAACTTCGTTCCACCTAAACAAAAATAATTTTATTTAAATCGGTTGAGCCATTTTCAAATTTAATGGTTATTTAATTTGAAGCGCAGCTACGAACGCCATCTATTCAAATTTATTCAAAGTTGTACGGATTTCGAGTTTCTTTGTTTTTACATTAGAAATAAAAAAAATTATGTTGTTATTTGTTGATAAACTTCATTTAAACTGTGACTGATTTAAATTTGTGGCGAAGGTTAATCCTGGCGGAGTTTCGTCTCCGCAAACTTCGACCATAAGGACCGGGGCGGGCAAGGGCGCTTTCCACGCGACGCACGCGCAGTTCCAGTCCGCGGCGGCGGCCTCGACCGCCCCGCAAACGCCGCCGAAAAAGGGTTCGGTGGTGGGACGAGGCGTCCCGCCGCCGATTCCTCCGAACAAGCCGGTGATCCCGAGCAAAACGGCGCCGGGACGCCGGCCCGACGTCGCCGGCGACGGCGACAAGAAGAAAGTCAACGTGGCAGCGTCGCAGGAGAAGCCGACGGAAGCGCGGCAACCCGGCCAAGGGATCGAACTGCTGGGACAGGAATTGGCAGACTTTCAACAAATGTTTGTAACCATGGCAACTAGTAATAATGCTTAAAGGGTATTCAATATACTTAATTTATCTTTTTGTTGGCAGGGCGGGACAGTAGTTGGGCGTTCACAGGACTATTACCAGTCCCAAAAGTCAACTTTTTCATGTGATAATTACTAAAAAATACTTAAATGAGTTGTTCAGTCTTATTATTATTATTATTATTATTTAAATGACTCTTGGACGTATTATATTGTAAAGTATAGATATTTATGAAGAATAATATAAATACTTCCAATTAGGTTTAGTGACTTTAGATACTGAAATTCTGTTGAATCTCATATTTAAATAAAAAAAATGTATTATATCAGATTGTATGTAACAAACAATAACTGTCAACAATTCTTAGGATATTTAACTTTATTATTTGAATTACAAATCGACACAATTTTTTTTTCATTTACTTACTATTTGCGTAAGTATTCTTCTCAAAAATACTCGTAATATTTTATTTTTTGATATTTATTTTACAAGATAAAACACTTGGTCGCCATGCAGTATTTCCTCTTCTACAGGGTAGCACAAAATGAACACAAGATCCATAACACTATATATTATGTAGTTTGATAAACGGCATTTACTTTCTAGCGAGTGTTTATTAATATATACTATACTTTATCTTTCTATCACAAAGAAGAAATTAAAGCCATTTTTTTTGTTAAACATTTGACATCTGTCAACTTTAAACGAAATTAACCTCATTTTTTCCTATTTTATAATAAAGCTAACTTCAGCCCGTGACTAAAATGCCCAAAATCCACCATTGCTAACTTCAACCCGTGACTAAAACGCCATAAAGTCACATCTTGTCAATGTAGGAGTAGTTCATTTTGCGCCATCCTGTAGACAAAAAAATCCGAAATACTGTTATTTAGCTGACTAACTCACCAAATTAGGAGACTATTTTTGAATTAACTATTTATGGCTTGGAATCTACTATAAATATAATAACTGTTCAGTAGCTGAATATTTAGCATATCATTGCTAAAAAACTTAAGAGAATTTTTTGGGGCTAATCTCACAGCATGGGATGTTATTTAATAAGTTAGATGCAATTAGGGATGTAATAAATGTTGGTTTATTCATTTATTATTGATTGTTAGATGAGGGAGTCCATTATTTAGGAATTGTAATTTAAATAATAAACCAGTTAATGTACATAAATCTTAAAATTTTACCAATAAAAAAATAAAATTGTAAGATTTACCTATGTACCAAGAAGGCTATACTCAGGAGGAGTAACGTCAAAAAACGTACGTACGCATTGGATGATTACTCCGCCTGTTTTAAGTCTTCTCGGCATATACTATGCTTCACATCAAAGACACTTTGACATTTGCATAAAAAATTTAGTCAAATAATTGAGGTTATAAGTAGTATGCGTTATTTCTAAAACTGGCTACATACATAACCTCAATTATTTGACTGCATTCCTTATTCAAATGTCAAAGTGGGATTTTTTTATGTGGAGCATAGTTCGTCTTTTGTATTTCACAAACAGTTCGAATAAATTGGTGCTTTTTAAAAGAATTATTAGTTTTCTTAAATTAGCATTAAAAAGTTACAATTAATTTTTGCTGTTTGAATCTTTTTGCATTTTAGCTTTTATTTCAATATAAGCTTTACGCTTATGCTTAAATTTAAAAAAATATATTTTTATAGTTTTACGATTTTTTTTGTAATTTATTATTTTCTATATTGCATGTTCAGAAAATATGTACTTATTTGACATTTCAGCAGCTAGCTTTAATTTTTTTTGTGTCCGTTTTCTTTATGTAAAAAACTTTTTAGTTTATAAATAAAGAAAATTAAGTTGAATTAATTTGATTTTATTCCTAACCCTATACTGTTTCTGAAATAATTAATAAAAATTTTGCGAAAGTTTAAAATGCTTTAATATTTACTCGTTAAATCACCCCCCGAAATATATTAATGTTATTTCCGGACACCCTGTATATGTATAGTATATTTTCCAACAAAGTATTATGTAGGAAAATAAAATAGGTTTAATACGGTGCTGTACGTTTAATATGCACGAAGATTTTTATCAAACGTGGTTGCAATAAACATTCAAATATATTTTGCGATAAAAAATATTTATGTGTAACTGAATTGCAAAACTATTTTTTACCGTATTTACATGTCTACATATGTAATATACCTACATATGTATTGGCGTAATTTTATTTAGGTAGGTAATAAATATCTGATGTTTTACCATTTTATTTTAAAGTAAAAGTTACAGGACAGGAATTGCAATTATGGCGGATGCGCCGGGATATACAGGGATATCCAAAATTTGTATAATTGTTTATAAAAGTTATAAATCAGTAAACTAGCACATGACTTTTGCGTCACTCTTTATAAAAATATAACAGAAAAAATGCCTAGACTCAGTATGACGCATTTAAGCCAATTAACAAACTAAATGTTCAAATCATATATTTATTTTGTATAAATATGATTTTACCTTAATTTCAAGGTTTAAAAAATTGGATTTAAATTTTTCAGTATTAGAAATACATATCCTTATACCTTTACACTGATAATATGCATCTAGTGTTGTGCATAAGTATATATAAGCCTATTATAGAGTAATTTAATTATTGAGCAGTAGTGATATAGTTATTTTATTAGTTTTAGTTCTGCGAGTATAAAATATCTTCCCACAATGTTTTCAAACATACAATTAGGCCTTTTTATTTTCGTATTATACGTAATCTATATCAACGCATTGTAAGTACTTAGTGTATTATATTTTCTCCTATTAAAATGATTTAATTTTTATCCAGAGGACATACTAGACATAAAAAAGAATATGAGGAACATAGTTTATCGTTAAGGGATATTTTACCCATAAAGCCAAAAAATTACGATAAGAATAGAGCCCCAAAGTTTCAAGGACAACCTACCACAGTTTATTTTCATGTTACAGTGCTATCCTTGGATTCTATTAATGAAGAATCAATGGCGAGTATTTTATTAACAATTTATAATATTTAAATAATCAATGTCTAACCCTGTAAATAGATTAGTGGAACAAGGTTAACCCTTTAATTTTATTGCAATAATTAGTACTTCTATGTATTCCCAATGGTAAAAATTGTCTACTTTATTTAGACATACGTGACGGATATATTTCTTGCACAAAGTTGGCGAGATCATAGATTACGTTTACCGGAAAACATGAGCGAGGAGTACCGGATTTTGGATGTAGAATGGCTGCACAGCATTTGGAGGCCCGATTGTTTTTTCAAGAACGCCAAAAGTGTTACCTTTCACGAAATGACCATACCAAACCACTATTTGTGGTTGTACCACGACAAAACCTTACTGTACATGTCCAAGTAAGTAATATTAGAAAAATTAACTAGGTAATTATAAAAGAAATAGGTCCATTTCAGATTGACTTTGGTACTTTCATGCGCTATGAAGTTTGAGTCCTACCCACACGACACTCAGATTTGCTCCATGATGATTGAAAGCTGTAATACGATTAAGATTTTCTTGTTGATTTTGTTGTAAATTTATTTATTTTAGTATCGCATACGACCCACGATTTGGTTTTCATATGGAACATGACAGACCCCTTGGTGGTCAATCCAGAAATCGAGCTACCACAACTGGATATTTCAAATAACGTCACGACAGATTGCACCATCGAATACTCTACTGGTACTTTTAATCATATAACAATATAATAATCAATACATTTTTGTTTTCAGGTAACTTCACTTGTCTGGCGATTGTATTCAATTTGAAACGACGCCTGGGTTATCATTTGTTTCACACCTACATCCCTTCAGCTTTAATCGTTGTAATGTCATGGATTTCATTTTGGATTAAACCAGAAGCCATACCGGCTCGTGTTACGCTTGGCGTGACATCTTTACTGACACTAGGTAATCAATTTCAAATAATTACTTTTTGTTGTGGATTCATTTCGTTTTAGTCACAGCCTGAAGTTAGAAACAGGTTTTTAGTCACGGGCTGATGTAAGTTGACAGTTGTCAAGTGTCATACAATCGTTAAAATAAAGTGCCTTGTAAAATAATACTAAATGTGAAAATTATTTTATCCGAAATCCGCAGTAGTCAACAATCGGCAGTAAAGTAAAAGAAATCGGCATTAAAGTAGAACTTTACTGCCGATTTAATACGAGTATTGTATGCAACCCATTATACATTTTAGATGTGTCTACTGCTCCTCAGCAGCAACTAAATAATATTTAAAAAAAAGCACTGTCGCGGAGGTCGATTGGACCCTTTCATAAAATGTTGTTTAATAAAAATATTAAGTTAATTTTATTAATTAGATTAAAAAATCGCCGCGGCGGGCAAATATATAATAACCATCTCAACAAACAGTATACGTAGACACTTCCTACATTCAAATGACATTTGATTTGATCATCAATATTAATTATTAGTATTATTAAATGTGATTTCGGATTTAATATGCACCTCGGCATTAATAGTATATTATGTATCAAGTTTGATAAACGCCATTTTATACACGAATTTAATTTAGGCACGAGCGAGCTTGCGAGCGAGTGCTTAAGTTAATGAGTGTATAGAAAAGTTTATAAACGAGGTGCATACTATACTTTTTCTACGACAAATACTTATTATTATCTTAAAATGATTTAAATCAAAAATTTGTATAGAGCGCCATCTATGAAACAACAGGGGAAACTGTCAAATGTCACATTCAGATTCACATTTTTACATTTTATAAACACAATTATAAAGGTTATAAATCGAAATGTATCTTGAGAATTGACAGTTTTTCATAGTAAAAGTAAAGGAAATGTTTTATGAGGACTTTACAGTGGAGTCCGTGCCCGAATTTAAGTTATAGTTTACTGCCGGCGAAATTAAAAGGTCAGTACAATTTTCATATAAATGCATTAACACATGCATTAACACATTATTAAAATAATAAGAAATGTCTTTAATTTTCATTATGCATTACATTAGGTACTCATTACATTTTTTCCAATTATCCTTTTTAACATTTTTAATTTGTAATGAGTATTTTTAAATTTTCCAATACAATTTATTAGCTATTTATGATTAATGTATTCAAACTACATTACCATAAAAAATGACGATTGCATTATTTTACACATTTTTGCAACTCTGGTTTGTACTGACCTTTTGATTTCGCCGTAGTAGTTCAGTTAACTAGATTTAACTGATAAAGCTTTAAAAATTTTGCATTCAGTACCTACCCATAAAACATTATTTTCTCTTTTACTGTGAAAAACTGCTTCTATATTGATTGTTAGTCTATTTTCAAGGGATAAATTTTGATTTACAAAGAAAAATTTGAGATTTTAACTCCGGTAGATTCCCAAGTTAAAAGTTCTAACGTGATATACAATAAATACAACTGTCACTTTTTGTACATTTCCCGTGTAAGAATTTTTAATACTTTGCGATAATTGTTTGCAATTATTATTATTATTATTATTATTATTATTATAAAATATTTTTTTTAACATAATCATATTTTAAATTTATTTTAATATTTTAAAGTATCAATAATTGTTAAGTTTAATTAAAATAATAACAGTAAATTACTTCAAAAATGTTTATTGGGATGGTTACTTTATTTTCGTATAGATGTCGCTTTATACAAATATTTAATTTAAATCATGTTTAAATTGTTTGCTCGTGCCTAATAAAACTCGTAACTAAAATGGCGTTTATAAAACTTGATACATAATATACTATAGTATAACAATATATTGTTTCTTAATAAATTACTTATTTTTTGACTCAGCTACTCAAAATACTCAATCTCAGCAGTCTTTGCCTCCAGTTTCTTACGTTAAGGCCATAGATGTGTGGATGTCGAGTTGTTCTGTATTTGTTTTCATGTCTTTGATGGAGTTTGCCGTCGTTAATAACTACATGGGTCCAGTTCCGACGAAAGCGATGAAGGGTTATTCGGATGAAGACTTGCATTCGGACATAAACGACTACAGAGTACAAGTAATTTATCTTACGTAATACAATTTTTTTTTACATTTATATTTTTTTAAGGGAATAGAAAGGCCAAGATTTAGTACAGCCAGCACTCCACAGTATGATACTTTCTGCAATGGAAGGAGTATAGCTTTATGTATTGATCAATTTTCCAGATTCTTCTTTCCCTTTTCATTTTTTATTTTAAATATAGTTTATTGGTCAACCTTTCTTTGTTAAGTATTTAGCACAATTTATTTTCAGATTTTTTAATAAAGAGTATTATTTATAAATAATTTATTTGAAATCATTCCTTTAGTATTGCCAATTGCTTATTCATAATAAAGCAAAAATTACAGAATTTCGGTAAAAATACACGATACCTAATTAGTCGAGTATCAGTATCAGACAGTACAGGAATTATTAATTGAAAGAATAGAAGAAGCAAAAATAAAGAGAATTGCGACAGTCAGCCTAGCGTTCAGAGAATCGTTAGCAATGTAGCAATGAAACAATGTTGCCAAGTTTCAAAATTTTTCGTTCCTGAAGTAATAAACTGTTAACCGGTACGACAAGTTTTGACCGGTTTCGGTTTTAACCGGATTTTTAAAATTATTATATCTGGTTAACCGATCTGATCAAACCGAGCCGGTTAGACCGGGTCGGCGGTTTAAGCGTAACTGGTTTAACTGTAGCCGTCACTGGTTTAATCGTAGCAAATTCTTTGTTTTTAATAGAAAGGCAGTTCATGCTTGAATTTTTTAAAATAGATACTCAATAAAAATGAAACTAGAATAATAAAAATACCACCAATTTTACTAAAAACTAAAAAACATAAACATTATTCATGTTTCAAAATAAATTATAGTTAAGTGATAAAAAATAATAACAAAACTCCCTATTTTTTTATTATTGAGTTTTGATGTAAAAAATCATTTTATCAGCTTTTTCCGGTAGCAAGCAGTTTATTTTCGCCTGCACTGGAAAACATTAAAAAACTATAGATTTCCTTATTTCTTTTTTAATGTTTATATTTGTTTGTATTTTTCTAATAAAAATACTTTTGTTTTACTAACTTTTAAATGTTTAAGTTTTAAAAACATTTTCACTTGGATATTTTAATGATATCGATATTGTGTTTTCAATATATTATTTGATGTCAATATCCCTGATAGCAAAATTTGATTTTAAGAATCTTCTAAGAAGATATGACCCGGAATATTCTTAGAACCTTTCCTTATTGCTAAGAATGTTCTTAGGGACTTTTAAAACATTCAATAGATACCCTTTTAATGATTCAATTAGATTCTTAAAAGCTTCTTAAAACCTTCCTAAAAAGGATCCTAAAACATTTTAAGAATACGTTTTTGGAATGTTCTTAAAAGGTTTCTTATGGAGCTTCTAGGAAGCTTTTGAGAATATTTTCAAATATGTCAGATACCCACGTTCTAATATGTTGCATTCTACATTCGTAAAATTCTTCAGGAGACGACAAATGCGCCTCACTGTCATAATATGACAGTGAAATGTATTTGTCGTCCCCTTAAAAAATTTTGCGACATATTAATATATATTTATTTATTTATTTATTTATTTAACATCCAGATACACGTGTACAGAAAATAATTTCTGCCTATTGGAGGTAATAAAATTACCTGTACATAGGTCCGGTACATAACTTAAAAACTAGGATCTTAAAACTAAACTAAAACTAAAATAATATATAATATTTTCATTATCATTGCGAAAACAGTTTATAATTCCAACATTTAATACTATTAAGTTAACAATGAATTATTGGTACAGTTTTTGGTAATCCAGTCTTTTAACATTTGTTTAAACCTAAAAGTAAATTTGTTTTTTGGGATATTTACTACCTTGATGTTATTAGGTAACATGTTGAAGATTTAAAAATATTAAATAAACAATTTGACCTCTAAACCATAAGTTGGATGACATTATTTCATAAAAAGTAAAATTGGAAAATTTTGGGGGATAAGTCAGATTAGATTGAAGTTGAAGATAGTTAGGATTATTATACATAAAAATGTTAATTCAGACAGCTTTAATCGGTCACAATTACGGTTAAACCGGTTACGGTTAAACCGATTACGGTTAAATCGGTTACGTTCTTTAATGGCTTTTGGTCGTACAAAACTGGTTAACCGGTCACAGTTACCAGCTTTAGTCGTAAGCACTGATTCATCGCTTTATAGAGCATTGGCGGCCTTAAAAATGAAATAACTCGTGTTGAAATTTTTAGAGGAATAACCTTTACCATTTGGGTAGGGAAATTTTGCGATGCTACCAATTTTGGGACACTCTTATTGGCGGCCTTCAAAATGAAATAACTCCTGCAATTTTGCGAATTCGATAAAATGGTTAAGGAAATTTCGTGTTAGATTTTTTCATAAATCACACTGAAAGAAATTTGTTGCTAAAAGTAAATACAAATTTATACTAAAAATTTTATACTAGTGCTTTACACATTTATACTACTGTTTATTATGAATGTATGTTAAATTTTGTAATACATTTATTGTAAAAAAGATATGTTAGATCTAAATAAAAATAAACTTACCCTTACTATAAAATGTAAACTATAAGTGAATTACAGCAAAAAAATATTGCTAGAAACACCATTTATATTGCTAGGGCAGCAATAGGCTGCTAACCAAACGAATATATTTGTTTTAGCAATGTATGTGGTAGTCCATATATGAAACATAAAATATATTTGCCCTAATTATTTTTTTATTTAACTTTAGTATATATTTCTTTCAGTGCAGTTAATTTTGTAGTTTTTTATTATTTTTACACGCAAAACCCGTGTTTAGATAGTTGGATGAAAAAATGTCGGGTGAAGGTGAGGCAACGTCGCAATGGTAGGATATTATGAGTAGTTGGTCGGCGGCGCTGACGCCGACGTCGACGTCTATGCCAGTTGGTTGCGTCGCCGCATATCGTCGCAGCAGTCGGCAAACAGCATCGTTTACACATGGAACACATGGTTTAAAACCATCAAAAACGAACATCTAAAGAGCAATCCATGATTAATTTACATGTAAAAGTGGCGACGGAAATAAGAATGCCAGAGCGAAGGAAGAATCGCGAGGGACAGTAGGAGAGGATAATATAAAATACACATGTATGTACGGTGTGGCGCTGTGGTGAAACTGGCGACGTCGTCCCGTGCCCCTTTATTAATAGCGACGTGGGCTCAGAGATCGACTCGTGCCCAACATAATATATAGATAAGTGCATTGAAATTTTTGTCGGTTTAAGTGTTTCTGTTTCCTTTGCTGTTATTTTCGTTTGGTGAGCGGTGTCGCGGTGATTTGCGCCAGTCTTCCATCGACATAGAACGGTTCTGGTGCGAGTTTAGTGACTTGATCATCCAGAAGATCGTCAGTCGGAGAGACTGACCTCGGCGAAGACATAACCGCAGTGCGCAGTGTGCGAAATCAATGAAGGATTTGGCCAGTGCCACGAACACCATCAACAAAACATATCCAGTGTGCATTAACAAGGAACTCCCAATTGAATTGAGTATTTGTTGGGGATAATAAACGAGGAAGAGGAGGCGTCTAGATTGATCGAAGTAGAAAGCGCCGATGTCGGTGTGGTGATGGGTGGAGGCGGTATGTGGAGTGGCGGTGGACGGTGACGGCGACGTGACCTTGAGGAATGTTCATCCCCGACACGTTGCGCAGCTGCATGGTGGAGCCCGATGTGTCCTCGTACCTCCAGACGCCGTCCTCGGGACAGGTGCCTACCCGCTGCTACCCTCCCTTGTCCCCTCGCGCCGTCATGCGTGATATGTAATTAACATGATTAACATGAGTGTTATTCTTTTCTGTACTGTACTTGTAAATTTACTGTTCGCTCCGGCACGCAGCATACGGCCGTCGCGACGGCCAGCTTGGCTTTGGGGCTTGGACCCTTCGAACGGTTCCAACTCCCACAGCCTGAGCGTCGCGCCACTATCTCTCTCTCTATCTCTCTCACTCACTCTATCTCTCTATCTCTCTCTCTTTATATTTTCCTGCCGACGCCGCTCATGCTGCTGCTGATGCCTGCGATGCGATGCGATGCGGCTCTCAATGTTGACATGTTTCATTTCCTTTCATTTCATTTCAATCTGTTAATGTTATTGTTGTTATTGATTGTTGTTTATGTACTCTATTCTTTTATTTTCTATCATAATTTTGCACAACCAACCCTACCGAACCCTCTTAATATCATACATTTAACGCTATAAGTATGTTTGAGTTTGGTTGTTAATCTTATTAACATTAAACTAAGTTACCTACATAACATTTGTTAAGCTTCAAATGTGTTCTCTCAGCGCTAATCTCCGCTCTTTGCTAGCGGCTAAAAATAACGCATTATAAATAGTCGGAATCTAAAGACGATCGCTATCGTCTATCTAGTCGCGCAAAACGTATTTATCACGAAAATCACCAGCATGCACCTTTTAATATTATGCCTCTTTTATCCTAATGGAGAATTTACCAAATGTCATTATATAATTATTCGATACTGTGGGGGACATTTTTTAAGGTTTCCGATTTAATAATAAAATCTCGTAAGTCCATTTTTCGGACAAATTTAATTATTGGTACCTATAAGTGCCGGGTCGAGGGGTATCTGAACAAGGGAACCTTGATAAATAGTTTTTTTTCTTCTAAAAATGGACCTACGAGGTTTTGGAAGTAAACCATCGATATTTAACTTTTTTGACACATGAGCTTAAGTCAAATTTTACCATTAAATAATGTTTCTATATCGTCAACATTTTTTAAATTTACAAAAATTGAACATAAATTATATCAAATTCATAGTTCAATTTCTGTAGGTACGTATATTTTGAAAATGCAACAATGTGTTTATTTTGTTATATTTACTAACCCAATTAACCAGTGGCCGCTGGTGGATTTTGGGCACAACCATATCTCATTTATTAGACATGGGGCCCACATCAAATTTATATGAGTTTATAATGACATTATATAGACAAGTTCTGCGCAAGCAGAATTAAAATTAAAGTTTGCGAAAAAAAGTTACTTTTTAAGTGTGCCCACCCAGCCTCCTGCCCCCCCAAATTAAGATAAGTTTATCGACAAATTTCAAATTTTATTAAAAAAATTCGAGTATTACAGATTTTATACCATTTCTATTTTTTTAAATTTAGTAAAAGAAATAATAAAAATTTAAAATGGTATAAAACCTGTAATTCTTGAATTTTTTTAATAAAATTTTAAATTTGTCGATAAACTTCAGTGAATTAAATATTGTACCACTTTAATTTGAATTATCTTAATTTGGGGGGGCTTACTTAAAAACTAACTTTTTTTCGCAAACTTCAATTAAAATTCTTCTTGCGCAGAACTTGTCTATATAATGTCATTATTAACTCATAAAAATTTGATGTGGGTCTTATGTCTAATAACTGAGATATGGGTGTGCCCAAAATCCACCAGCCGCCACTGCAATTAACTAAAATCACATTCTAATAGTTGATGTGGTCACAGACATTTTAAAGAAGTAGGTATATCGATCAATATATCGATCATAAAATCATGTGTCATCACCTATTTTATAGTTTAATCAAATCATTTAAAATAATTCGAAACCCCTACCCAGCTAGCACAAGTCGGCCTTTCCGGATATTGCGATATCCCAAGGATATCCTTCTACAGACGTCCTGGATGTGTCCTCTGAACGTCCCACGGGTTATTCTTGTTCTTGGGATATGTAGGTCCTAAAGAAATCGTCTACAGTCAAAACTTTCAGTTTTATTTCAGACGCACATCTGCAACTGAAATTTGTAACCTATCGGCATATATAGTTATCAACCGTGCATAAGCAGCGGTGAGAGGTATTGCAACTATATTTGTTTATAACTTTTTTAAATAGTTTTATATTATATTGAAATTTTACCTATTAAGTTAATAAAATTAATATTTTCATCCCATTCTGGGACATAAAGGCTGGTCCAAGGACGTCCTGAAGACGTTTGCGCTTGCTGGGTAGTTATAATGAGATCAATAAAGTGTTAAAAATCAAAATTAAAATGCATATCATTAGGGCGCGTAATGTTGTTGTTTGTTGTGTGATGCATTTGATGTTATTGCATGTACATGATTTAAAAATGCTATTTTATATTGCCAATGCGAACGGGGTTGGTGGCCACAAATGCTCTAAAGCGACACTTTCAAAAACACGCACAAAAAAATTCTCTCTTATACTAACATTACACTCACATTTGACACAATTAATCCAAATTACTTCTCCTATTTAAGCTGCCTCCTCATTTTTATTATAACTCTATATTAACTTCAAACTGATCTTTAGGGGCATTTTGATTTTTGTAGAACAAGGGGAATTACTGTAATTTTGTTTATATTGATTTATGCAATGTATGAAAGTAACAAACAAAAATACAATAACTCTTAGCACACATTTGATTTGTGTGTACCTACTTTTATTTTATATTCAAACGTAATTAATGAAAATCTATATTTAAAGGACGAGTTCCATCCATTTATTGAGGCTCTGCTGCCTTTCGTCAAGTCCTTTTCTTACACATGGTTCAACCTACAAGCTGCCAAAAGAAAATATTACAAAAAACATGAAAAACGAATGTCCCTTGAGGAGGAACGACAATGCAAAGAAACACTACAGGTAAATAACATTCAAATAGGTTTACATTCTTAAAACCCGTAGCCACTTAATCAGTATTCACCTGATGACGACTGAAGATATTTACCAGTCGAAACGTCGTAATTTACTTTAATATAAATAGACCTGTAGCTACTTAACGTATTCAGTATTAACCTGAAGACGACTGGAGATACTTAATACTAGTCGAAACGTCGTAATTTTAGCAATGGAAGTCAAAAACATTTTTTCCATTCATTCTTAAGTATAGCTACAATTTTAAAACAGTTATTTTAGTCTTTTGCCTCGTCGCCGTGCTTTTGTTTCAAGCTTACTCCACAAACAGGCACCGTCAGACGCCCTTTTGGACCTCATCAGTGCTGGGCAGCCACGTGGTGTGGAAGTAGACTCGAAACACACTGCCTTCGAGATACATCTTTTAAATACACTGGGCTGAAGTTAGCTTTAAGTTCGTTGACAGTTGTTAAATGTCATACAATCGTCAAAATAAATTGCCCTTCTTGTAAAATAATACTAATATGTGAACATTAATTTATCTACTTCTATAATGCATAATATTGGATTTTTTTCGTGAATAATAATTAACATTATAAATTTCCTGCCTAACAACGGGAATAATGAACTCATTAAATTGGGTGAAAACGATTATAATAACATTTAAAATTGGTAAAAAGTGAGGTTAACCTTTTGACAGATGTTATATTTTATTTATTTATTTTTTAATCATTTATTTATCTACTTATTGGAATAGATAAAGTAAAGTATTACACTTGAGATTATGCGCATTATTCACTTGGATGATTTAAGATTGTATATATGCATCAAACTAGTATTTGCCGACAAGGCAATAATTATTTAGGGTGGAGTACCCATAAAAAGTTTTTATTAAAAACACCCTTTTACTGTAAAAAACTGCTTATATATCGGATTTAAACGGTTGTTTCAAGGAAGAAATTTAGATTTGTACAGAAAATTTTGAAAGCCGGTAAAATAGATTCCTAGCACCAATTATAATTAAATTAATTAGTATTAATCCATTTATTACACACATCATTTTATTAAACACTCGCTCGCAAGCTTACTATAGTAAGTTAAAAAAATTAAAATGAAAAACTGTTGATTTTAAAAGTAAATTTTGTTCCCCCAAGTATTTTTAAGATAGGTGGTTAACAATTCTAAATATAAGAAATCTTTATTCAGTGTAAAAATAAAATAAAAACAAACCCAAGGATTGTTAAATATTTGAGTGGGAATTATATATTTATGACACATTAGTAGAAGTATTTTTTGAGATGGAGATATAATTAAATGACCCTAAAACAATATACTTAGCTAGAAAATACTGTAGGTTATTTTTGGAGTAAACGTATTTTTGGTTAATGACATTGCAATTTTTAATCGTGTATCACCTGTCATGAAAAAGTTATTCAAGTCATTTATTTTTAGTCTAGTAAGTAGGCTGTTACTAAGTCGTTAAAAAACTATAGAGGTACTAGTTTGCAAAGCCGAAAATGTACGAACAATAATTTAATTTGCCCAGCAGCATTGTGCAGCAAAAGTATATTTATAAAATTTCATAAACAAGTTATAAATAAAATATGTGAAAAATTTAAATGAGAAAACACGTTGATTTTATTTAAAAGGTTATAAGAGATGAAAGACTTACAAAATTACACATCAACGAAAAAGTAGTCCAATTAAAAGCTTGTGCAATCCTTCTGTTGTTCTATTTATAAAAAAGTTATTTTTAAATTTGGAGATAGTTATAATTAGATATAATAAACCAATAATTATAGAAACATTCCCGTGTAAAATTTCTAACTGTTGTACACGCTGAGCACTAATATTAATACATACAACCACACTGGGACATTTTCATTTATTTTTGTTAAATTTGACAATCCAGCAATATTACATGCTTCTTCCCTGATAGCAAAATTTGATTTTAAGAATCTTCTAAGAAGATATGACCCGGAATAATGGAATATTCTTAGAAGCTTCCCTTATTGCTAAGAATGTTCTTAGGGACTTTTAAAACATTCAATAGATACCCCTTTAATGATGCAATTAGATTCTTAGAAGCTTCTTAAAACCTTCCTAAAAAGCAATCTAAGAACATTTTAAGAATACGTTTTTGGAATGTTCTTAGAAGGTTTCTTATGGAGCTTCTAGGAAGCTTTTGAGAATATTTCCAAATATATCAGATACAGGTATACCCACGTTCTAATATGTTGTAATATGTTGTATTCTACATTCGTAAAATTCTTCAGGAGACGACAAATACGCCTCACTGTCATAATATGACAGTGAAATGTATTTATCGTCCCCTTAAAAAATTTTGCGACATATTAATATATATTTATTTAAAAATATTAAATAAACAATTTGACCTCTAAACCATAAGTTGTATGACATTATTTCATAAAAAGTAAAATTGGAAAATTTTGTGGGATAAGTCAGATTAGATTGAAGTTGAAGATAGTTAGGATTAATATACATTAAAATGTTAATTCAGAAATAAAAAATCGGTATACAAATTAATAAATATTTATTTTTGACATAAAATAAAATACCTATAGTAAAAGTAATTTTGTTATCAAATATTGTTTCAATTTGACAAATAACTATAAAAAATATTTTGGATTGTGTTTTTTACTTAGTATTTAATACTAATTACTAATTAGGTACTGAAGTATAGGTATATAGCAATTACTTTCTTAACATTCTAAGCATATGTTTAGAGTAGACTAATTTTTACCACTAAAACTTTGCAACTTCTAAGAACCTGCCTATAGGCCAGTAAAAATATTATTAGGATCATGCTATATGTCTTTTAAGCATGTTCTTTAGAAGAAATATAGCATGATCCTAAGAATATTCTCACTGGAAGGTTTAAAAAACATTCTTAGAATAAAGTGTGCTATCAGGGTTGGACAACTATTAATGAACATTTTTATGCTTTTCAATGTCCATTATGACATTCTAATGGAGATATATGTTTTTCCCTGAAGCTAAATCAAACAATTCCTAATAAAACCTCACGGGTTACTTTGGCAACAGCAACCCATTCCTCCTGTATTTATTTTTCTTGTCTTGGAGCTAACTCTTCAAGTTTGGAAACAGATAATGCTTCCTAGGGTTCAAGTCTTGAGAATACGGTGGATGGGGAAGCAATTTGCCCAATTTTGGCATTGCAAGCGCTACTACAAAAACGCTAAAAGTTTTATATTTGCCATAGTAAAGATATTCTCGACTTGACTTAATGACTGGCATATTTTTGACTGTGTTTTATAGAACGAAAAGGCCGAGGTCAAGCAAAAATGGGCTTCACGATTGCTGGGCAAGCTGCGGAAGGACATCACGCAGGAATGCAGAGAGGACTTCGTGCTGAGCATAACGGGCAAACGTCCTGCAGTATGCGTCCTATCGAATCCCGATCAGAAAGGCAAAATGCGCAGGATAGATTGTCTAAGGCAGGCCGACAAAGTTTGGCGTTTGGATCTCGTAATGGTGATACTTTTTAAAGCGATACCTCTTGAAAGCACTGACGGAGAGCGGCTCGAAAAAAATCCGGACTGCTCTCAACCTGGTCTATGTGTCAATCCATATCATATTAATGTTTCTGTCAGAGAGCTGGATCTCTATCTAGCCAACTTCATCAATAGTCACGGTAATAACCTCTTTGCTTCCTTCTCATATTCACATATTTTTGAACACGTGGTCAGATTGTTGTGCTTTCCAAAAGAGTTGTTCAATTTTGCTTTAGTCCACAACAATCTGAACAATTATTAAAACCAACATAGACCACTCAGTTTAACTGGGTACACATTTTTTATAAAGAGAGCATTTGAATATATGCCAATTTACACCAGATTAGATTTATTTTGTTTATGTTTGTTATGATGCCAACTATGATGTAGATTAAGTTTCATTAGTACCTATAAACATCGATAAACCAATAAATAATAATTTATTGTTTTAGAAATTTTAAGCGGCGTTTGTTACAACAACAACAACAAAAAAGAAGATGAGAGGAAAAATAAAGGTAAGTTCATTAATTTGTAATATTGTGTTTGTGTATAGTAATTGGTAACAATTTCGATTCAATTAAATTTCCTTATTAAATGTGACAGTAAATATTGATTTAGTTTACTATATATGATAACATATTTACAGTTATATTTAGAAATGTTTTATTTGTTAATAAAAATTAAAATAGAAATTATTTCCAGTTACAGGATACACCCACAATCCTTACAATGGTGTTATATGTAATGACATAATATTAGCAACAGGAGTATTTTCTTCAAAGGAATTATGGAAGTTGTCAAAATGTAACGCATTAAAAAAATCAACAATTATATCAACTTAATTTTGATAATTTTAGCTTCAATTCTACACGAACTATCCGACCCTCAACCCAACATGAACAGCGTGAAACTAGAACATCCTGCTTATTATTGCAACAATTATGCCGAACAGGGAGCCGTCATAGACAATAGATCATCATCAGTTGAAGCTATGGTAGCTTCAGCCACATACTGTAAATACTTTGATTTTACAAAAAAAACTTATTTCAATTGTTTAATTTTTAGCAATGCCTCAAAACACAACTTTGGTGTCTTCCAGTTCGCAAGCAAGCCCTAGCTCAATGTTTTATCAGCATAGTCCAGAACCTCAGCATCATCATCAAAACCAAGTCAAATATCCAGAGAATGGGCACGATACACTTTCAGATTTTGTCACTTTTGTTTGTCAGGAAACCGATAGTAACCAAAACGCACAGGTAAGATTTATTTTTTACCACCAACTGATCACATCGCCATATTATTAGCTTTTCCTCACAAGTCCATCGACAGGAAATTGACTAAGGTAAACTCCATTACCTTAAATTTATTTGCTCGCCACACCTAAAGATTTACTGATCATAAATTTAAGACAATTGAAGTCCGAAACTTTATTTAAGCTTCACATTGTCTACCACATTCAAAGAAACACGAAAAGCTTGTCCAGAACTAGACCGGAGCCCAGAGTTAGTTCATGCCTAAAAACTAACCCTAGTTTCTTTAAGATTTAGCCCTACCAGCTAATACAAAATAAGCGGTTTCTTTCAGGTAAATGATTGAATTAACTTTAAGATTTTTGGCAACGGGTTCATTTTGTATTCTACAATGTTTTTATATTTTTCAACTATACAAAGCAAAAGCCAAGATTCTGTTTTGCCAAAGATAGCGACCCTTTTACCACAATCTTTTATTTTTGACCCACAAGCTAAAGCCATTGTTTTGTATAATTTGTACAAAATATTAAAAACTATAACCAAAAACACAAACGTAACACAAATCTCACCTGCAAGAAGAAATATAATTAAAGCTACTTACAATTGCACATTAATGTATGCAATACCAGATGGGTTTCTTGGAATTTACTGATGCGAAGTATGCGTTTGAAATTTTAACGTTTAGGGTTTATAGTTTAACGTTTAGAATATTGGTATTATTATTATGAGGTCATGCAATTAAGTAAATTACTTAGCTGGATTAATTAGACTTGAATTAAGTTGGATTGTCCTTAACGTCCGTTGTTCCTTGGCCGCGTTTATTATGCTGGTAAGCCAGGTAAGCTTATCGTTGTTAACTAACCCCGCTCACATACTTTTTCGACGTTTGCACTTTGGAGTTTAACCGGACCACAAGCACTTATTATTATTATTTTAATTTTTATTTCATTGTTTTTGTTTCGTTGGTATCCAATAAGTTAACTGATGGATTATTTTAAGATTCGTTTTTCTGGGCTTAAGATTGTTATCGTTGAGACAACCTCTTGCCACGAGTTGAAGAACGAGACTGCTAATTAAAACATAATTAAAACATAACCGAGTGTTGCACAACAAAATTTTCTTTAACCAGCTATTATTGATTAACCCGTGATTTATTAATGTGTTGTTCAACAGACTTTTATACAACTGGGCCTTATAGTTCTGGACAAGTTTAGTAATTAGTCTAGTTTTCTTCAATTACTATACAAGGACGCTAGTAGAGAGGGTCAGTTTATAGACATAAACTAACTCTGGACTCTGGTCTAGTTCTGGACAAGCTTTTCCTGTTTGTTTCTATAGAAAAGAGTCCACAGTTTCCCCATTTAAAACTTGGTAGGAAATTTTAGTTAGTTGTACTCGAAAAAGGACAACTTTGGTGATGTGTTAAACAAATATTAGAAATATTAACCAACACCAAAACCAAACACAAAGTGTAACTGAAGTTACACTTCGCTTCTGGAGATGCCAACATCGTTGGCGAAAAGTACTTTAAGCACTTTGTGTTGGGGAATATTTCAAATATTTGTTTAATTGTCTTCTCTAGTTTCTTCACGATTCTTCTGGTAATGTGGAAAAACTAGACCAGATATATCTTTGTTTCTATTTTACAGGAAAGTGCTTTGATGTGTTTTCAGATGCAAACTGGCTTATCGCGAAGTCCAAAATCACAATACTTTCCGTCTACGATGCTTCCTCCGCCACCATTGCCGCCGATGGCTCGTCCGGTGGCGATAATTCGATCAACTGGCGATGTGACGATGAGCGGCACAAATTCGCCGCCGGCGAGCATAACGCCGCCATGCAGCGAAACGTCGCCGGTCGACGAAGTACCGGAAATAAGTTCGTCGCCTCCGCTGAGCCCGGGTAACCACGACCGAAGAAAATCGCCGCTGCAAAGGAACTCGGTGCCTGTTAGCAGCCCGTACTCGCCGAGCAGGGACTACACGACGTTCAATCACTTTCACGGCCAGCCGGGACATGTTGGTAGTGTGTAAGGTGTACCACCAGAGCCTTAATCTGATCGGTTTTCGTTTTTTCCTTGCAGCTTTTCAGCTACCCCAATGTGACAGGGATGTCTGGCGTTATCAGTCCTACGAACCTCAGTATGTATTCAACCACCGTGAACACATCGAGAGGTACCCCGCGTACTAGCATACCCCGATGGGGCACGTCTCTCCTAGCCTTGGACCAGGATGACTTCACCATCATTCATCCGAACACCGAGCCCAACGCCATCATCCTGATGGACGACGGCACAGGTTCGGCGGCCACTTCTGCCGAACACACAGGACAATGTTGTAACAGTGCTAACTTAATGTGTGACGCGGATAGGTTTTTTCAAGCTGGTGATGCCTTAGATAACACGACGAGTTCGGGACAGAGGGATAACGATCAGCTGCCCGCTCAAAAGTCGCCGTAATACAACGATAAACTGCCTTATGATCTTCTGCAGCTTTCTTGCCAATTTATGTGTGATGTTTATGTTGGATTTTGATAATTTAAAACGCGTCTAACGCGATAGAAGCTGCTCAAGTAGTCGACTCGATTCGATTTAGGTAGAATACTTAAATAAGTATACCTACTCACTTCATACGAAACACAAACTTGCTCTCTTCGACTCCTATTTCATACTTTTACTCGAAGACACCCAGTTTGTCAAGCACAAAATTGACTATTTACAATAACGATCTGATAGAGTCAGTCATTCGTTTATTTCTACGTATGCATAACTTTAGCAATAAAAATAAAAGCAAAAGTGATTGTTGTGATATTAAAGAGCACCAAATAATAGTGCACTTATTTTAAAAATGAGGTTTTAAATTAAAATCTCGATTGAATAATAAGATAACGATTGCAAATTGTCGATTTTTGGCCGTGTGAACTCACTACCCTCATTGAACCCGAAAACAAACTCCATCAGAAATCCATACATTGACACTATGGCGGGTTAATTTTTCAACCTCCATTATATCTATAAATATTTATTTTACAGAATGAAGTTTAAAACACAATTAAAGAAAAGCCAGGGTAAAATGTAAAGCATGTGGTCTGAAAAGTTATAATTCAACTTAGTTCCCTTATTCAAACGGTCCACGTTGCTCTTTTGGGCAGCCATCTTGCACATTTTAAAATATTACCAACTAGTTTTTTTAACATCTTTATTAATCAATATCAAAAGATAAACTTTTTGATGTTTTCTGGAGTGGTTACCTCAATTGGATGTCCTGAACTTTCAGGACCTGGACTGAACCAGAAATTCTTTTACATATAAAAAGCAAAAGTATCGTTTGCATTTTACATTGGTGATAATTTTTCTGTAAAATAAACATTTTAAAAGATATCACAATTCTTCGGATCCATGATGAAAGTTATTTGACAGGTTCAGTGTGCTCTAGCGTTAGTAGAAGTAGGTTATAGAGACCGGTGCCAAGACAAGGCTGTGCGACAAGTCCAAGCAACATTGTCAACAACTTGACACAATCTGACAATGTTGCCGCAACCGGACTAACGTATTGTCAAATGTCGGTAACGTTCACGACGTTAGTTTCAATTCCGTTCCTATGTTGGGTAGACTATCCAGCGGTGCTTGTCTTCCACGAAAGTGCTTGTTGCGTGAACAAGCAGTGAGCTGGGTCTGTGCCTTAGTATTACAATAAATATTGATAAAAAAAACAACTGTTAAAAGTAAACAACGTAGTCTAGTCAAAAATTATATTAGCTTGCTCACGCCAGCTCATCGGTATATTGCGGTTTAAATATAAAGTGAGTTGCACCAATTGCCAGCTGCACTCTAAAAAACGGCATTATAATTCACTTGAATATTATATATTTATATACTTACTATTGTATGTAAGGTCAAATTCGCCGATCTTCACATCTCAAAACTTATCTTATTTTCGCACTATCTCTACTTCTAACACTGGCATCAACTTAATTTAACGAAATCTAGTCATAAAACACTGGTCAATACATTTAATGTAGCAGGCTAATTTAAAAAATTTAAATTTGCGAGTTGGGAATCGTTATGGGTCAATTATTAATCTTTAAGTGGAGTAGAAGTAATGGCACTTTGAGGATCATGCGCAGTAGCGCTATTTTCAAAGTGCAATCATTTCTACTAAGTTGATGTTATTTTTGAAACCGGTTTAGTACCTACAGTTGACCGGTGTTATACTGCACACTGACTTAGCACTTGCTTAACCTAACTGAATCCTTAGTACTATCTTCTGTCTGTATACTACTAACTAAAGGAAATATACAGGGTGTAAGATAACTGTTGAGATGTTTGGGTCGTAAATATATGAAAAAAAAATAAAATAAAATCTACTGTGATTGAGTACCTTTAAAGCAGTCACATTTGGGCGTGGAGCCGGCTTACAGGTCAAAATGTCGGTTCTTAGGTCAAAGCGCTCATTTTGACTCCTTTATTTTCTCATTTCTAGTCACGTAAAACAGAGGCAGAGTGATCCTGACTGATGTACCTACTTCCTCCAAACCTCCTATTAACATAGTTAAAACGCTCTGCTGGACACTCTGCGTATCGTTTAAGCCCCCTTACCTAAGCCCCATGCCCTCCCATCCCTGGTCCGAAAAATTACAAGTTAATAGATTTTGACACGCCTAAAGACCTATATGGTTAAATGAAACGTTAAAAAGTGCGGTGGCTCTATGAAAACTCCGGAATACAGGTCAATTTTTGGAGTTGAGGTCTATGTAGAGCCGTCGCCATTTTTTGTAAGATTACTAAATTCTAAATTAATATTAGATGATAAAGTGACAATAATTTATAATACTCTTTGTTTGTATATAGGTACTTAATGATTGTTTTGTTTTGTGTTGTGTAGTTTTTAAAGTTGTATAAAATATTGTTTTGTACAAAAAGTGTAACTTAAGTGATCCTTCTAGGACTAAGTATTATCCTTTAACTAAATAGGACTTTTACACATATTTTCGATTATTGATCTATTAACTTGAAATTTATAAAACCACTCCCCAAGTTAAAATTATTATACTGTAAATAAATAACAAAAATCTTTGTTACTTACGCATATACTTATAGAATCGGGTGATATTTATTCAGTGCCATGATATTGTTGATTAAATTGTTGGACGTATTTACGTCACTAGTAGTTATCATTATTATTATTATTATTATTATTATTAGGAAGCTTAACAAAAAGCAAATGTACGATTTTAATTTTAAAAATTAAATCAGAGGGTTTATTTAATAAATTATGGTTGGTTTTATTTATACCTTTCCAATACTATAGAGTAGAAGGGTAGTCACTTTTAGGATCATGCGCAGTAGCGATTTTTTGGCGAGGCTTGCGCAGAAGAAAGGAAAACTACAAATTACCCTATTCATTATAAAAAATAAGATAAGTGTTGTGCGTGAGACTGCGCATGATCCACAATATTTAAAAATTTAATCAGGGAAAAAATGACTTGTCGTAGAATTGCAAATGAGAATTATTTAATTACCCTGATTATACCAAGATCATTAGTGGCATCCACTATAAAGTCTGTAATCTATTGCCCTGTTAAACATAGACATAGTTGTAAAGTAAAGCAAAGTAAAAATGGTGTCTATTGAAAGGTCAATTCATGATGCAAGCCTATCTCGTTATTATATTATCTATAATTTATCGATCCTCTATAATTGAAGATGAATTTTGTTGAAACAATAATAATAAAATATTAACTATTGTAAATATTCACGAACTATCATTCAAGGACAGTGCACTATAGATCATTCAATTTTTAATTTATTTCTCTTCCTTCTTCATTAATTCGCCACCAATGAAAAATATTGTTGTTACTTAATACAAGGCCATACTATAGATCATCTAGTTTTAATTTGATAAGAAAAAACATAAGGTTCATTTTGTAGTGCCTACTGAAGCAACATATAATTAAAATAAAAAATGAGGGTGCATATAAAAACTTACATAATTTTTAATGTATCTACAAATCAATTAAACCTTTCCCCAAAAAACGATCCAAATTCGAACACATCAATAAAATTTTGAAATCGTATTAATAAAAAAATCGGAGAGGTGTTTTGAAATCAAGTCTTCATTGCCATCACAAATTAAGATCATAAATTGTTGGAAAAAATTGGTACTTTCATTATTTGATCAATATTTTTAAGTTACTATTTCTGTTTCATATTTCGTACAAAAATTCTACTAAAAATAATTTGCTACTAATTAAATTAAACAATACGTGCGTACTAAAAGTGAAAAATAATTGCGGTTGTACAACACAATTAGGTAGTAGATTTAATGTACCTAATTAATAAAAGCAGCGTGGGATACATTAATTTTTATAAATGATATATAATATAAACTCTATAACCTATTTTTTTTCGTTTACATAAAAGCGTTTGTTATTTTTTAATGTCATTATTTAAATTTTAATTTTTGGTAATTTTCATGTTTACGCAAAATCCTATTAACAAAATTGGTAATACCCAAGTGGCACAACTGGTTAAATAACTAGCATTCTAGGCAAATTAACCAAAACCCAAGTAAAATAACATTTTTTCAACTTGTGTTTTAACCAATTAGTTGTAATCAACCATTAACATTTTTTAAATTTTGTGTGATAATGATGCTCAAGCATTAAAGAAATAATTTTAAAAAATATAGACTTTCTTCAACTTACTATAAAAGACTTAACAAAGTTGTAAATAATTATTTATCTACAAATTTTAAAACAGTCCCCTCAGATTTAATTAATTTGGTAAGTATAAAAATTTACTTTAAAGTAAAACTTTCTTTAAAGTTATTTAATAAGTTTTATTTACGTTATTTTTAAAGTATTATAATGGACGTAATTATTTCGAAAGAAAATTACTTATAAGTGTATTTCACCTAAAGGTAATTTTAACGTCAGAATTTTTACTTAATGGTAAATGTTACTCATCATCAAGTCATAATTTTACGATATAAAGACCACTTTATAACCGTTAATAATTCCTATTCGCCTGGTATTTTTTAGGGTTAATAGTGGTAATAAATACTATTAATATTGACTAAACAAGGAAAAATAAGCTTAAAGTGAAAAATAAAACTTTAAGGGAAATTTTTCAGGTCCCCATAATGAGTTTTTTAAGATGGTATGCCATTGGCATCCTTTACTTATCTAAATATTTATATAATATTTTTCATAAATATTTTTCTTAAATATAATAAGGAAAGTTTTAGTTATTAAAAAATGATTTAAACTAAATGATTTTTAAAAGATTTTATAAAAGTTTGTAGGTTTTAAGTTTTGTTGAATTTTTACCCAAGCAATAATATTTCTTAAAACCGTAAAATATTTAGAGAGCATGTAATTTTTAAGATGTATCATGCGTATTTTTATCAATAAAATATTGTGCGTTTGAATTTTAATGCAAAATATTATTAGTTTTGACAATTTAAGTTATATTTTTTAATTTTAAAATATAAATTAAAAGAACAAAGAAATTACGAATGTCAATGTTTTAAAAAGAGAGAGCAAACAGTTAGTAATTATAGCGTTATTTTTACGTAAATTTGTGGTATTTATATTGTTTTTATTACGTTATTCTCTTAGTAGATCAAAAAGGTTATTATATAGGTAAAATAACGAAATAAACCATTCCCCAAATTTGGTAATATTTCGTATCTATACCGTTATAAAACCGTTTTGGTTAACCGTCAAAAATATTTTAAAGTTAACTTAGTAGTAAATTTGTAGTTATTTAACCTTAAAATGCTGCTTGGGATCTACAGGGTGTCCAAAATGTGATGGGATAGTATTGCTATCTCGGTAACGGTTATAGTTGGAATAGGGCATCAAGAGTTCAAAAGTTGCGTAATTACATGCTTTTTAATATGGCATAGAAGATTGCAAAAAAAATCATTATATATAAGTAGAAGTAACACATAAAAGTATACTTGGTGCATCCTGTATATTGGGAAAAATAAAAATTCTGTAGGTATTTTTTTATTTGACAACCTACAAGGAGAAAAGTTGCGTATTAGATAATTATTTGCAATTTTTTATACTATTCTGATTAGGTGTTATGTTTAAGATAACTAATTTCCTTGATTAATATAATTTTCTTCGATTTCCTGTTATAAAAAAAATGCATGTTTTTAAGATCCAAACATCTAATTAATTTTATGTAATGCACTAGTTACCAGTTAACCAATAATCCCGAAGAATTTAAAAATAATAAATAGTATATAAAAACCATACGACAAGATTCCAACTTTCCTATAGCGGATCAGTACCTAATAAACATGGATTTATTTATTTGATCTAATCGTTTGTGCAAAAAAATCCACGAGGATTGAGTTGCACATAGAAATACTGTTCTTCTATAGATATATGCAAGCCGAATGAATGAATCTTGGCGAACCCTTTCTCTTTTCTACAAGCCTATATAAGATCTTCTCCGAGAAACGGTTCTTAGTTTATAACTTTTATCTGTGCAACCTGCATAATGATCCACTACCATTTAATAGGTAAACTTTCGGTGATACTTTGTGATTTGGTGATTAGTGTGATTTCGTGAAAATTGTGCTTTTTTTCGAAGCAGTGTACTTTTATTAAAATAATTATTTATTTATAAAAAATGAAATAATTACATTAATTCCTAAGAAAGATAATTCTTATTATAATGAATGAAAGTTTTCCTCTTAAATTGTTCTGCTAGTTAATTTTTTAATAATAACCAATTTATCGAATAAAAGTAATTAAAAATTTTCTACCGGTAGTTATAGTTATAATTATAATTATACATATATAACGATGAAAGATGTTTTACTTTTGATTGCATTGTTTCTATAATTTATTACACTACAATACAATACTAATATTTGATTGGTTGTAAAATATATTATGGTACAACTAAATAATTAGAATTACTATTTAAATATTTTATTGTTTCAACCTTTACTTGATGAAACTCTATAGAGTCTCTATATATGTCACTAATGTATAACTAGATAAAAAACAAACAATGTTTTTTGAGTTTCACGAATTTAATTTAATTTAATTTAATTTTGCTAACACAGAACCGTGTTAGCGAAACTTCAGAAGAAGCGAAACAATTGTCAAATTTGTACTAAAACCCTTCAACATTTTAGCATGCCTTTTAATTCTGGCGGTGTCTGGGCAAGATATTTCCGGAAAAAATATAAGACCTAGGCCATATTACGTATCTGACATTTCAGAAGAAGGTCCACTACAAGTTTATAAATCCTCAAGGTATACTTTTTTCTATATATTCTGTCTAAAAACTTAAAAACATTATTTCAGGCGCTCTGAACGGTACGAAACGGAAAACAAACCAGACATCGAATACGCGTATCCAGCTCGATATGAGACAGAGCAGGCCGAGTATGCGTTACAAAGGAATGCAAAAGATTACGAGCAATTAATCAAATCTCAGTACGCTCAATTAAGGCAGCCGAATGTTGAGCAGTATTTAAAGGAAGTTACTCCAACAACTAAAACCGTTTACAATCAAAGACCTGAGAGCTATCGCTTGAATGCACAAAGTAATGGTATTAAGAATCGAGAACAAACGAATACAGGCAGACCTCCCGTAAGATATGTTTTGCAAAACGAACAGTAAGTAATATTAATTTTAAGAACTATATTTAAATTAATTTTTACTCGTTTGTTTTATATACTTTTACTTTTTAGTAGTTTTCATTTTTTACCAATTTCACTTCAAATAACTTCATGTACGCCATTTTCACTGACTTTCTTATTTTATTGCGATCATATGGTAGCAACGCTAAATGACATTATTAAAGTGTTTCTACTATCCTTTTAAGGAAACTATTTCCCAGGACCATTATTCTTTCATTATTGATAAGGCAACCTTGTCCAATATAACTTGACATTGCCATTGTATCGTGAGAATCTTTCCAAACATTTTTTGAACGTTCATTATTACCAACACAATAAAAACTTGTCTCAACATTTAAAAGAATTTCGATAATATTGTAATATTTAAAATGTAACAATTGACCAATCCACAAGAAGAAGGAGTCAAATCACAGCATCTTGAAGGACATTGGACAGATCCATATCTCGAAATAATCAACTCACCAAACCTATGAAAGACAATATTAATATTTGTCTGTCTGACTTCTTTTTGTGGACTTACGAGGTGTGTTCAGAAAATATCGGGAATTTTCGTTTTTTGAAACAAATATTTATTTATTCGTCTACATTAATGTTGTCGCCTTCAAAATAGTCCCCATTGGATATTATGCACATGTGTCAGCTCTTCTTCCAATACTCGAAACACTTCTAAAACTCGATCTTTGGGATAGCCTTTAGTTCTTTCAGCGATGCGCTTTTAATGTCATCTATGCTTGCAAAACGACGGCCCTTTAAGGTTCTCTTTATTTTTGGCAATAGGAAAAAGTCAGACAGAGGCATGTCTGGCGAATATGGAGGATGGGGCATCATTACAGTATTGTTTTTGGCCAAAAATTTTGTTCAAAATTTAACAATTTTAGAACAAATTTTGCTGCCACGCGTTTCATACCCAAAACATTCGAAAAAATTTCATGGGATGAGCCAATCGATATACCAACATCATCAGCGACTTCTCTGATGGTTTATATCCATTTCTTCCACTTTTTCCATGTTTTTATCGGTTGTTAATGTGCTTGTGCGTTCGGGGCGTTCGTCATCTTCAACGTCTTCACGGCCATCTTGGAAACTCTTATACCACTTGTAAACTCTTGTTTTACTTATAGCAGACTCACTATGGGCCTTTGTTAACATTTCACAGAATTTATTTCATTTTTTAAGCAAAATTGGATACAAATTCTTTGATCCATTTCTTTTAACGAACGAAAAATCACCGAGCTCATAAAACACGTCTAACCTTAGTAAACAATGAAAACAGACAAAGTTTTTATCACAGTTCGGGGGCATGTATACCTACATAATAAAGAAAATTTTTAGACAACCGGACCCTCCGAACCCGCGAAATTTAACAATTCCCGTTATTTTCTGAACACACCTCGTATATGTTTAAAGTCGAGAATAAATAAACAAATATTAGAAATATTCCCCAACACCAAAACAGTTATAGTTACACTTCGCTTCTGAAGATGTCAACATCGTTGGCGAAAAGTACTTTAAGCACTTTTTGGTTTCTTTTGGTGTTGGGGAATATTTCTAATATTTGTTTAATATATCACCAACCAATTTTTAGAAGGCAGCCCTCCCAGCCTCAATACCAATTCCAAAACCCCGACCAAGTAAAGCAATACGAATTGCAAGGACCTTCGTCGAACGTAGTATACCAAAACCTTCCTAGAGTGGAAGAATCGGCGGAAGAACCATCAAAATCGCAAATATACGTATCTCAAAGCATCGCGAAAAAACCTACAAAATTGAAGCAGTTAAAACCGAAACCATACGAACAACAACAACAACCAAATGGTGAATATTACAGACAACTTCAGATCTATCATCAGCAAAGACAGCAACAATTGGAGCAGCTTCAGCAAATCCAACAGAACAAACCGCGCGACTTCGAACCGTCTCAACTGATCAGCTACGAAACCCCGCAAGGTCAGAAGGTGGAGTACCAAGAAGAAACCCCGTCGTACCCCGACCCTTCCCCAGTCCGACAACAATCTAAAAGACCCAATGGACCAATTAGATACCAACTCGAGCAACCTCAGTACGAAAGCCCGGAACAAGTCGAATATCAAAGACCAACGGAGTACCAGCAAAAACCAAAGCAGCATCCGAAATACCTGCCGGAACCCAAAACCAGGTACCAAACAAGTCCCATAGAGGAATCCAGCCCCCCCGAGGAAGCTCTAGCGAAATACCAGGCTTCAATAAAAAAGTACCACCAAGCTCAATCGCCGAGATATCAGCCGCAAGAAATCAGTTATCAACCCCAGCCGAGCAAATATCAGTATAGCGAGGAAAGTCAGCCAGTGCCCCAATACAAAGATTTCGATGGTGTTGTTTACGAAAGGCCACAATCGATTAGAAGCAGACCGGATACAAGATACAAGCAGTATCTGCAAGGTCCCAATGTTAGATACGTGGAAAGGCCGAGCGGGCTAAGTTACTCTTTATCTAAATAGTATTTTGTCATTTGTATGATTTTTAGATAGTAGTATTTATATAGGGTTTTTGTATAAATTTAATATGCATCATATATTTTTACAGAAAATAAAGTGTTTTATTTTAAATAAATTGTCGTTTTTTTTATCTCTACTAGATGACAGAAGAGTGGTAAAGTCATTTTATAACATATGGAAAAAATGAAATGGTTGGAAATTGTATGTTTTTTAAATGTAATTTAATGCGCTTTTAAAGTTTGTTTGTAAACAAAATATGGTTTAAGTAAAAAAACATGAAGCATAAAACACAAGTTTTAAAAGTACATAAGCTATTCAGCACTACCAAGGTTTTTTCTTTTTAAAATTTTATATTTATTTTAGTTTTGTAAATTTATATCAAAACTATTTTTTTGTATAAAAAATTATAAAAATTAAAAAGTGAAACAATGTATCAAAAATTGTTACATCCTGTAATAACATAAATAACATTGTAAGCGATATTAGTTCAAATGTTTTATTAGGTACTGCATTATATGATATTGAATATTTATAAAGCCAGGGCCGTCACTCCAATAGGGGCCTCAAATCTTAAACAAAAATTGCTAAATACAAATTTCACCACACATTTTATATTTTTTATTTTTAATTATAATCAAGACAATTATTGTTATTATTAATCAATTTTTTCTTTGTGGTAGTTGTAGCTAAAATTGAAATTTATAATAAGATGAAGATGAATAATTGCAAAATCTCAAGGATAAAATAAACACCCAGGGTTTATTATTTATAACAATAAATACAATCCAAACTTAAAAAAACTCGCTGCAAAATCATAAAAATATTATAACCAATATGCAAAATATTATGCTGTTTAAAGTATAGCCAACCTATAAAATAAAAATTTTGGGTGGGATAAATTATCTCATTACAGCGGTGTTATAATGAAGTCATTATGAACGCAAAATAGATAAAAACCTGTTAAACTCATCTCAAAATAAAAATAAATTAAAAAAACATAATCAATGATCCATATATGAGACAAAAATATTTTAAATGGACGTACCTATAGGTAAACATCTTAATAATGCCATTAGGGAAAAGTAAAAGAAGAATTCTTCAGACAAAATGTTTAAATTTGTGTATTATTTTTTAATTGTTTAAAATAAAACTGTTTAAGAATTAAAAAAAGCCCAATTATAAAATTAAAAGGTACTACCTTAATAATTCATTAAATTAAACCTAACGTGTTACTTCTTTGAAGTACATACATACGAGGTGTGTTCAGAAAATATCGGGAATTTTCGTTTGTTGAAACAAATATTTATTTATTCGTCTACATTAATGTTGTCGCCTTCAAAATAGTCCCCATTGGATATTATGCACATGTGCCAGCTCTTCTTCCAATACTCAAAACACTTCTAAAACTTGATCTTTGAGATAGCCTTTAGTTCTTTCAGCGATGCGCTTTTAATGTCATCTATGCCTTTAAGGTTCTCTTTATTTTTGGGAATAGGAAAAAGTCAGACAGAGGCATGTCTGGCGAATATGGAGGCTGGGGCATCATTACAGTATTGTTTTTGGCCAAAAATTTTGTTCAAAATTTAACAATTTTGGAACAAATTTTGCTGCCATGCGTTTCATACCCAAAACATTCGAAAAAATTTCATGGGATGAGCCAATCGATATACCAACATCATCAGCGACTGATGGTTTATAACCATTTATTCCACTTTTTCCATGTTTTTATCGGTTGTTAATGTGCTTGTGCGTTCGGGGCGTTCGTCATCTTCGGCCATCTTGGAAACTCTTATACCACTTGTAAACTCTTGTTTTACTTATAGCAGACCCACTATAGGCCTTTGTTAACATTTCACATAATTTATTTCATTTTTTAAGCAAAATTGGATACAAACTCTTTGATCCATTTCTTTTAACGAACTAAAAATCACCGAGCTCATAAAACACGTCTAACCTTAGCGGCTGCCACAGACAAAGTAACCAATGAAAACAGCTAAAGTTTTTATCATACTTCGGGGGCATGTATACCAACATAATAAAGAACATTTTATGACAACCGGACCCTCCAAAGCCGCGAAATTTAACAATTCCCGTTATTTTCTGAACACACCTCGTATATACAACAAATAAGACGATGAGTAAGTAGGTAAGTAATTGTTATTTACTTACAATATTTTATTAAAAATGGGTAAAATGTTGAAATTGTGAAAGATAATTTTTTTACATATATGTACCTATGTAAAAAAGTATCTTTCACAATTTCAATATTTCAATATTTTTGTATTATTTTCCGTATTATTATATTATACATAATATAATAAAACGGAAAATAATACAAAATTATTTTGGTAGATCTCTTTATGTTGTTTTGAATTTGTACGAATAAAATAATCGGTGGTTTCAAATAGAAATTCATTTGTGTGGTGTGGCAAATTTTATTTTGCACAACAGCCAGGGACAGTACTGTATAAAGCTCATACTTAACAGATAACAGATACAATAATTAAACTCTATTATAATAACGAAAATCGCTTTGAAAGATGATACACATTTCGAAACTGCATGTGCAGCGCAGGCACGAACGACGCCCTTTTATTGGCCCAAACGCGCGATAGTGGGAGTACAAATCATGTGCTGCACCGGTTTGAATTTTCGTGATCCTCAGTTCAGCCAAACGGGCACGACTTGCCAGGCCCTTATAATTCACGACCATGAGCGAAGCATTGAACGACCAGAACGTCGAGTTTCACTTGGTGGCGATCTTCGAAAAACTCGAGGCCATCAAAAATGAACAGATCAGCACGGCGGTCAGCATCAAGGTGCCCATGCAAGTCGAGATTCGCACCTTGGAGTTTTGGAGAAGTGTCACGTCCGAGTGTTTGGCCTCTTTTATTTATGTTTTTGTCGTATGCGGGGCTGCCGCAGGGACCGGCACCGGGACCACGTCGTTCTCCTCGATTCTACTAGCGACCGCTTTGGCGGCGGGCTTTGCCGCCACCTCACTCACACAATGCTTCGGACATATATCAGGTATGTTAATTTTATAACTATTGGCAATCATAAAAATAAACTAAAACATTTTTTTTATTTTAGGGGCTCACATTAACCCGGCTGTGACAGTGGCGATGGGGGCGACAAAAAGAATAACAGTTCTAAGGACCACTTTGTTTATTCTGGCGCAATGTGGCGGCGGAATAGCGGGAGCGGCATTTTTATACACGTAAGTGAATTTATTTTAAATTAAAACGCGCTAATCGAATCGGCACTTTCTTCAAGATTGGCCTCTTGGAGAAAACCGTATCCCATCTGAGGTCCGCTGATTAATTTTAAAAGGAGCTGCGTGTGTTGGCAACACAACCATCTGTCAAGACTTGCTACGGGTCTCACCTGCCTTTTTCAGCTGTTCTCTGATAAACATTCCTTACGATTTCCTTTTTAATTATTGTCTTTTCGCTTCGTGCATTTTTTAAACATTTTAAGCACTAAAAAGTTACACTATTTCAATTCGTGTTTTTAAATTAAAATTTTTTTACTCTCTTTTACTTTACTAAGATTTTTATTTAATTCGTATAGTTCTTTGTAATTTGGACTTTTATATATAAAAATTCATTTATTCGAAAATAGTGCAGATTTTTTCCACAAAACGTGCTTAAAATCTCAAAATACGGTATGCGTGAATTCTATTGAGGTATCTATAATTGAACACAAAAGAAATAAGTTATAGAAAATCCCTTTTTACCTGCCTTTAATTTACCTGAAGTCGGTAGGATGTACAAAATTGTGGGGGAGCACATCTGCCACTTCAAAGATTGCATCTGAACTGTTCAATAATAATCATGTTTAGAATTTTGCTTTTTTTTCTCCTTCGCCTTTATTTAGCTTATGGCGTGTATCGCTGCTCATCTGTATCTACAAATGATATCGCACATAAAATTGAGATGACATTTGATCAGGTCTTGTTTTGGGACACTTTGTTTTGTGTTTTAGGTAGGCTAAGGAAATTTCATAAAAAATATACAGGGTGTACAAAAGTTAAAAAACAATTTTCTGACGAGCAGGAACATTGTTTTATACTTAAAATAAACTCCCCTTTTGCGACTGTTTCGAGACACCCTGTATATTTTTAAATTAAATAATTTTAAAACGTTTCCCATATGGTACCAACTTAAATAGACACATTGTATATATATATATATATATATAACTGAAAAAATATACAGGGCCCAAGCAGCATTTTAAGTAAAAGCGTAGAGCTTTGAGGCAATATTACTTAATTTAAGTAAATATTTTGTTTAATTTACCTTTAAAATTTACTTTGAAGTAAAACTTTTTTAAAGTTATTTAATAAGTTTTATGTATGTTATTTTTTCCTATTTTAATAACCCTTAAGTTTCAACACATTAAAGTATTATGAGGGACGTAATTTTTACGAAAGAAAATTACTTATAAGTGTATTTCACCAAAAGGATAATTTAACGGTAATTTTAACGTCAGAATTTTTACTTAATGGTAAATGTTACTCATAGGTCATAATTTTACGATATTAAGACCACTTTATAACCGTAAATAATTCCTATTCGCCTGGTATTTTTTACGGTTATTAGTGGTAATAAATACTATTAATATTGACTAAACAAGGAAAAATAAGCTTAAAGTAAAAAATAAAACTTTAAGGGAACATTTTTTTCAAGATGGCATCCATTACTTAAATTTATTTCATAAATATTTTTCTAAAATGTAATAAGAAAAGTTTTAGTTATTAAGAAATGATTAAAACTAAATGATTTTTAAAAAAATTTTATAAAATTTTATAGGTTTTAAGTTTTGTTGAATTTATACCCAAGCAATAATTTTTCTTAAAACCGTAGAATATTTAGAGGGCATATAATTTTTAAGATGTATCATGCGTATCTTTATCAATAAAATATTGTGCGTTTGAGTTTTAATGCAAAATATTATTAGTTTTGACAATTTGAGTTATATTTTTTAATTTTACTCTTGGGTGGCCTTTATTACTTTGTAAGTGCCATTTTGTAAAATATAAATTAAAAGAACAAAGAAATTACGAATGTCAATGTTTTAGAAAGAGAGAGCAAGCATTTAGTAATTACTGCGTTATTTTTACGTAAATTTGTGGTATTTATATTGTTTTTATTACGTTATTCTCTTAGTAGATAAAAAATGTTATTATGTAGGTAAAATAACGAAATAAACCATTCCCCAAATTTGGTAATTTTTTGTATCTATACCGCTATAAAACCGTGTTGGTTAACCGTAAAAAATACTTTAAAGTTGACTTAGTAGTTATTTAAACTTAAAATGCTGCTTGGAGTGTTATTTTGCGTATAAAAATTGTAACATATTATTAAAAAACATTCTTGTAAGATATATATAGAAAATAGAGATTTTTATAAACAAACAGGTCTAGTTTTGGGACTCTTTATCTTTTTTGTCCTATATTGCGTGCAATGCAACTGTATAAGTGTATTTTTTTGGGTTTTCAAGTGGCTAATATCAGTAACATACGGTAACAATTACTGGGAAGAAGCGAGTTGACCCCTTTTTGAAACCACAATAGCCGATAACGTGACAATCAGGACAATAATTCGCGCACATCGGCGTGATAGTGCAACCCTAAAAATAACATGGGGTCCGCCCCTTCTATCTATGAATGAATAAAAACTGATTTTTTACTAGCCACCAAATATGTTAGCTAGGATCTATTCATAAAACAATATTTATATTGCGGCAGTATGGCCCGATTTTATGCGGAAACATCATAAATCTTTTTCACAAACAATACAATAAGTAAATCTATTTTTCATATAGCGGCAAGTGTGGTATGATAATCCTTAAACTGGTTTTAAGTACCCACCTGTCACAAAAAAATATCGCACTTATTTTCCAGGGATTATGTTTCTTTTAATTTACTAAGGGTTCAATCAAGTTTTAAAATCACAATTTTACATTCTATCAAAAAAGTACAAAAAATTTTGTATAACAAAATCTTTTGCTGTAAAAACAACGTTGAATTAGTTTTTTTTATTATAATATTGTGCTACAAATTTAAATTAAACTTAAGTTAACGTTAATTACGGTAAAATTAAAAAAAAAGTTATGTTGCTCATCCAGTTAAAATATATTTGGTAAAATATAACTTGTTGGTTAAAAAAATATACCCAAATTAACCAAAAAGTTATATCAAAACTAAACCAAAATATGCCTAAAAAAGAACTGTCTTAATCATTTTTAAAGGTTTAAATAGAAGTTAATATAACGTTAAGTAACTTTTAAAATAACCTACGTTTGAACTTAAAAGGAATATTACTAACCAGGTCATTTTAGGTTATTTTAAGAGTTTCAATTGACTTTAAATAAACCAAATATTTAACTAGTTACTAATATTACCAATAGGTTTCTTTTATTAGTTAAATTATACTAAAAAATAACCTTTGAATTTACCTTAAAGTTAAGAAACCCGTTGGTAAATTTAAAGGGTTATTTTTTAGTTCATAGTAAGCTTAAAAAAATGTTAATGGTTGAATATAACTAATTGGTTAAAAAACAAGTTTAAAAAGCGTTATTTTTGAGAATGCTAGTTATTTAATCACTGAAATGCTATATAAGTAGTCTATTTTATAAAAAAAATCCGTGTACAGGACAGAATCCACCTATCCGGTTGTGGGTAGCACTTAAAAACAATTTAAGCGTATTAAACCTAAACCCCAAACATTGTAAAAATCTGCCCTTTTAACTTTATTTAATCGCAATTATAAATTGATATCCCCCATTGAATTGCGGTTACCCTCTAGTAGTTAAAATTCACTTGTTCGCATATGATACGCGCATTGAGACTTTCAAGTGCCAAATTTAATTCATTTTTTATGATCCCCTCCCTGTTTATATATCGCAGTCAGTTGGGGTAGCCAATTTTTTATGGCGAACTTAATGATCAAGATGTCACTTGATCAAGTTCTCACAGGCAAGTGAAATTTAATGGCTTTTATAAGGTTCAATATAAATACAAAAAAATTGGTATCTATAGATATAAATTTATTTACAATGAAAAGATGTAGGTAGTTATTTAAATCTTTTACATATTTTCTTTTAAGTTATAACAGTTTATCTTAATAACTTAATAAATTGGTTTATATTAGGTGCATGGGTAAAAGCTTGGCCAAAAATTCCCACCCCTTATTGGGAATTGGGGCACGTGGCACCTTTAATACTTTGACAATGTCCATCGGGAATTAACCATATCATATCTGATAAGTGTGAAAAATAATCTTTCATCATTTTAAAGCCCCCGTAATGACCTTATTTACAGCATTAAACTCCATTCATGTGAAAATTAACAGTGTCATTTTAACTTGATTAGAATCATTGTTTAACCAGGGGTATTTAATATAATCATGAGAATTTTGTTAAATGTTATGTTACATTAAACATTTTAAGAGGAGGGTGTTTTAAACAATTTTGTATTATATTTATCTACTTCTACATTGACAAGCAGTGACTTAGTCACGGGCTAAAGTTAGCAATAGTGGCTTTTGGGCATTTTAGTTACGGACTGAAGTTAGCTTCTTATTAAAAATTAGAAAAAAGTGAGGTTAATTTCAATGACATTTGACAGAAGTCAACAAATAAAATTGGCTTTAAATTTTTCTTTGTGTTCGTCGTAGATAAATTATATAAAGTTCTTTAGACACTTGTTTTTATTAAACACTCGCTCACAAGCTGTAACTTTATGGCGTTTTAGTCACGGGCTTAAAGTTGTCAAATGTCATAAAATTGCAAAAAATAACAAACTGACACTGACATATTGTTGTCAACACTCTTTACTAAAGTGATTGCTTATGGCCTAGGCACTTAAAAATGATTAAAGCATTTAAACCATAACGTTGATTTTAACTCAGTAGGTTAAAATCTGAAGTGAATTTGATAAAAAGTGGTAGTTTGTCTGATATGAAGAGAATATGCATCCTATCCAGGCCGGGTGGTTGATGAAAGGTTCTTTAAAGGGAAAGGAAATGCCGAAACAAGTGCTAAGAAGGCCAGGTGCGTGAGGCCACGTGTTTCAAACAAAGTACCCTTAGATTTAAGTACAGTCTGTAAATGTGGTGTAAAATTAATGATAAAATAATTATATTATATATATACAATGTATATTATACATATAATTATATAATAATTATTCATTTTAAAAATATTTTATAATCTAAATATAGTTGGAAACATATGCGTTTTCGAACTGTAAATAGTGAGCTCCAACATGTGTTCGTAGAAATAATAAAATCAGTTCTAGTCGATAAGAGGACCCTAAGAAATGTGTCTACATAGGGTAGACTTAGCACATGTTTGGAACATATGTACTAATGAAGAACAAAGCTGGGTTTATTTTCGCAAAATACATACTAACAAAAAGTTACGAAAAACGTGAGAATGTTTTATTTTATAGCCGGCTAAAAAGGGTTTAATTACAAGAATTGCCCGCTTGTAAATGTTGAAGCATCTAATAATAAACCGTATAGAACGTTTAAATTAATCGTAATTAATTTTAATTTAAAACGCAAGGGGATTGCAACGTGATAACTTCTTTAATGCTGTTTGTTTCAAATAACACGTTTTTGAATTTTCCCCAGACATGTTTCTGAAATCCACCCCAAGCCTTGGGGACCAAGGACTAATATAAGTAGCTAAAGCAAACTTAATATCGCACCTTATACCTTAGGATTACCTACCTACTCACCCTTTTGCGTTATTAGTTTTCAAATAATACTCCTAGATAATTGAAAAAATATATTTACTACATAAACTTATAGTTTTAAACTTAAAAGAAGGAAAATAGAAATTTTAATTTTAACTCTTGGAAAATTCAGTTAACAGTTGTTGCTACTTGAGAAGACTTTTTAATTAGTTTTATTATTATTTAAGCTTTATTATTGTCAACGCTCACTATACCTTAGTATTCGATTATCTCTTACTGTTAAAATAATTCAATAATTTAAAAGTTTTTTTCTACTCCCACCTTTAAAACGCCCTTTATATGTTTCCATGACACTAAGTGACCTTTTAAACACACATTGACAAGTTTTGCGGCGCTTTAGTCACGGGCTGAAGTTGGCAACAGATTTTTAGTCACGGGCTGAAGTTAGTTTTAAGTTAGTTGACAGTTGTCAAATGTTATACAATCGTTAAAATAAAGTGCCTTTTTTGTAAAATAATACTAAATGTGAAAATTATTTTATTATCTCAATACAAAAATATTAAATAGTTTCTCAACGCCAATATTTGAAAAGTTTATATGAACATTGTACTGACCTTTTAATTTCGCCGGCAGTAAACTATAACTTAAATTCGGGCACGGACTTTACTGTAAAGTCCTCATAAAACATTTCCTTTACTTTCACTGTGAAAAACTGTCCATTTTCAAGATACATTTTGATTTATAACCTTTATAATTGTGTTTATAAAATGTAAAAATGTGACATTTGACAGTTTCCCCTGTTGTTTCATAGATGGCGCTCTACACAAATTTTTGATTTAGGTAAATCATTTTAAGATAATAATAAGTATTTGTCGTAGAAAAAGTATAGTATGCACCTCGTTTATAAACTTTTCTATACACTCATTAACTTAAGCACTCGCTCGCAAGCTCGCTCGTGCCTAAATTAAATGCGTGTATAAAATGGCGTTTATCAAACTTGATACATAATATACATCTTCAATTTTTGAACTTGATTATAAATTGTACATAATACAGAATACAGATTGCAGAGTAGAGAATACGGTTAATGCCATTTTAAACCAGCCATAAATACTATTTACCTAGTCTTCTTGCTTCAGATGCAAGATTGACAAAACTCAATTAATGCGATAACTGCAAAAGGTTTTTTTGTAGTTCAATAATAAATTCCTGTACAATTTATTTGAACCTCAGGTCAAATTATCTTATTGATTTAATTGATGAAAACAGCTTTGTTCACGACTGATTTAAAACTTGTATTTTCGTATATTAATTAGCGATTTTAATTGCAGGGTAACGGTGCCTGGGTACCAGAGCAACTTGTCGGCCGCTGTGGCACATTCTGCAATGATTGCGCCCTGGGAAAGATTCGGAATCGAATTTATTTTGACTTTTATCGTCGTCTTCTCCTACTTTGTATCCATGGATACCTATAGGAAGTGGATAGGTACATCTGCTCTTACGATAGGGTCTACATACTCAGCGTGCTCATTTGTATCTGTAAGTTATATTTTATTTTATTTATTGGTTAAAATCTAACTTTTTGTTTTGCTTTAGATGCCATATTTGAATCCAGCTAGATCACTTGGACCTTCTTTTGTGTTGAGCAAATGGGAGAACCATTGGGTCTATTGGTTGGGCCCTATGTTGGGGGGGCTAGTCTCCGGTCTTATCTATGAATACATATTCAATCCAAAGCGCTATAAGAAAATGCCCGACATCTCAGACGATGATTCGTCCAGTATTAGATCCGATGAGGATAATTATGATGATTTAGATAAGCCAACTCCACCGAAATTCCACGGGTCCACATACAACACCTACCGTTCGGCCAATGGGGAGAGAGCTACCAACCACGCTGGCTATTGCCCTAGCTTAACCACCGCGAGTTTATATTCAGCTCCACCTACCAAACTGGAAAGAGTAGAATCAATTTATGGCGGTACCAAGTCGTTATACTGCAAATCGCCGCCGTTAACAAGAGCCAATTTAAATAGAAGCCAATCGGTGTACACCAAGTCGAACAGCGCTCTAAATAGAGACGTGGTCCCTAAACCTGGTCCGTTGGTGCCCGCCCAATCACTATACCCGATGAGGTTGAATCAGAATCAGAATTACGTGCAAAATCAGAACGCCCAGAACCAAATGCAGCAAAGATCCGAGAGTATCTATGGTGTGAGAGGTGTAACCCCCGGTACAGCTACCAGAACCGCTGAACAGAACTACACCACGACTGAACGTGCCGTTTACGGAACTAGAGCCAACTCGAACCAAACAAACGAAGGAAAATACGACGATAACGCTTCAAGTAAAGGTTCAACCTCTAGAAGACCAGAATCTATGTACGGGTTGCTAAGCTCGCAAGCTAGAAGGGCTCAAGCCGCCCAATCGGATACGGAAACTGGATACGTATCGTCTTCGTCGCGCTCCAATGCTCCAGGGGGCAGTTACAATGCCGCCCCTAACTACCCCTTACCTCCAAACCCCAATAGTTATGCCCCGAGGACCAGCAGTGAGAGCAGGCCGCCGCCACCGTCCGCCAGTGGCGGTGGTTCATATCACCACCAGCACGCTCAGCATTCACCAAATCCGCAGTATTGACCAAAGAAGACATGGCTGTAGAGATAAATTTTGTTAAAATACCAGACATGCATGTCCAAAGCAGAGATCCGCTTAAAGAAGATTGTAAATATTTTATTATTTATTCATGATGTTTGGATAAATTTACGTAGCGATCTCTCGATGGATGATATTGACTTGTTGTTGAAGAGGCAAGCATAGATTTATGCAGCTAATTTTAATATTGTTGATTTTTTGTATTTAGAACTGACAACAATCTTTTATTTTTATTATTTATTGTAATATAATCTGCAATAATGTATTAGTTTCTTCTATTTTTCCTTTGTTGTACGTCTATTTTATTTATGTAAATATCTTATATAAAAATTAAAATCTAGACCATACCAATCACCTATTTTATTAAATTATCCCTTTCTGTAAAAATAAATTTGTATCTAAAAATAAAGTTGATTTGTGCCCAAAACCATTTAAGGTAGGGAACTCGTATTATGGGGGATTATTAACCATAATAAGCTTTATTTATATTCAAAATTTCAACATCCAAACTTGAACAATTACGGAAATAAAAATTAAAACAAATCCTATGATTTTGTGGCTCAGTCTAGGTCATTTGAACTACTTGATACACTTGGCCACAAAATTAATACCTTTTAAAAACCGTTTGTTTGTTCAAACGCACGTATTTACTAATTATTAATGTATGCATGGCAAAAATTGTTTCACTTTTACTACTATGTATTTTATAGCATATTTATTAAGACAAGAAGAAAATCGCTCACATTTTTTTTTAAATCTTTGTAAAATATAACAGGAATCATATAACTATATGGTATATGCAGGAATCTTGCACTGAAAACTAACCAAAGTCAATGTAAAATATCGGGCAGTTACATCTTAAAATATAAGTTACTTGCAAATCATTTTAAAATTAATAAAAAAATTTGTACCACGATACACAAAACCCGGTATGCTGATGCGCATGCCTCTTGCACCGTGTGACGTCATGTGCGAACCAAAAGCTGGCGGGTAACTGCAAATTCACTTTATATTCGAAAATGTATTAATATAGTGATGGCCTGGGTGCAATTATTAGGTTTAACAAATGTTAAGAGAAAGTAAAATTGGCAGCAAGCGCTTTTAATACTAATGTAACATATTTTAAGCAACAATTAATTTCCTACCTTCCAAAATATTTTATATTCAATTCAATAAATGGGTCATTTGAACTTATGTTCTGTTTTTGAACTACTGTCAAACTATAGTTAATTTGAGGTTAAGGCAGAATTGCGGGTCACAGAAATAGAAGGTCTTCTATTTCTGTGTTGTGGGTTAAGGAATGTTTTTATTCTTAGAGAATAATAATAGTAAGGGGGTTGCAGGATCAAAAGAAGAGCCACACAAAGCATTAATAAGTTTATTTAAAGCACATTTTTAATCTTGTTTATTATTATACATTGGGCATCTAATTAACCTTTGTATCCTTTTATTAAAGTCATAACAAATCAAAGTGGATGAATCCTTTTGTTAAACGTCTTTTACAAAACACAACGAAAACAATAATGTCTAAACGAAAATTAAATGATTACGCGGGGTTCGAGAAAGTTTTGAAAGAAGCAAAAAATATTGTCGCCCTTACAGGAGCAGGAATCTCTGCGGAATCGGGAATTCCCGTATTCAGAGGCGCTGGTGGACTATGGCGAAACTATCAAGCCACAAGTTTAGCTACACCTGAAGCTTTTAGAGCCAACCCTTCATTAGTTTGGGAGTTTTATCAGTACCGTAGAAATGTTGCTTTTAATGCTCAACCAAATAATGTATTTGTTATTTGCTTTATTTACAATCAGTAATATGGTTTGTTTAAGGCTCATAAAGCTCTGGCAATACTTGAAGATGAGTGTAAAAGGAAAAAAAATAATTTTGCTGTGATTACACAGAATGTAGATGGTTTACATAAAAGAGCTGGGTCAGAAGAGATAGTTGAGTTGCATGGAGCCTTAGATAAAATTATTTGTACTAAATGTAAACATATAGAAGTTAATCTTGATAGTCCTGTTTGTGAGGCACTAAAAGATAGAGGGTGAGTAACATTTTAATGAAGATGAAGATTTTAATTGAGGTTTTAAGGGATCCAAACAATTTAAATCAAGAACCTATAATGATTAAAGATTTACCCAAGTGTAAAAAGTGCGATTCTTTGGCGAGGCCTTATATTGTTTGGTTTGGGGAAAGTTTAGATCCTCAAGTAATGGAAAAGGCCAGTAAGTATCCTGCACACAATCCTGAGTTCATAGTTAATGTTTATGAATTTTACACGCCGCATGTATTTAAATTAGCGAAGATCTGCGCGTGCGTAGAATATGCGCGCGCAGGTGTAATCGAGGTAAAAATACATGAGAAATCACGGCGTGAGGTAAACTGATAAAAATGAACTCAGGGATGCTGTGCGAGAGATTAATATTTTTATTATTATTTAAAGGAAATTTGGTGGAAAACTGCGATTTGTGCCTTATTATTGGTACTTCTTCAGTTGTATATCCAGCTGCCATGTTTGCACCATCAGTGTTAGAACGTGGTAAACCTGTGGCTGAGTTTAATATAAGTGAGGAACCTGCTAACGAGGGTTTTACGTTTCACTTCAGTGGAAAATGTGGTACTACATTGCCAAAGGCTTTGGGTATAGATTTATAAATGAAAGTCCCCTATCCTGATTAAAAATTTATTTTGTCACAACTCTGAAATTAAATTGGATTATAACATTAATAAATCACATAACAGCTTTAATGTATAAATAGTTAAATAGTGCATTTTCCTGGACAAATTACTGATAGTTTATAATAAATATTTAAAAAAATATTATTTCTTATATTTTTTTAGTTGGGTTAATTAAGAGGATAATAGTGATAAAGGCGTTATATTATATATCCCAACTAAACAGATGATGTTTCACCAGCATATCACGAACGCCATCTTTTAATGGCTGATTGTTTGATTCTTTTTTCACTGGCAGCTCCCAGTCAGGATTCAAGTTAAACGATAATTGAGATAATATTCTCAGATCACATTTTATTTGTACCCAGCCAGGACTATAAACAAACGACCACGGATGGTACCTAAAAATTTTTTTCGTCAACGAAAAAACAACACATTTTTTAAAAAAACTCACCATTTTTGGACAACATCGCTCGACGAACATAATACTTCCAACCATAAATGCAAAACCTGCTCGTTAAGCCCCATACAGATGAGGGATCTTAGCTTAACGTCCATTTGGGCGTGCGCATTGTCGTGAGACAGATTCACAGATTGAACACAACGATATAACAACTAAAAAAATGTTTATTGAAATTTGTGACTTTACAAATTATTTCTATAGAAAGCAATAAACCAATTAGGGATGGCGTTCTCTATCGCACCTAGTGTGCTGTGAAGAATGCCGTGCTCTGATTGGTTCATTGCCTTCCATGGAGATCATTTTCAAATATATAATGAGTTACCTCTTCAGGAGTTAATACTTTTCCATCTTCATCTAGCCTATAAGTTTTACACAAAACCAAGCGGCTGTACACTGAATTAAAGTCTTTTTCAACTTCTTTGGTGGCTGATTCTTCAATAAATAGCCAGGGATGACATGGCCCACCTAAAAACGTTTAAAAATTTTTATATTATAAAAATAGGTAACTGTTAAATTACAGGTCACTGTAGATTAAATTTATGCACATAACCTATAATGTCAAACGTCATCATCTACTTATGATAAAATGTTGCAAACTTAACAATTAGATGTTAGATAATAATACCTAAAAAGTTTGGTCTCTTCATTCCATGCTCCAAAAGCTGCTTCAACACAGGACACAAAGTGCCTCTGACAAGATCAGTGACAGTCTCGGAAATGCTGTCGTCGCCAGCACTGCTGTACTGTTTACTCCTCTCGTCCAGCAATTGCACGAATTTGGCGGGGAACCAGCCCCTTAACCCATTCAACTCTCCCACCCAACAATGCTCGTCCTTTTGGCTGATTATCGTGATGATGTCATTTTTTCTGAAGCCCAATTCGTCGTCGTCGTGGCGCTCGAAATCCAGGAGAGCCTTGGCGCGCCTTTTGCGATTTTTTGAGACGTTTATGTAGTTGGCGTGGTCCTGGGCGTGGCTCTCCATCGTGTAATCCGCTATCAGGGATATTTCCGAGCTCAGCTTTGGGTCCATTTGCAGAAAATGACGAGATATCTATAATTAGAAGCATAATTTTATTTATTTTTAATTGGTGGTTGAAATATCAAATGGATGCGGCTTTTTCTGCCAAACCCTGTAAAATCGTGTTTTCTGTTTACCTGTAAGATGGCTTCCCTTAAATCAACTAGAATTTCAGTCTGCTTGATGTTTTTGCACTTTATATCATCTTCAGTTGTCTCATTGAACAAAAGCAACTGTATAACCGATTTGTTTTTCTTTATTTGCCGTCTAAAAAGTAATAATAATACACATTAAAATTTAAGTACACTTTTGGGTGAGGTTTAAGAAGCATTTTTAAATAAAACAATAATTTATAAAAACAAGAACTTTATTCAAAAGTATTATAAATTAAAACATTTTAGAAGAATTAATAATTATTATTATTTTTGATCACATTAAGTATTAATTAATAATAATAAAAAGTTTTGTTTTAAAATTTAATTGAACTGTTGAATTTTTTTGTAAGAAAACAATAAATATAATTAACATCAGTCATTATAGCTAATACACTTTTACATAATCTATGTAAGGCTTTGTATAATGAAATGTCACTCTGAAAATAGAGTAATTACTGAAAATATGCACATTTATTTGGAAAAATAAATAAATAAATCACTTTTTATCTTACATTTAAAAATGTATACTTTCTCATAAAGTATAAACACGGATCTTATGTGGTAGTAAGTGTGCCAAAGGTTCCAAAGGCATATTCTAAACACAACAATTTATTATTTACACATTTACTGGATATTGGTTCATGATAACTAGTGTCAGTCAAATTTTGTTGAATTTTCTCAAAGTCCCACACAGCAATATTACCGTTAAACGTCCCCCCGCACAGTTTCTTCCCGTCCTTGCTCCAAATCAACTTTGAAAAAGGTTCATTCAAATACTCAAACTCCACCATCACTTTGGCATTTACCAAATCCCAAATCCTAACCTTCTTGTCTTCGCTGGCACTAGCCAGACATTGTCCCTTCGGGTGAAAAACCGCGGCGTAAATGATGCCTTTAGCACCGTGAAACAATCTCATGGGGTTCCCGTTTTCGACGCACCACATACGCACGTTTTTGTCCGCAGACCCCGTCGCTATATACAAACAATTTGGATGAAAATCAATTGAGGTAATGGACTGAGTGTGTCCAACAAAAACTCTGATTGCCTGGCCAGTTTCCAAGCTCCAGAGTCGCGCGGTTTTGTCCTGAGATCCAGATATAACATATTCACTGTTTGTGCTTATTTTTGTACAGTAAACTGGCCCTAAATGCCCCTTACACACCCTTATCTGTTGGAAGTCCCTTAAGTTATATATACAAATGGTTGTGTCCGATGAGCCTGTCACTATATAGTTATTGTTTAAGGAAATATCTATGCTGTAAACCTGCCCTGAGTGCCCTGTGAGTTTTATATCACCATATTCTGTGTTGTTTAATATACTATCAAAGCTATGTAGTGGTTTAATTGTTACCTGGTTGTTTTCCGAGAAAACCATTAAGCCACATTGTCTATTAATTAAGCCACTGTCTATTTGATGCTTATAATTACTAATATTTACATTGAAAATTGGATCAGGTTCACTGTCCAGGTTGCCTATGGCACTGTGCAATTTTGCGAATGCCGTGTCGGTTTCGTGTATACTATCTTCCTCACTAAAGTCTTCTTCCTCTTCTACTTCCTCTATTTCCTGGATTTCAAACCAAGTTTGCAACACTTGATGAAAAACAACATGACAATTATCACGAACAAATTCTTTTAAAACAACTAAAGATTCTTTATACAAGTCGACCAAGTACTTATTCGATCTAAATTCTTTCAATGCTACAGTTTCTTCGTCAGTTGGAAAGGAGTTTATTAATTCCTGCACCATATTATCACATTTTAGCTTGTCAACAGATGGGAGATAAGACTTTAGAAAAGCAGATGCCCTTTCCTTGGTACCACCTCGAAGAATGTCCAGATACAAGTGGCAAAACAGAGGCCCCACTAAGTATTCAATGTCGTGATATTTGTTTTTGTTTTTTGTCAAGTCTTTTAACCACAATAAAAATTTGCCAAAGTTCTGCTCAATCGCGACCGGATCGCTGCTGTAACCACTGTATAAAATTGAGTTAGGCCGCGAAACTCCACTCTCCACTAAATGTTGCGTTAAAAGTTGGCTTTTTGATATTTCCACCGGACAAACAGATGGGTAGTTCCTTCTCTGGAGATAACTTGAGATTACATTTTTTACGTCAGATTTTGAACGCTTCACTTTATTATTATCGCGTTTTACATCATCCATAATACAGATAATCCAGGAAATTTATTTGTTTTTACAATTAATTAATTGTAAAGTCATTATTCTGGAGGAGACGCAAAAACATTCCCGTTAAATCTAAATTAATAGGTTAGGAATCAACAACATACAATGCAGAAATCTAGTTTATCGATAACAAACGCGGCAACTTTGATTTCTGCGCATAGGCAACCAGCCATGCTTACATGTCGATATTTCACCTACCTCGCCAAGTGCTGTTTTGGAAGATTTGAGGCTGCCTCCGGATTACCGACTAGGGCCCCCTGATCAGCCATTAGATAAGCCAAATGTCTTCTTCTATAAGTTTCAACCATCACTTCGTTCAGAGAATTCGTCAATTCTACTGACACCTATTTTTAAAGCCAATACAAAAATTTAATATTTAAAATCAGATGTAAATGTACACTAGGGTGGATAGTAAAGACAGCCTTCAAAATATATTCTTAAAAACATTAAAATTTAATTAAAGAAAATTATATCAAAAGTGACTTTGGTGAAAATTTTAAAAAGAATTAGGTAACAATATTAATTGTATTATTTTTACGTTAATTTAGAGACTATGCAACCTACGCGCGTCAAAATGACAAATAAGTAGTTTGCTGTCAAATGTCATTTCAACGACCGGTTTACCGCGTTTTGCAAGTATGTTAGCAAAAATATCGTTAAATATCATTAAAAATCAATAAATAGAATCACTAATAAAGTGCAATAATGGTTTTCTTTGATGGTGCATGAAAATTCGACAAATTTTGGTAAGAATTCTTTTATAAACTTCTTTAAAATGTATGACACAATTTTTGCTATACAAAGGTCGTTTTATACTTTAATGTATAAAGAAATTTCACATGTAAATACAAGTTTGGCAGTTTATTATATCGCAAAGATATATAATTTAGTTATCAATGAAATTTGTTTTAACTTCTTGTGCCATGAGTCATGAGTCATTACAAACAACACTGTAAAGATATCATGATAAGTAATTGATAGTATGAATTAAATGTACAATTAAATGTAAATATATACCTTTAAACAGTGCAATATTATTAATGTAAGTGAACGATTTACTTTTTTTGGGGTATGTAAAAATCTATGTGTTATTATGTTTTTCTGTGATATTGTTATATTTACAATAAATGTATGAAAATAAAGATGCCAGCATGCAAAAAGTCGATTATTAAAATTGCATAGAATTACTTGCCTCATACAACTTCTCCACATCGTCAATCTCTCCAGGAATGTCAGCCAAAGCGTTAAATATTTGAGCAGCATTTTCAAGTAGTTTAATTTGGGGTTTCTTCATTTTCAGCATACTTAAAGTAATTTGAAACAAAACAATTGAGCCTTCAAAGAAAAATAAATCCCATATTCTAAGCAATATTTTCATATGTACAACGCTTGCGAACAATGTTAAAAACCATTGAGTGGTAATCAAGGATAACTCTATGTCGTGGTTTTTAAGAGTTTCATCAATTTCAGGCAGATAGTTTGTGATGAGTGTGCGCAAGACTCTTTGATCCGATTGGATACCTTAAAAATAGATTTTAAGCAAGTTGTTATAAAATAAAAAAAAAAATTAAAACCAGGGGTACTTATTGAAATTTGCGACAAAACTTGCGGCAAAGCTCTTCAGTACGTTTTAGGTAACCACTAAGGGAGTCCCAGAAAAATATTACACAAAAATTAGCTTGATAATTAAACCAGATTAATGAAGAGGTAAAGTTGAGAATCTAACTTCTTAGTTATTGGAAATGTCAGTTTATTCCCCACATAACCCAGGCAAAGTAAATTTTTTTCTAGCATTATTTTTATTTCAATTGGGGTGATAAAAAAAATTAAAATAATCTTGTTCCTAAAACTCCCCCTGAACGTTCAAAAAACCCTTAATCTAGGGGAAAACCCCTGATCTAGGAATACTGATTCTAATTTAGAATGCAAAGAAACAATCAAACAAAACGTAATGTTAAAGTTCGGGGATTCCCCTGTCGATCTGTATTCCACCTATGCATTGTACCTTATTTTTTTATACAGATTTCACTGTGAAAATACTTGATTTTTTTTCTTATCAACAGTATTTCTATTTAATGTTTTTGTCACTAAAATCTGTTTAGAATTAAAAAACCCAATAAAACCCACTTATAAAACCAAAAAAAGCCCTGTGTTTTATAAAAAAACCGTTTTTTTTCTCAACCCTGCAATAATAAGACCCCCTTAGGCAATAACTACATTTTTAAAAATTATTTCTATGAAAACAATAATTTTGCTTATTGAACCACCGTATCAATGTCTCCGAATTTACGATTATGTTTTTGGCCAATGACTTCTCCAATATCGCAGAATTTTTTTACTGCCTATTTTTCAGGGATTCCCCTAAAGGCTTTAGGATAGAGCGTACTGTAGAGCTTTTCCGCAAAGCAAAGTGGTAAATTTCTCGATTTATATGTTCAAGAATCATTTGCTTATCGTTTTCTGTATTTTTTTTCGATTCGTACCTAATAAAGTTGAGCTATAATATGAGGCAGGCAAGAGGTCTTCAACAATTGTCACCATGATCCAAAAAGCCTCCTCCTCTTCTAATAGGAGTAGTAAAGAGGCTGCTATCATACCCATACCCTGACAATATCTAAAAAAAAAAATGTAACATTAATAATTTGTTTATATTGTTAACAATAATAGGTTTGTTCCTAGCGAGCATTTGGGCCCAGTAGGTAAAATCCACTTAGAAAAGCCCAGTTGACCCTGGTTTTGTCCAACCATGATCCAAATGCTTGTTAGGAACAAGCCCAATATTTACCCTATATCTGGATACAACCAGGCAATCCCTCTTAAAATCCTTCTTAACCTAGGAATTCCAGTACTGTTAATATTGCTATAGCAAGCATTTGTAGGCATAGTGTGAAGCAAATCTTTCTCGATTTGCTTTGAGGTCATTAATGAATCATTGCTTGACATTTTCACTATGCTTTTGTAAGTCAATTCCGAATGGTTTTTCTTTTCTAAAGCCCCTGACATTCGCAACCACATTTGTGGTCTTAGTGAGTGAGGTATACCTGATCTCACCATAGTAAGTAGTTTATCTGTTCTAGCTAACCTAACTTCGACTTGATCCCATGTCAAATCTGACACTTCTTTGTTGTGTGAGAACTCTAAATGAGCAACCCATTGCAGTCTAAAAGGGGTTATTATATGGGTTATTTTGAAGTTTTTAACCATATATATTTACCTATGTTGAGGGTCCTCTACAAAAGGTATACCCAATAGCTTGTTGGAATTCTGTTCAGGACCATCCTCTTCATCTACTCTAAAGCCAAATTCATCAAACCTGTACTCAGGTTGTGAGTTAGGGTCGTCAGGCAAAACAGAGAGTTTAGCCATTAGGTCTTGGGGCCACATAGATGGTGTGAGGGCTGAAAAAGGCCCCCCTGGACTTGGGGTTAACAAATCGTTCATATTTAAAGACTCTGAAAAGTTTTCCACAAAAGAATCCTCATCTACAATGTCCGCTATAGCATTTTCCAACTCCCTTTTCTAAAAAGACCACTTCCAATTATGTTTTTATTAGTGAATCAACTTACATTGTGGTCTTCTTTTCCGTCATACCCTTCGTGATCTCTGTCACGAAATAAGGATTTAGCTATATCCATGATTTCATAAAGCAAATAAACAATATGTTACAATATTTTTTTTTTATTCAGTTACTCATTTTGTCCTTTGCTGAAAATGAAGTGGTGGCTAAAAAATCATTGTCAAATCGGTTTGAGCTAGTTTTATGTCTTATTGTTTAATTTTGATTTAAAATACATAATTTTGTTGGGGTTTTCTAATGGGTGACAGGTTGACGTTTCGTATGACAAGCAGGGCTGCCAAATTAAAATATTTTGGAACTGTTTTTCAAATGTCTCAAAAATCTTACAATTTTTATTATTTTATAGGAAAGCTTTATGAATTTTGAATGTTTGATCACAGAATGTTAGAAGATATAGAAGTTTTCTAAAGTTGACATTGAAAAATATCGAGAGAAAACGTGTTAGTTCCCACCATGTGAGTGCATTTTTAATATATGTAGGTAAATGCTTTAAAAGTGTTAGATTCATTGTTTATCGAAGTGCATAGTTAATTATATTTGTTTTATTCACGATTTCAAAGTTTCCGCCAAATGTGACTCACGACTTGTGAGTCAAAAGTTTTGACAGACGGTTTAAATCTGTCAAAAAATCCTTGACTTTTGATGAAGTTTGTTTAAGAATGCGATTGTTTATTACTTAAATGCGGTTAAAATTAAGTGAATCTATTTTGTTTCCAAATTATGCGAAATAACATCAAATGAAGTATGAATCGTTAAATCTAGTGTGGTTAGTTTTTGACAATCATACCAAAACATATTACGGTGTTGTGGTGCCTAGTACAGTTTCTAAAATTGTTGCTTTAGTACAAAACCATGCGTTAAAGTACAGAAAATTTGTTGTTGACAACAAATTAATTAAATTCGAGAACATTTCGTCCACAATCTTACTAAAAAAGTGATGGTTTCTTATGTTCAGGAATTCTAACCAAGCTAGAGGTAAAGGTAAAGCAAAAGCAAAAGGAAAAGGAAAATCACAATTCAAATCATCCACGAAACGAAAACAAGGCCATTACACCTCCAATCAAGAAAAATTTTTCAGTTTTTTAAATATGACTGACAATTCGGTTGATAGAACGAGAAGGGCCAATTTTTCAAATGTCCCTGCTAATGGTATTAATAGAAATTTAAATATATTGAACATTAAACCCACCACTGCTAAGAAAATTGTGATAAAGAATCTTAAAAGTAAGTATCCATCATTTTATTAACATAGATATTTGGCTGGTGAGAAAATTCATGTTTGTTTTATAAGGTATACTGTGTCCATCGTTATCTGCTCAACATTGCTAACTCCGTTATTATTGGAGCTACAAAATTGGTTAAACTAGCTAATTAGTGGCTTTTTTCCAATTAAAATGCTGAAAATATAAAAACAATTAAATTTTGAGTTTCCGAAACATACACAAAAATAACATTTTTTTAAATGGGAGCACAAAATTATTGCATAACTAAACTAAACTTAAAAATAAACAATTAATGAGCACTTGAACTTTCTAATTGTTGTTAAAATAAAGTAATAATTTGGTTTTTCAACAATCAACAGAAAGTTTAAGTGCTTTATTTATTTTTAAGTGTGGGTACTTAAGCAACTATATATATTTTTTTAAATTAAATTGTCTTTCAAATTTGTAAAAATGTACAAGGTGTCCCATTTAACCTGACATTCAATAATATCAGATTTTAACTAACAATGATGAGCAAAGATTTTTGGTCACAGTGTATATTTCTCATTTGTACTTCAGGTAGGTATTTTCAATAATTACTAATCCAAAATATGATTTTGATATTCTCATAAATATGGCTGTGGCATTATAAATTGTGTTTTTGACATATTTAAGTATGTGTTGGCATTTCTAAAAAAGTTTTTAGTTCATAAAAATGATTTTGACATTCTTAAGTAGGTTTTGACCAAGAAGACTAAATAGAGGAGTACCTCTCTACCACAAGGTATCAATTACCTTGGGCAGGGAATCCTAAAATGTTTTTTTTACATATGCTATGACCTTTTTTAGCATTCTAAAATGTAACATTCTTAGATATTAACATTAGGGTCCCTAAATATGATTTTGACATTCTTAAGTAGGTTTTGACATTGTAAAACATTCTAAAATTTGTACGTTATTTACATTCTAAGCTACTCATTGACATTTTTAAGAAATTTGACGTTTTTAAATATGATTATTGCATTTTTAATCATTCAAAAATGCTTACTTAATTTTAAAATTTCATTTTATAGGTAGGTATTTATAGTACATTGTTTGGTTGTTAACTTGATCTGGCAAAACTGATTATCACCAGTAAAATATCTTAATAATTAGTAATGAGGTGTAATCAAACAAAATGAAATTCTTTTAGGTGAACCAAAATTGCCGGAAGATTACAGGGAGCAAACATGGGATAAGCTAAAAAGTGCTGTACTGGCAATACAAAAATCCATGCCAAATCAATACTCTTTAGAAGAATTATATCAGGCTGTAGAAAATATGTGTAACCACAAGATGGCGCAAACGTTGTACTCCCGATTGCATAGTTTGACTGAAAGTCATGTATCGAGGAATATAGAACAATTTTTGGCAGAGTCGATGGATAGGTTTTTATTTTTAAAGAAGATGAATGAGACCTGGTTGGCGCATTGCAACCAAATGATTATGATTCGGAGTATATTTTTGTATTTGGATAGAACATATGTGTTGCAGAATCCCAATATATCGTCTATATGGGATATGGGGCTTGAGCTGTTCAGTAAATACATTTTGCTTAACACTTTGGTCCAAACAAGGGTTGTGGAAGGGTTGTTGATGTTGATTGAGAAAGAAAGACAGGGAGACAATGTTGATAGAACACTATTGAAGTCACTTCTGAGAATGCTAACAGATTTACAGATATATGAGCAAGCCTTCGAACAGAAGTTTCTGCAGTCCACTGAAAGGTTGTATGCTGCTGAAGGTCAAAGACTAATGCAAGAACTCGAGGTTCCCGACTATTTAGCCCACGTAGACAAGAGAATTCACGAGGAGAACGAAAGAGTTCTTCATTACCTAGACACAGGAACCAAATATCAACTAATACACACAGTAGAAAAACAACTGTTAAGCGAACATGTCACCAACTTGCTGCAGAAAGGCCTTAACGGTCTTCTCGAGGAGAAGAGAATACCCGATCTAACTCTGTTATACCAATTATTTAACCGAGTCAAAAACGGCCTGGCAGAGTTATGCTTGTCGTTCAACGCGTTCATTAAAAAGCGCGGAAGAACCATCGTCATCGACCCAGAGAAGGACAAAACAATGGTACAAGAACTCTTAGACTTCAAGGACGCCATGGACAACATCGTCATCAGCTGTTTCAATAGGAACGAGAAATTCGGCAACTCCCTCAAAGAAGCTTTCGAACACTTTGTTAACCAGAGAACCAACAAACCTGCTGAGTTAATAGGTAAGATAGTTATTAGTTTATTTAATACTTTTTATATTGTCAGACATCTTCTTTAACCTATTCTTTAAGGGAATCACAGTTAATGTGTTTCTGGGTCATTCTTCTAATTGAATTTTTTGAATTTAAATAAATGTATTCCTTGCTTGGTTAATAATTTTTATTTGAGACTGGTTTCGGTATTTAAAATACCAACTTCAGGCAAACTACAAAAAAATGAGGTATTTTTTTTGTTCCCCGACCGTTTCAAAATTGATGTTAGCTCATATGGTAGGGCGGTCGCTTAGCATGCGGGAGTACCGGGTTCGATACCCAGAAGTTGTCGAAGTTTTTTTATTTCATAAATTTGTTGTTTCTTTTTTAAAAAGTGTTGGGTTGGGTTGGGTTGGTTGGTTTGTTTTAGTTTTATCGTAACATAAAATCTTAAAATTATGACGTAAAATAATAGTTAAATTTTTTAAAAAATGTTTGGTTAAGTTGTATAGGGTAGAAAATTTGTTGTTAAAATATACGCTAAAGAAGTATCGCTAGTAGCGCCACCACTCGGCTGTTCATCGTAACAAAAGTATAACTTTTAATAATCAGCTGTCAAACGCTTATGTTACAAACGAGTTTGAGAATAAAGCCGAAAAATGTTAAAAAATATCGAAAAAAAAACCGTGGACGATTTGTTGTGTTGTTGGGTGTATTTCGAGAGGAAATCCTGGGTTGAGTTTTTATCGGTTTTCCAGTAAACAGTGTTAATCCGAATGAAGAAAAAAATTTGTACAGTCCCTGTAAATATAAATTGTATATTAGATACAATAAATACACATTTTAGTAATGATTAACGTGAAAAGTGTAAACATTTCAATTCAGTAATAATCGTCAAACAAATAAGTCGTCTAAATTTAAACAGCATTTAGCATTATTAAAAGCGTTGACTAAGAAAGTCTCCACTCAACGGTAAAATACCATTTTGTTGTTTAAAATGCAGTTATCGGCGTTTTTTAGAGAACACAAATCTAAAAATGGTTGATTTTAAGGTTATGTTTGTGCGAAAATTATTTTTTACCAATTTATTAAAAATGTCCAAACTTAAATATAAATTATATTAGGTAAAGTTATCATTAGTTAATTCTGCACCAACAAATATACTTCCAAATTGGATCCTTTGGCAAAACATGAAAATGCAACGATTTAGTTCTTGAATTTTATTTACAATTATAAACACAATAATTCACCATCATCCCTTAGATAAAATACACACACTAACGTAACTATATAAGCATTTAAGCGTTGAGTTTCTTAATCAATGATATAAGGAATAATCAATCGATATTGAGTACTAAAAAAGTTTTTTAATTGTGCAATTAAACAAAATTTGTCGAGTAAGACTTCTGCCTTCCTCTCTTTTGCGAAAAAACTACCTATTTATTTAAAAATGATGTATAATCTGTGCTTTAAATGTATTATTGACAATTCTTAAATTCACGCAATGTTATCGAAGTCCACCAGATGGCGCGCGCGTTGCGAAAACCCGATACTTTAGCGTAAACAAATGAAATTTCTACTTACAATGTCAAGTTTTAAAATCTTTTAAAAGCATACCTATAATATAAATAAGTATAGTATAGTATACAAACATAGAGTTTTTAACAAATTTCTCAGGTATATAAACAAATGATTGATGATGGGGCAGATGAGTTGTGGGTTGTGGTCTTACAGGTGTTTAAAGATTGGCTCGAAATCTACTTGTTCGTTTAATAGGTTGCAATTGTTCTTGAATTTATTTATTTCAAAGGCTTTAAAATCAATATTCAAACCTTGTTAAAAATGGACTACAAAAACCTAATGACTTTTTTCATTTTTGTCTGTCCTGTTTGCTTCTGACGTTGTTTTTGTTCGTTAATTGTTCTTCTCCATGGTTGTCAGACGTAACTAGATCCAATTGTATCTTTCAGCCAAGTTTGTCGACTTGAAACTTCGCAAGGGCAACAAAGAGACGACTGAAGAGGAGCTGGAAAGACTCCTCGATAAGATAATGGTCCTATTTCGTTTCATACACGGCAAAGACGTGTTCGAGGCCTTCTACAAAAAAGACTTGGCCAAAAGACTTTTGGTAGGTAAGTCGGCTAGCGTGGATGCCGAGAAGAGCATGCTCAGTAAGTTGAAGCAAGAGTGCGGTGGCGGGTTCACCTCAAAGTTGGAGGGGATGTTCAAGGACATGGAGTTGAGTAAAGATATCAATGTTGCCTTCAAGCAGCATCTTAACACTCAGCATACCAGAAGCTTGTCGCCGATAGATATGACCGTGAATATCCTCACGATGGGGTACTGGCCCACTTACGTACCAATGGACGTAACTCTGCCTGATAACATGGTCAAATTCCACGACATATTCAAGGAGTTCTACTTGAGCAAACACAGCGGTAGAAAGCTGCAATGGCAGCCGACATTGGGCCACTGCGTTTTGAAGGCAAGATTTAAAACTGCTCCTAAAGAGTTGGCCGTTTCCTTGTTTCAAACTCTAGTTATTTTGCTCTTCAACAAATACGATGAGGTTTCCTATGAATACATCAAGGAAGCTACCAATATTGAAGACAGCGAATTACGCAGGACTTTGCAATCGCTGGCATGCGGCAAAGCTAGAGTTTTAAACAAAATACCCAAAGGCAGAGAAATCGAGGACAATGATAAATTTAGGTTTAATAATGAATTTAGTCACAATTTATTTAGGATTAAAATCAACCAGATTCAGATGAAAGAGACTGTAAGTTTATATGACGTAACAACACATATCTGGGTGTTATAATATTTTTTATTGCAGACTGAGGAACAGAAGGCAACTGAGGAAAGAGTTTTCCAAGACAGGCAATACCAGATCGATGCAGCTATTGTTAGAGTTATGAAGATGAGGAAGACTCTAAGTCACAATTTGCTTATTAGCGAATTATATTTACAACTCAAATTTCCAGTTAAAGTAAGTCATTGAATGAAACTCAAGCTTCTCTCCCATTTGGTTTGGTTGATTTGTCATCTAATAGCGGTTGTTATGAAAACAAACCAAATGGGATAGAAGAGCTTGACTGGTGTAATACATTCTTATTTTTCCTTTTTAGCCTGCAGATTTAAAGAAGCGCATTGAGTCATTGATTGACAGGGACTACATGGAGAGGGACAAGGATAATCCGAACCAATACAACTATGTTGCCTAGATGTGAATCTCTGTATTTTCCTTGTATGATTAAAAATATAACACTACCCAGTAGATTCAAAAATAAAAACAATTGACAAGTTCTAGTCCAGTAAATTTCTGGCCAATCGCTGCATTGTATATATATTTACAGAAGCGTTATTACATGTACAAGGTACATTTTTTATTTAAATACAAAATTTGATTGTGTAAATATTCTGATATGGTGGAATTTTCATTTTAATGTAAATACGAATATTTGAAATCGCATCCCATACCTATATGGTTTTAATATTTTTATATATACAGGGTTCAAGTTAATTTATAAATAAAGATGTTTTTGCGCTATAATATTACTTCTCCGTACTTGTTTATGTAGAAATATACATGTCTAAAGTTAAAGTGCAAAAACCAGACTTTATTTTAAGGTTTTCCCTTTTATGTCAGATGAACTCGAGATAACTTATTTAACTTGTTGGTGGATAACAATGATAGAAACCTCCTTGTAAACAAAATATACATCCAATTCTTCTTATGATGAATGTACACAATTATTTTATTTTTTTTCGTGTTTTACTTTTATGTTTCATTAGGTTTCAATTTTGTAAGTTCATTTTAATAAAGTATGGTTTTGAAATCAGTAGTGATCTTTTATTTTTGCCCAGTCAATTTTTAGGGTTACAACATAAAAACATTTTATTAAATACAAACGTATTTGAAAGAAATACTCTTAATATCCCATGTGAAAACGACTAGGCCCTTCTTTGGCCCGCCTTTTAAGCAAAAACAAACAAATTGTTAACAGTATTAATAGTGCTATAACCAAACCTAACAATGTATACATAGCGTTCCTAAACCCAGCTGCAGGATCTAAAAAAAAATAAACGTTTTGTAACATTTTTAGAGTCGCCTTCAAAACTTTTTTACCTGGACTGTTTTGCAGTTCCTTGGGCAAAGTGTGTGGCAATGTATTTTTAATGGAATTTATTTTTGGAAGCAGCGTATTCCAAAAATGTATCCCCTGGATTCGTTGCTTGACCTCGGCATTTGAATCAACTGCTTTAACCGTTTCAAAGTGCTCTATGTATGGATCTTCCGATGTATATTTCCTCCATGGTTTGTTTTTGTTGTTATTTGGAGTTGGGTTTCTAAAAAATCAAGCTCACAGAAGCCCCTAATATATATACATATTTTAAAAGTAAACTTACCCAAAGTTAATAAAATTAACCCACATGTATTTCAGTAAATTGCTGAGGCGAGCTTCAACAGGATTGAACCGTCTCCTACCAGCTTGTTTTAATAACACTGGACCAAACAGCAACAATAACTCGGTACTGGCTAAAGAATCTAACACAAAATATAAAAAAAAAAACTGTTTAATCATTTACCTGTTGTATTGAGTACAAAACCGATATCATCAATAAAATAAACATATATCGGTTGTACATACGAAGAAACTAAGCTGGACAGCTGCATGAAGTGGGTAGCTTCAATTTTTGATTCAAATTCCAAATTTTTTAACTGTTGAAAAAGAATCCTCACATCAGCTTCAATAAATGAAGTGTATCTCCATTTGATCAATTCAAAAATTTGATCTTTTATGTTTCCGTTGAATCTATACAAACGCATTATTTCCGGGATTTTCGCTCTTTCCGTGTATTGTTGCAATTGAGAGTAGCCCTGGCTAGCCAACTCCAACCATTTAACTAAAATATAAAATAATAAAAAATCAGCGTGTTTTTAAATTAAATTAAAAATATGGGGATCCACGTATTGTATACTCTATACCTTAAAGGTGTCTATGTAAATAAAAATTGACAAAAAAATGTTTTTATATGTTTATGCTTCCGCTTCCGCACATTAAGCCTGATTTATAGATTGCCTTCCGTCCTCCCGTAAAAGATGAACAATACGAAAACCGTTGTGCTGTTTATAAATTCCCGCACAGGAATTATTTATCTTTTACGGGAGGAAGGAATTAGGCTTTACTGTTGTATCACTAATGTTAAGGTAAAGTATCTTAGAGCATACATACATGGATATAACTTTAAAGCATATAATATTAAGTGTTTTTTGTATACCAAATTGTTGATTTGCAATGGGTTTAGTGATACCAGTTAATATAGGAACTTGGAGGTAAGTGCCATCTTTTAAAGCTTTCGTGGGTTCAACCGGCAAATAGCGGTTATTTGCCGGTAAAAAAGTATCCACCACCGGCATAAATCTATCTGACCAATTGTAGGACTGAAATATATTAAATCTGTATTAAAATTATGATTTTATTTATTTTATAATATCTACTTCCGAATATTCCTCCAGTGCCTGAAAAATGTGCTCAACTTTCTTCGATCTAATACAATTCATAGCATTAACCACATAAGAGGAACATCCTAATAACCTTAAAACTTCCCTGGAAGCCACAGTCGGGTCGTTTGAGGTTAACCAAGGGGTTAGGGCACTTCCAGATGAAATAATTGCTCTTTGAAAAATGCCTAAAATCAATAAAGTCTGGTCTTGAAAAATTGCACTGATGTCTGGAGATCGAGGCGGCCATTCCATTGGCATACTCGATCTCCAGACTTGTGGGCTGAACTTTTTTATATTTACCGGCGGTTCTAGGAGATATTAAATGTAAAGTTACACTAGCGGCCCCGGAACCAAACCCAAACAATGTTAATTTTTCAGGATCGCCTCCAAAATGTTTGATATTTTCCTTCACCCATAGGAGGGAAAAATATTGGTCTAATAAACCCAAATTCCCTCTGGCTTCTGCAGATCCCAGGCAGAAAAACCCAAAAATATTCAATCTGTAGTTTATTGAAACTACGATAATTCCTTCCACGGCTAAATCCTGACCGGAAAAAGGCAAATCTGAGCTGCTTTCAAAATAGAAACCCTCGAAGAAAACCAAAACAGGCAAAAGGGCGGAGTTGGATCCACGGTTCTAAAATATGTTCCACACATAAGATAAAAAAATTGAACCTACACCTCGCCAAAGTTTTTTGTTTTGAGTGTGTTCCACCAACTTCAAATACCGACAGACAGCTGTTTCGACCTATATTGGGTTTCGTCAGTGTCGGGCAACTTGGTGTAGTGGAACACACTCAAACCAAAGGACACCCTGAGCTTATATGCTCGGTTGGTAAGCCAACAGAGGCGAGATGTAATACATATTTCTTTTATACATTATTATATAAAATTCTTACAGATGGTGTCCATATATTAAGATGTAAGCAGTCCTCATTATCGGTTAAACCAGGTTTAAAGGGCAATTGGGGGCATTTCGGGCCATAATTAAAAGCCTGGTATGTTCCATTCCAACCTGAGTGTCTTTGTGGAGGAGCAAACCTCAAATTGTTTACGGGAGGCGCTGCATATGGGATACCCAGGTAACTATATATATTTTTTGATGATTCCGTATAAACCACAGTCTAAAATATTATTATGTATGTATATCTCTAATCTACTCTAGAGTGAACATGTACGTCATGGAGCGCAGACATCAAAACCAAAGACCATTATATAAAATTTTAATAGCGTTCATTAGTCACTGACGTTATCTATTATTCTATCTATTATTAAGTTAACGTATTTACCCCTTCTATTAATCCTTGTCCGATCCTTAGGGTGGGCCTGGGGTCCTGCCAGCATAAACAGCACTTAAAACTTAATATAAAAAACACTGTACACACAAAAAACATTGTCTATTTATGTAACACTAGGAGAAAAATACATAACGATTCTGTAGGAAGGTAAAATAATCATAACAATATTTAAATCTAGTGTGTCCGTGTTTACTTCCGCTCTCTACCTTTTGTTTTTGCATCCGGTCGCTCCAAACATTATGCTACTTCGGATTTGTCAATAAATTTCCCTCTGCGTGTGACACCAGCTTAATATTAAATAATCAGAATGGAAACATGGCTTTGTTTATATGTTACTGAAATAATAATTTTATTGAAACGCAGCCCAGTTTTTATTATTTTTATTACAAGAAATGCACTCTAAACATAGAAAAATATAAGTTCCAAACATTGTTTTACTTAGGCATTAATTTATTAACTTTCAAGTAAACGCGTAGAGCTTTGAGGCAATATTACTTAATTTAAGTAAGTAAGTACACTGAAAGAAATGTTTCTATAAAACAGTATTGTTAAGACGAGTTTCATAAAGAAAATAAGAGGATTCTTAGTTGGAATCATATTCGTTTATGAAGTCAATAAGCTGTGTAGTAACTGTTATAATTTTGATTTTATTCCAGTTGTTAAATACTCGCTATAATCTAGATGCATATTGTTTATGAAATGTTTTATTGCAGATATCATTTATTTTAAGTTATAATTTTTTTTATAAGAACTATAATATGTCTTATACTGTTTAATAGTCGTCTTTATACTCTATAGTACAAGCTATTACGCACATGCGCTTAGTGCTTGTGACCGCGAGGAATAAGTGTCTGTGGCTGTAGTGTTTTGTTTATTTGTTGTGATAATAGCTGGCAAATGTTAAGGGTAAGTTTTTGTAATAATTATACATCATGATAGGAGCCTAAGCCTTAGTTTGCAGTTTCTGAGATAAGTATATGGGTCCCCTTACTTGGTTCATCCTGTACTCACCTACATATATCTAATACCTATATTCCCCAAGAATGTGGCAACGTACATAACATTTATAAGGTTGAGATTTTAATTTAATTAGTTGATTAAAATTTACGATTTAAATCATGATAATAAAAAATCATGATTAAAATTATTAAAAAATAGCCCCCAAAACAAAAACAAACGATTTTACTAAATATTAAAAGAAAACATTTTCCAAATAATAATTTTAAAAAATTGCAGTGACACGCTGTGGGTTTTTTGTAAGTAGGAATATTTTAACGCTTGTTTTATTTTCTCCCTTTGCATTCTTTATAAGTTTCGACATGCAAAATTTTTATTTACTTCTGTACTATTATATACCTAATTATGTTTATTTATGGTTTATTTATTTCTTGTACCTGTTTTTATAATAAAAGTATAAAATTTATAGGAGTTGAACTTTTTATATAACGACCCTTATCCTGTTAGCAAGTAAGTATAATAATTCTTATGAAAAATGCATAATTTCCTATATAAGACATATTTTATTAAAGTAACAAAATTGCTAATAAAGAGAATAAACAGAGTTTGTAAAAAGTATTAGCTACTACATAAAATTAATAAGAATTTTCAAATACACCTAGCAATCTGAAGTTATACTGGCTAAAAAACATTTAATACTCGATATAAAGCGGGTTTATAGTATTTAAGATTTTAATTATATCCACTACAACATCATTTTATGGTGGCAGCATATCGATTTTATAAGAGATAATAGTACGTCTAATAACTGTTACAAGATGTTTTAACAAAACCGATTTCATACTGTCTATGAACTAGTTGGCTGTCCTAATACTAATAGAGAAATCTTATAAGGAGTATTATATTTTTCATAACAGGTATTAGATTTTTCCTTCAGTGTAAGTTTTATTTATGTTATTTTTACCTGTTTTAATAACCCTTAAGTTTCAACATTTTAAAGTATTATGAGGGACGTAATTTTTACGAAAGAAAATTACTTATAAGTGTATTTCACCTAAAGGAGAATTTAACAGTAATTTTAACGTCAGAATTTTTACTTAATGGTAAATGTTACTCATAAATCATAATTTTACGATAATAAGACTTATAACCGTAAATAATTTCTATTCGCCTGGTATTTTTTAGCGTTATTAGTGGTAATAAATACTATTAATATTGACTAAACAAGAAAAAATAAGCTTAAGGTGAAAAATAAAACTTTAAGGGAATTTTTTTTTCAGGTCGCCATTATAATGAGTTTTTTAAGATGGCATTACTTATCTAAACATTTATATAATATTTTTTTAAAATATAATAAGGAAAGTTTTAGTTATTAAAAAATTATTAAAACTAAATGATTTTTAAAAGATTTTATAAAATTTTGTAGATTTTAAGTTTTGTTGAATTTTTACCCAAGCAATATTTTTTCTTAAACCCGTAAAATATTTAGAGGGCATATAATTTTTAAGATGTATCGTGCCTATTTTTATCAATAAAGTGCGTTTGAGCTTTAATGAAAAATGTTATTAGTTTTAACAATTTAAGTTATATTTTTTAATTATACTCTAGGGTGGCCTTTGGCATTTTGTAAAATATAAATTAAAGGAACAAGGAAATTACGAATGTCAATGTTTTATAAAGAGACAACAGTTAGTAATTATAGCGTTATTTTAACGTAAATTTGTGGTTATTTTCTTAGTAGATCAAAAAGGTTATTATTTAGGTAAAATAACGAAATAAACCATTCCCCAAATTTGGTAATTTTTCGTATCGATACCGTTATAAAACCGTAAAAAATAAGTTGACTTATTAGTAAATTTGTAGTTATTTAAACTTAAAATTCTGCTTGGTTTTCCTATACATTTTTTTAATACGGCCCCCTCTACGGAGATACTGGCCCATTACAGACGCCCCTAAAAAAAGAAAAAAGATCAAAATTTTTAAATCACTCTATTTTTAAAACTGACACTGAAATCATTATTTTAATCGGTAAATGTCAAAATAATTGAAAAAATTAAATAAAAATTAATGCAAAAAACCCTATTGTCTAAAACATTTTTTTTTCGTAAACAGTACATTTTATCGATGAAGATCAAGAGTACATTTTTTAGTTTAGGCTTAAGCTGACCAAAAATATTATTGTTGTGCCTTTATACTACAGGGTGTTCAAAAAAGAGGATCATTCTGTTAGAGCTAGTCCGTCCCTGGCAAAAAAAAGTATAGGAACTTGTCATATTATTTTTATGTGTTCTATTTGAATCCGGGAGATTGCCCACATGTTCTGGGACACCTACCCAGCTAGCAAGGTTACGTCATTAGGACGACATTTTAAGGTCACCTTTCGTCGGCGACGTCACATGACCAATAAAAGACGGGTTTATGACGTCACATTTCCGACGTCATTTAGACGTTTTTATGTTGCGTCTTTCTGACGTTTTCAATAGGTGATTTTATATCACGTAATAAATATATAATAATACGTAGTAGGTATAGCTATACCTACTACGTATTATTATATATTTATTACGTGATATAAAATCACCGATCTAGATCGTACTACCTAATTTTTGAACACCCTGTAGATAAAATCCCAATTTTTTTGTAGATCAAAACTTATTTTTTTATCAAAAAAAATAAAAAAAAATCCCTATCATCGATGACACGCAAATCCGTCTATGAACAAATAATTATCCTACAGGACAATAACAAAATACTATTTTAAACAAAATATTTTTTAATTCTAAATTTAGTTTTACAATTTCACTGCTGTCAATACCTACCTATATAGGTATTTATATTATTCCGAATAAAAAAACAGACAAAAATTCGTGGAACTTGTGAAGTGTCGGGAAGTAAAGAACGCCGTGCTCGATACCACCAATCACAGACTGTGATTCAGTCAGCTGACTACTGTGAGATCAGCTGACTTTAGTGGCAGGCTGCGATTGCTTGATCATTTGTAACCGTCCATGTTTTTCAACGGTGTACTACCGCGGTGGCGTTCATTCTGTTATTCGGTTAAATTAAGTTACTTAATAACTGTTGTGCAAATCTACAATTAAGTGCAGTAACTGCGGATCAATAGGTAGGTTTTACATAATTATTAAATCATTCTTAATTTATTTACCTATACCTAGGTGTTTAAAAGATGTACGCCATAGTTGAGTTTGCACACGACGGTGACGGGGGAATTTCCGCTATCAATACAAAGTGGCTAACTCCTCGCAAAAAAGAAGTTTACTGGCCACCTTATAAACAACAGTGCAAATACGACAAGGTGCTTTATCACGCATGATAGCTCGAGCTATACATAATGTTCGATTTATGGGATAGGTCTACTCTATTAAGTTTATTTATTTATTTATTTATATTTTATAATATATGACATTTATAATATATTTCCTTGTTTTATTTATTACAATAAATGACAAATCTTGTACGTCTTTAAGACGTCAGTACTTACGTCATATAGACGTCTTCAAATGACGTTATTTGTACGTCCTAATATGACGTCAACGGTCTGTGACATTTGCCCGTTTCAAAGACGTGATTTTGACGTGATGTTAAGGGTGAATATGACGTAACTTGTGACCAAAAAATGCCGTGATTATGACGTCACCATGTTTGCTGGGTAGTATCGTTGTATGTATACCCATATGGTATCTTTTCTATTAAAATGCCATTCATACACACCCTGTATATTTGCGTCACTCTGTATAAATGACCAATCCGTTGTTTATATTTTATTTAGGATGTCGAGTATATTTGTCTATATCTGACTAACTTGACCTAAAAAGCAATCCTTCGGCCATATATGGAACTATTTCGCGTATATGCGATATAATCATTCTTTATTATAAACAACATATGTTCCTACGTACAAAATGTATACATTTTTAAACAAAACGGTGTTTCTCAAAATTAAATAATTATAGAAGCATTCAACAATAACACGTAAATCGTTTGTATCGGTTTTATTGTACTATGGCAGAGTTTGCATATGATTTTTAAACAATAATTTAATGCAGTAACCAAATATTGGCAAAAATCCACTATTTTATTTCTATTTGGAGTAGCAACACTTTAGCCAATAACTAATTAAAAAGAATCCAAATCATTTTAAGATGTACATAGAAACTTTTTTAACCTTGTCGTTTATACAAAATAGTATATTATGTATCAAGTTTGATAAAAGTCATTTTATACACGAATTTAATTTAGACACGAGCGAGCTTGCGAGCGAGTGCTTAAATTAATGAGTGGTTAGAAAAGTTTATAAACGAGGTGCATACTATATTTTTTCTACGAGAAATACTTATTATTATCTAAAAATGATTTAAATAAAAAATTTGTATAGATCGCCATCTATGAAACAATAGAGGAATCTGTGTGTCACCGTCAAATGTCAAATTTTTTTATTTTATAAACACAGATTATAAAGGTTATAAATCGAAATGTATTTCTTGAAAGTTGACAGTTTTTCACAGTGAAAGTAAAGAAAATGTTTTATTAGCACTTTACAGTAGAGTCCGTTTCCGAATTTAAGTTATAGTTTACTGCCGGTGAAATTAAAAGGTCAGCACAATGTTCATATAAACTTTTCAAATATTGGCGTTGAGAAACTATTTAATACTTTTGTATTTTTGTATATTGTGTAATACAATATAATATAATATAATATAATACAATGTGTATGTTATTGAGATAATAATATAATTTTACATTTAGTATAATTTTACAAGAAAGGCACTTTATTTTAACGATTGTATGACATTTGACAACTGTCAACTAACTTAAAACTAACTTCAGCCCGTGACTAAAGCTCCATAAAGCCACAACTTGTCAATGTGTATTTAAAAGGTCACTTAGTGTCATGGAAACATGTACGATAAAGGGCGTTTTAAAGGTGGGGGTAGAAAAAAACAATTATTCACCCCATGTTTAAGACTAAATATAGTTTTATTTTTACACAAGCTTATAGTTTAAATTTTTTTTTAAATTGATAGCAGTTTTTAATTAAGATATCAAATTAATGGACTTATTTATAAGCATTGTTTTGTGCATATTTTTACTTTATATTTATTGTTTATTTTTTGTCTGTTATTTTTTTAAATAAGTTAATTATATTTTATGAGTAGCAACAATTTTTTTTAGCAAACTGATAAAATTAAAATTAATTTTAAGTTTGATTAAAGTTGGACACAACAAATAATTTTCCTAGAAACTTTAGATTTAAAAATATTTTTAAGCGATTTAGGCCTATCGTGAAAAAAAACGAAAATATCCCAACGTAATATACATTTAAGTCGGCTATTAGAAATTAATTTCCTGGAAAAGTTTTTCTCTTTGGTACGTATGTCCATATATAAGTTTCTCTTGATGTTTGTAAAAGTTTTTGCATTTAAGGCAATTTTTAATTTTAATCACTGCATTTTTTATTTATACCTTTGGTTAACCATTTCCTGTAAAAACAAAACTAAAACTTGAAAGGCATTGGTTCGAATTCGCTCTTATCTCTGAATGGTTGGATGTTTGCCAAAAACAAAGGAGCCATGAGTCAATAGGAAAAATATGTAGACGATAAAAGTTGAGGAAAAAATTAAAACTGCATTAAAAACTGACTGAAACACTGTGTTTAAACTTGATTTGGTTGGGGATTCGCTTTAAAAAAGTGGGGTTAACTCGGTAAGAAGACTATCTATAAACATACTCATGGACAGACATTTCTATTCTTAGTACATACAAATCTTTAACAGAACTTGTGCACAGGTTTTCTCATCGATAATATATCGTGTTAAAGTGCAATGTTTATTTGGATTATTACCTTTATTTAATGCATCATTTTAAGGTAAGCCACTAATTTACCCCCCAATATAAAAAGTTTTGCGCAAAAATAACTCAATCGTTATTTCGGTTTTATTTTTAAACTTTTTTTGTATAGGTGTGCTGATTAATGCTTTTTAGTTTTTTTATATGAAAAATATTTTATTTTTAGTACAGTGACTATCTACTTTTGACACGGTAAACTATTTTTTTTGTGTTGGCAGTTTTAAATTTATAATAATAATAATAACAATTAGGGCTTAGTCTTGACATTTAATACTATTTTTGGAAAATGCTATGTTTTGCTTTACTTCAGTTAAAAATTTTATATCCTGTTGTTGTAAAATGGAAAAATTATTATTGTCCTTTACACAAACAAAAAGTTTTATAGCAGTTTTATTAAGCGCGGACATTGGCCTTTTATAACAATAAATTGTAATAATATTTTTTTATTATTTAAATTCATAAAATTGACCACACAAGCATATTTCTATTGTACATACATACAACTATACAGGGGGGCGCAAAATAAAATATTTTAAATAATTTAGTAAATTACACTGGTCCACAGCAACAAGTTTTCTAGGGTACTATGGTTGCGCTGATTCTAAAAATTTTGCTCAATAAGCTCTTGTTTTTAAGGTTTATCAACTTTATTGTGAAATTGACATTATAAAATTTTTTTTTAATTTGTACATTTAACAGTTACTTTATTCTTGATTTAATTGTTGTATGTATTTTAATTCAAAATTCGAGATTTTTGAAAATAGTGCACTTAAATTACCCTGTAAAAGTTATTAGTCACACTGTAGCAAAGAAAAAAATTTACTGTGACAATTTTTTTTAATTTTGTTGACCAGTGTTATTAACATAGATATAGTCAACAATATTTTCCATTAATGTATTGTAATTTGATCATATAATTTACATATGTATGTACAATTAAAAAATTTATTAAACATATATTATAATAAATAAATAATATCAAAAAGCAAAAAGTGACATAATTTCAAATACCGCAATTTTATCACAACATTTTTGCGGTAATAAAAACCGGACTTTAAAGACAAATTAATCCTTTAATAATTAAAATTAACGGTTTTAATGGAAAAACACACAAAACTCGTATTTTTGTTGCAAAAAATGGCGAATGCGCCGGGAAATTTGCAATTACGGCAAAATTAGCGATAGGTACTAAAAAAGCATGATAAATAACTATAAATAAATATTAACCAAATATAATATTTAAACAACACTGATTTTTTATTTATTTTATTTATTGAAAATAATTACATATGAGTCATTTTTGATAAAACGGCAAAAATAAAAGAAACATGTAACACATATTACATTACGTACCTACTTACATATTGATTTTAATTTTTATTGTTGCAATATTTATTAAGTATTTAACAATTTGTTTTTAAATGTATGTTTAACATTTTTTCTTGGAAAATTTATCCAAAGTAAGTAAGCAAACCTAAATGATTAATCGTCAGTTTAAAATCACAGCAGATAAGATTAGATAAGAAAAGGTCTAAATGGCATAATAGTTTAAAAGTACTCAATAGTATAATTTGTTTAAATTTAATAAACGCTATTTTAGCCAGGAGTTTTAATTGGGCACGAGCGAAGCTTGCGAGCGAGTGTTTAATAAAATGAGTGTCTAGATAAGTTTATAAACGAGTTGCATTCTACACTTTTTCACGACAAATAATAATTAATAATTTATTATTACTAATAAATTTAAATTTTTGTATAGTAACCATATTGGTGTTATGTTTTACCGGCTTTCCAAATGGCAGTGTTAGTTTGTCAAATGTTTCTGTAAAAATCGAAATTTCACCCTTGAAAATGCACTCACAACCGTTTAAATCCTATATAGTTTTTTACAGTGAAAATTATTTTTCAAAGATTGGCGTCAAGAAATTATTTTTGTATTAAGATAATAAAATTATTTTTACATTTACTATTATTTGAAATAATTTATTTCACAAGAAGGCACTTTATTTTGACGATTGTATGACATTTGACAATTGTCAACCAACTTAAAGGTAACTTCAGCCCGTGACTAAAACTATATAGTTACTTATAAAGGTGGAAGTGAAAAAATACATATTAATAATAATTGTTAAATTTAAAAGTATTTTTCAAAATGTTTTATTTTTATTCTCTATCATTCTAAAAATATTTTTTAAGGTTTATTAAAGTTTTTTACAATAAATTTTAGTTAGTGTAAAAAATTATTTATAATATTATCTATTAAAATGTTTTTTCAAATAGTTAATAGAAACGATCCAAGTTGACAAAAAAAAACTTTATCTACAGACTTGCAAAATCAGATTATTTGAATGTTGATAAATTATTTATTTAAAAACATGATAATACACTGTTTATTGTTTACTAATGGCCGTCTGCACAAAAGTTAGCTATAATTTGTTGGACCTTTAAGTGTATTTATTAAGACATATTTTAATAATATTCTTACACGGAAAGAACTGTTTTTGGTAATAGTTACTAAAAAATCCATAACATTGGGGGCAGCTTTGATATTGTAGTAGTGAGCATTTTTGTGCTTGGTAATGATTCCAAACTCCCCGAGGGGGAAAATCAATCAGTACTAAAATTCATACTCTCCTCCTTATACGAGGAACAGGGGGTAACTTTAAAATTTCCGATGGAACACCCTATTTTTTAACTAGTATTTAAGTTTCCTTTGGTTTAAGTTTTATACATTATTTCATTCGGTGATAATTCCGCACCATGGTTACTTTTTACCTGTCAGCATTAAATCCTTTAATTTAAAGGATTATTGTACTATTTTTAATAAAAATACCTCATTTAAGGTAAAAAAACATTATATTCATAATGGATTTTTAACAGCGGAAGAAAAATAGATTTTGATTTATGGAGAAGCAGGCAGGAATCTTGATCTACGCTCAGCGTTTTCCGGATAAAATTCGATCACGTACTTTATTTCACCGTACAGTCAAGCAGTTTACTACAAACGGGAGTGTTCGTCGAAATAAATACGAAACGAAATAAATAAATAAATTTAAAAAATAAAACCAAGTATTTTTTTATTCAAAAATTATTGGAGAATCGTTTACAGAAGAATAATCGAATAAAATTGATTTTTTTTATTACAGCGCCATCTATTAAAAATATGAAAAAATGTTTTAGACAAAATCTACCTATTTTTAGTCGAATGATCCGAATCTGCAATAAAAAATAGGTTCCATTGGAAATTTTATACCAAGTATCTTCTATGTATGTATGTATGGGTGTTTTTTGTATTTAACAATTCAATTAAAATGACATTTAAATAAATCAGCGGTTCTCGAATAATTTAAAAAAACTGAAAAACTGTCAATGCCAAAAATCGTTTTTAACTTTTTTATCCCAGGGAATTTTGAAAAAAAATTACATAATCTTCATTTTAATTCAATTTGTGATTTTTTTGCCTACTAGATTTTGTGTTTTGTTTTTCCTATGGGACTTCTACATGCTTAGATAGAAAAAAAATCAAGGAATCCAACGATGTATCAAACTGCACAAATATATTGTAAACAGTTTTAATATAACTTTGTAATTTAATGTATTTTAAATTTTTAGGATTAATTTCTTTTAACAATCAATACCCAACAATATTAATAGTTGGTCAAATGTTTAGTAATGGTTATTGTTTTATGTATTGCGAAATTTGTTTTGAGTAAGTTATTGCAATAAGTACTAAATTTAAATGCTGGGCCGCCAAATGTTAGCTATGCTTTGTGCATGGGATGAAAAAGTAATAATGCAGTCGTCAGTATTTTTGAATATTTTTTTTTTTTAGTTTTAGGTGGTCGAGGTGCATATTTAGGTAGAAAGAGAGAAATAAATAAATTGGAAATCAGTAAGGGCCTAGAGTTGGTTTGGAGGTTTAGTTGATAAGAGAGTGTATCGTTTTTGAATTGCGCGATGAGCGAGTTGCCCTACCCGTATGGCCTGGGTTCGGAACCGGTCGCTGCATATCAACAACAGCGGCACCAAGTTGAAGCAACACCAGCAACGAACGCAGACTTTTGTGATTTTAATGAGGAAGGCGACGACGAAATGGTAACTACCGAACGCGAGCTGGCCGAAGATGCACAATGGAAAAAAATACAACAGAACACCTTTACGCGATGGGCCAACGAGCACCTGAAAACCGTTGCCAAACATATCAACAATTTGGAAACCGATTTAAGTGATGGTTTGAGATTAATCACCCTAATTGAAGTTTTATCCGGCAAACGGCTCCCGAAACATAACAAAAAACCCTCCTTCAGGTCGCAAAAACTCGAGAATGTGTCTGTCGCGCTTAAATTTCTACAAGACGACGAAGGAATCAAAATCATCAACATTGGTAAGTCCACAATGTATTTATTTTTTTCACCTAGGGTATTCTCAACTGACCGGTCACTTCTAAAAATAACTAGGTATGCTAATAAAAATCCTAGTTTTTGTCATTTAGATTATTATGCTTAAATAACAGATAAATATTGTTTATACAAAATATATTTTTTACAATTTATATTTCATTATCCACATATTATTACATATTTGCTCAATTTAATACGTCTAAAAACTACATACACTTTTTATTAACCTACTTCTACACAATGTTGTCATTTTTTATTAAAGCAAAGCAAATTTATCAATTCAAATATGTATAATTTAATTTCTTAATTAATACACATAATAATATCGCAATCTTTTTATCATAAAATTTGGTTCCACTTCCGCACTATGTAATTTGTTCAACGCTATTTTTATATTCCACAATTTTTACGGTTTTTACCGGAATGCATTTTTAATTATAATAATTGACTCGGATTACAATAGTCTCTATTAATATAAAGTGATTCACCGGTTCATAAGATCATTCTTCTAGGAATGTTTACTAATAACCTTAGAAGTTTTGACTGCACAAAATCTTAAGATGCAGTTAAAACTTGTTAGGTGTTTCGAAAATTTTTGTCTCAAGATTCAAATTTATTATTGGAACCTGTGGGTATACTGATATATCAGGTTTAAGGTATTTTAAAATTACTTATCGCGCTACCTCTTTATTTTGTCGGTTACACATTTTTTCTATTTTCCTATTAAGTGACCTTGTGATATATTGTTTTATCAAAAACTACCTACCCATCAGCACTATTTTTGGCATAAATTTTGATGACTAATAACAAATTAAACATTTGTCCTCGAGCAATTACAATTACATTTTTTTTTAATAAAACTAAAACATTTTTTTAACATTTTTGTGACTTTCTGGTTAGTATAGTTAATATTATTAAGCCTACGATTTTTGAAGTTAAAAGGAAAATTAGAACCAAGTTTGGAAAAATAATCTACTTATGTTAATTAGGTCACCGATTGATAAAAAATGAGCTTGCGAGCGAGTGCATAATTAAATGAGTGCCTAGAAAAGTTAATATTATCTAAGAAATGATTTAAATTAAATATTTGTATAAAGCGACATCTATACGAAAAAAAAGTAACCATCCCAATAAACATTTTTGACGTAATTTTTACCATTAACATTGCCCGTCATTACTTTACTTTAAATTTTGAAAATAACTTAAAAATATGATTATGTTACTATAATAGCAAAATATTATCACAAAGAATTAAAAATTCTTACAGGAAAATGTTAAAGGTACAAAAAGTGACAGTTGTATTTATTGGAATTCACCGGCGTTAAAATCTCAAATTTTTCTGTGTAAATTTATCCCTTAAAAATAGACTAACAATCGTATTTTATTTGATTTAACGTAATTTTCACGAAAAAAAATACTTACAGGTTATTTTATTTAAAGGGATTTTTAAAGGTAAATTTAACGAAAATATTTTCATTTTAAACTAAATTTCACTCATAGCAAGTAATATTTTTACTACAACAAAACCACTTTATAACCGTAAATAATTCGTATTTGTCTGGGAACTTTTTAAGGTTTAAGGTGGTTTCAAAAACAGTTAAAAACGAAACAAGAAAAATATAGTTTTATGGTAAACTTTATTACCTACTTTAGGTATACCATTTTAAAATATTAATTTAGGATTTTAAGGGTTTAGAATGAGAGAACAGTCATGAAGTAATTTTAACGATATTTTTACGTCAATATTTTGTATTTAAATTATCATTATGAAATTTTGATACAATTTTATAGATTAATAATATTGATTCCGTAAAATTTTTAAAATTTTAATCAAATCAGTAGCGGCAAAAATATATAGGTTTAACCTACAGGTATAGCACAAACAACACGTAATTGATTAGATTTAATACCCTGAGAAAGCATTTAACTTAATTGTTGATAAAAAATCATTGATTTTCTTTATAAGGGGGGCTACGTCACTATTTTAAAATATTCGGATAAACACAAAAATGTTAAAAATGGTTATTTTATATAATACGTTAAAATAACTTAAAAACTTATAATAAATAATAATAAAATTGTTTAAAAATCTCCACAACACTTTTAAATTATTTATTGATTTTAATCAAATTTTAGACATACGCAAAGAATAATTTTTACCTTATTGGGTTCATTAAGTGATACTTTATTTTAAATTAAAATAACCCTTTAAATTTAAGTGAACTTCCCCATTGCTGTAATTTTATATATAAAAAATATTCTTCTTTAAAAGAGACCAGTGACGTGACCTTGTATTTCTACCTATTACGTAATGAATTCTTAACGACTGGAAGTGTAAAATATTTATACAAACTTGTGGCAAAACCATCATAACCCCCCGTTATTTTGATTTTAAAAATGTTCGGCGATTATGTTAATAAGCGGTTTTGAATTAATTAGTTTTTATTAAATTTTATCTACAAAATAATTTTATCAAAGTGTTTTGATATTTATAACGAGAAATTGAAATAAATAAATATAAAATTTATTAAAAATTATAAAAATTATTAAAAATTAAAAAGAGGGTGTTCCCATTAAACAAAATTGCTTAATGAAGGTCATTTTTGTGGTCAAACTGATTCCCTTCGCATATCCTGATTTTTTTTTAGTTCAGACTCATAGCATTGCTCGTTTTGAAATAGACACCCTGTATATGCATCTTTGTTTCAATGTTATTTTTTATTTTGCCGTATTTGGTTCTGCCCTTGACAAAATTTGGTTAGGTACCTACCAACATTGTGTATCTGATACGCTGAAATATTACCCACACATCTAAAAACGGTATTTTAAAAAGTATATAAGAAAATACATTTTGATGTGCGTTTTGGGCCTCCATTCGTACTTAAAATTAAAAACTGTGCGATGAAATTGTTTCTCCTTGGACCAGATCACAGGTTGACTCTCTTTGATAGACCCAGATACCAGATACAACTCAGTCAATGTTCCACATTTCATTATACCTTAAATAGCATGCAGTTAAGTCTGTGAATTTATATTTGCTAATCAACAACTTTATGGTATATAAAAGGCGATTTACTTGACGACAGATGGTTCTTTTTCATTTAGAATATGCCCTATTCATAGAAAAGCCGCAACAGTTATAATAGAAACATTTGCTTGATTTACAGGAAATTTTATTACTTATAATGAACAGTTTTCGAGCTAATCATTTTAACGGGACAAAAATGTCGTTAGATGAAAGACATATCTACAAGAATTTTTCTATTATACGTCATTTAATTATGCACGAGTTTTTAATAATTTAATAATCTGTCAAACAGTTTTAACCCCACTTTTTCCTAATTTAATGCAATAGTGCATTAAGTAACTTAATATACAGTAGTTTCGTGGATTAATCGTTGTTTTATTTATTGTACAATACGTTTATAAAGCTTATAAAACGAGTTACATAATATAATTTTTCTACTCCCATCTTTAAAACGCCCTTTATCGTACATGTTTCCATGACACTAAGTGACCTTTTAAATACACATTGACAAGTTGTGGCTTTATGGCGCTTTAGTCACGGGCTGAAGCTAGCAACAGGTTTTTAGTCACGGGCTGAAGTTAGTTTTAAGTTAGTTGACAGTTGTCAAATGTCATACAATCGTTAAAATAAAGTGCATTTCTTGTAAAATAATACTAAATGTAAAAATTATTTTATTATCTCAATACAAAAATACAAAACTATTAAATAGTTTCTCAACGCCAATATTTGAAAAGTTTATATGAACATTGTACTGACCTTTTAATTTTGCCGGCAGTAAACTATAACTTAAATTCGGACACGGACTCCACTGTAAAGTCCTCATAAAACATTTCCTTTACTTTCACTGTGAAAAACTGTCAATTTTCAATATACATTTCGATTTATAACCTTTATAATTGTGTTTATAAAATGTAAAAATGTGACATTTGACAGTTTCCCCTGTTGTTTCATAGATGGCGCTCTATACAAATTTTTGATTTAAATCATTTTAAGATAATAATAAGTATTTGTCGTAGAAAAAGTATAGTATGCACCTCGTTTATAAACTTTTCTATACACTCAGTAATTTAAGCACTCGCTCGCAAGCTCGCTCGTGCCTAAATTAAATTCGTGTATAAAATGGCGTTTATCAAACTTGATACATAATATACTATTATGTATCAAGTTTTATTTAGTTACAAGTTTTATTAAGCTTGCGAGGGAGTGTCTAGAGAAGTTTATAAAACTAGTTCCATACTATACTTTATCTTCGACGAACACAAGGCCAATTTTATATGTCAAACTTTTAACATCTGTCAACTTTTAACGGATTTAACCTCACTTTTCCCTAATTTATATTAAAGTTAACTTCAGCCCGTGACTAAAATGCCTAAAAGCCACTATTGCTAACTTAATCGTTAAATATCATACATTTAGCCATCACTTAGGTAGTATTTATATTGTATTTTTATTATTTAATAACATTATTAAATTTAATCAAAATCAATAACAAAAAAGTACCCAAATATCGGTATTTTTTTTAAATAGTACCTATTTATCTTCTAAAATTAAAAACAAGAAAAATATTTGTTAAATATTTGACAACTGTCAAACAAATTTAACCTCACTTTTTCGCAATTTATAAAAAGCTGATGTTGCCAATGTGGGAGTAGAAAAAAAACTAAAATACTTAAACCTTCTTTCAGATTCCACCCATATAGTAGATTGTAAATTAAAACTAATATTAGGTCTAATATGGACTTTAATTTTGCATTATTCGATATCTTTGCCCATGTGGGATGGTGAAGACGATATTAGTAATGGCGGTTCAGAACCGACTCCGAAACAAAGGCTGATGAATTGGATACAAAGTAAAGTGCCGGATCTTCCAGTAAAAAATTTTACTACAGACTGGAACGACGGCAAGGCAGTTGGTGCTTTGGTGGATGCTGTAGCGCCTGGGTTGTGTCCGGATTGGCCGGTAAGAAATTTATATTTTCAATTAAAAAAAGTATTAAAGCCAAATGTCAATAGGATTGGGATCCAAAGGACTCGGTGCAAAATGCTTCAGAAGCTATGGGTCTTGCCGATGACTGGCTTAATATTCCTCAACTTATTAAACCAGAAGAAATTATCAACCCTAATGTTGATGAGCAATCCATGATGACATACTTGTCGCAATATCCTAATGCCAAACTTAAGGCTGGAGCTCCATTAAGACCAAAAACTAGTCCAAACAAGTAAGTAAACAAAGATTTAAAACATTTGGAGAAATATTTCTATTTACAACGTTATTGATAAACATTCCTATAATTTGCGCTCTCGTTTCACAAAAATATTAATATTATTTTTCGTTTAAATTTAGACTTCTTCCACCTAGGTGAGTTTCAGTTGCCATTTGCAAAATTTGAACTAGTGGCAGAAAAATAACGAATTTTATGATGTACAGTCTGTCAAGTAAGAGCGTAGACGGGTAAAGTATGGAAAAATATTTCACCATCAGAAGGTATAATTTTCTACTAAATTATATTCCCAAGAAGAGACCTCCAAATTCTGCATATGGATTTCCTATTAGATTTGCGATTGGTGATTCAATTTTAAAATGCTCTTTCCAGAAAGTAAAACTTCGATCTTGGATTCATTATCTTTTTTTTCAGGATGCATCAAAGAAATTGGCTCATTCATAGAACCACAGACCAATTAGCTTGATCTGATTTACTCTTACTTGACTGATTGTAGCTATGCTAACAATGATTTTGCAACAAATTTTGTGTGATCACCATTTCATTTTTATATCATTTCATATATTCATTAAATAGATAGATTGGCTTTTTCGCTTGAAAATCGAAATTGAAAGGGTTATAAGACATCATAATATTAATCGTTTAAACAAAACCTAAAAATGCCTTAATTTTTAGAGTTAGAGTTTATGGGCCAGGAGTAGAACCTACAGGTCCAGTTGTTGGAGCTGCTGCCAACTTTACAGTCGAAACATTTTCGGCTGGTAAAGGTCAAGTTGATGTGGTTGTAGAAAATCCTAAAGGCCAAAAAGAACCCGTTGACGTTAGATTCAACAATGATAGAAACTTAACATACTCAGTTTCGTATACGCCGCAATATGAAGGCAACCATAAGGTCAACGTGTCCTTTGGAGGAAGAGTTGTTCCGAAAAGTCCGTATACCGTTAAAGTTGAAGGTAATAATGACTCAATTGTATAATTTCTTTCTAAAATTTATTTTATCTAAGGTCACGCCGGGGATCCAAGCAAAGTGACCGCGTCAGGTCCAGGTTTGCAACCTGACGGAGTTTGCATAAACAAACCAACATATTTTGATATTTCCACCGTTAATGCGGGCAAGGGAGTGCCCGAAGTAATAATCTTAGACCCTTCGGGAAATAAAAACTCGATAATCGTCAAGGTGAGGCAGACTAGTCCGGATTTGTGGCGCTGCGAATACGTTTCGCCAACAATTGGTTTACATTCCGTTAATATATTTTTCGCTGGCCAATCGATTCCGAACAGTCCGTTCGGCGTTAGAGTCTCGCCTGTGAGCGACGCTAGAAAAGTTAGAGCCAGCGGTAGAGGTCTGCAGGATACTGGCGTCAGAGTTAAGGATGAGGCCGATTTTAAAATATACTGCGAGGGGGCTGGCGAAGGTGTTCCTGAGGTTAACATCATCGGTCCAGGCGGTGTGAAAGAGCCATGCAAACTTACAAAAGTGCAAGGTACTACGTATCACGCTGTGTATCACCCGATGAAAGAAGGCAGATATCGCGTAATGGTGACCTTTGCCGGTCAAGAAATACACAACAGTCCATTCGACGTGAACGTTGGGCCCTACAAGGAGTCCAAAATAAACGTTTTTGGTCCAGGACTCGTCGGTGGAGTGGTGGGTTATCCGGCTCTCTTCACCGTAGAAGCTAATGGTGAAGCCGGCGCTCTAGGCTTCAGTATTAACGGACCTTCCCAAGCCAAAATCGACTGTCAAGATAATGGCGATCAGTCAGCTGACGTCAAGTATTACCCCACCGCTCCAGGAGAGTACGCGGTACATATACTGTGCGACAACGAAGATATTCCAAAAAGTCCCTACATTGCTCAAATTTTACCGAACACTGACTATTATCCGCAAAACGTGGAAGTATATGGACCAGGCGTTACCCCCAACGGGGTAAGAAAACAGGAAGCTACCAAGTTTACCGTTGACAAAAGAAAGGCTGGCTCTGCTCCCTTAGATGTTAAGGTAAGTCATAAATTACAATAACCATTATTATAATTTATTATAATTGATTAATTCTCTAGGTAATAGACTCCAATTTGAACAACGTGGAAGTTAAGTTGGTGGAAAAATCCGACGGTCTAATCGAAGGTAGTTATACGGCAAAAACCGGCGACCGTCATACTGTTCAAGTAAACTATGGAGGTGTGGCTGTGAAAAATTCTCCATTCAGAGTATACGTGGAAGAACCAATCAACCCCGCCAACGTGCAATGCTTCGGGCCTGGCGTGCAGGATGGCGTCAAAGCCAACACCCCAACACATTTCAATGTTGATGCCAGAGATGCCGGTGATGCGGAGCTGGAAGTTCGCGTGGTAAACGAAGCCAATCCGCACAAAGACATTCCAGTCAAAATCATAGACAACGAAGATAGAACCTACACAGTGGACTACGAACCAACGGAACCAGGAACGCACAACGTCACCCTGAATTACGGCGGCCTCAAAGTACCAACAACTCCAATCAAATTCAAGGTGCAACCCAACGTTGATGTATCCAAGATAAAAGTCGATGGACTTGAACAAAGTAAGTAATGAAACTAATAGTCATAATATTGGTGATGGTTGAGGTTAAATTGTGTTATTATTGTCATAAAATAGCCGCACCGGTGAATAGTTTACAACAATTTAGAGTGATAACGGAAGACGCCGGTAAAGCAGAAATCGCCATTCTTATAACGAGTCCTTCGGGAAGCAAAGTGAAAGCTCACGTAATACCGACAGCTGAAGGTTTTTTGGTTAACTTTACACCAACACAGTTGGGAGAATATTTATTGGGAATATCCTTTGGTGGTGAATCCATCTCGCACAGACCATTCCGATTGACTTGCCTGACCGGCAGCGATCCTTTAAAAGTTATGGCTAAAGGTCCTGGCTTGGAAAAAGGGATTGTTAATAGGCCAGCTGAGTTTGTGATTGATACTAGAGGTGCTGGCCAAGGTGGGCTGGGTGTTACAGTTGAGGGACCCTGTGAAGCAGCAATCAATTGCAGAGACAATGGCGATGGCACTTGTTCTGTCGCATATTTGCCCACAGAAGTTGGAGATTACGGCATCAATATCACTTTCAATGATTCCCACATACCTGGAAGTCCATTTCAAGCCATAATACTCCCTGAAGTCGATATGAACAAAATCAGAGTATCGGGAAATGGCGTTCAGCTACACGGTATTAAATGTGTGGTTTCGATGTTTTGATGTTAACCGTGTACCGAGTTTTTTGACTAACTAAAATGTTTTCCTACTTTTATTATAGTACATTTAGCCCAGTCAAAATAGGTTTTCACTTCAGAAGGCTTTTTGCCTAATTTGACTGGGCTAATAACGATGTAGTGCATGACTAAACGCACGGTTTTAAACATCATTTTGGTGCATAGAGTGTCAATTATTATTTTTCTTCTAGGTGTATACGCTAACACGCCAACAGACTTTGTCGTTGACACCAGAGCCCTTCCAAAAACAACGTCCGGTGATGATGGTAAGGTAACGTGCACCATAACGAATCCTTCCGGTGCACAGACGGAAAAGTTCGTCACGCCGTCACTTGATGGTACATACAAAGTGAGCTATATACCGTTTGAAGAAGGCACACATACGATTGACATATTCTATGATAATGTGCCCGTGCCGGGTTCGCCGTTTATTGTAAATGTGCGTAGAGGTCCCGACTCGAAGAAATGCATTGCGTATGGACCGGGTTTGGATAAGGGTTATGTAGGGAAACAAAACACCTTCACCGTTGAAACTAAAGGTGCAGGTCAGGGTGGTTTATCGTTGGCGATAGTAGGACCCAGTGAAGCTAGAATGACCTGCAAAGATAATAGAGACGGTTCTTGTTCGGTTGAGTATATTCCAGATGAAGCAGGTGAATACGATGTGGCTATAAAGTTTGCCGATCAACCCATTCAAGGCTCGCCTTTTAAAGTTATGGTGGTGGATGAGAACCTGGTGAAGGCTTACGGTCCAGGTTTGGACCCTGCAAAGTGTAGGTCTGGCGTTCCAGTTAAATTCACGGTGGATGCGTCAAAGGCAGAACCTGGCCCTGTAGGCGTTAATATCGTCTCCGATTCAAAGCAACTGCCCAAAAAACCCGACGTGATCGATAAAGGCGACGGTACGTTCGATGTGACCTACATCCCGCCCGATGAAGGCGCCAACCTTAAAGCCCACATTACCTACAACGGTAAAGACATAGTAAACAGTCCATTCCCGTTGAAAGTAAAACCGGTGGTGGAACCGGAAAACATCAAAATCACCGGCCCCGCTATTGTGGAGAATGGCATTCCGGCTTCGATGCCGACCACCATTAAAATCGATACCAACGAAGCTGGCTTCGGCGATTTGGAAATGAAAATGACCGGACCAGATGGCAACTCGAGGCCCATCACTTTGAGTGACAACAAAGATGGCACCTACAATGCCGTGTTCGTCCCCGATGATTGTGGCAGATACAAGTTGGACTGTAAATATGGCGGCAAGGAGGTACCCAACACCCCCATCCCAATACAAGCCTACGCCATTGGTAATGTAAGTATTATAGGGGAAAATTTTTTCAGGTAATAATTTTGTCTCTTTGATATAGGCTGAAAAATGTAAGATTACCGAAGGACAAGAAAAAACACTACAAAGTGGGGAGTCGTACTGTATCACAGTGAATACAGAAAATGCCGGCAAAGGAGCGGTGACTTGTAGGATCAAGTCTACCAATGAAAGGTGAGTTTTTAATTTCTTTGCGTGGGGGTAAACCGAAACTTTACGTTACGAAAGATGAAACGGAAACGGCGCGCGCACATACCTGCGCCGTATTAGAATCAGAGCTGGGCACGAGTACTAAAAAAAGTATTCGTAAATAAGAGGTTACGGTTACAAGTACTAATCGTGAAAACACGAGTAAAGAGTACGAGCACTTTGAAAAAAAAATGTTAGTTAATATAATTGATTATTCTTTATACAATATACATACTTTGGTCCTGAGCTATAAAAATACAAATACAAATTTATAAAATTATATATCTATTTTGCTTTCATAATGACTTCATTATAACACCGCTTTCGGTGCTGTAATGAGATACTTTATCCCACCCAAAATTTTGATTTTATAGGTTGGCTATACTTTAAACATTTTGAATATTGGTTATAATATTTTTATGATTTTTCTAGTACTTTCGAGACTTTTCTGGCAGTAAATCCTTTTTTTCTTCTTTAACATTAACATCCGCTTATTGTAAATAAGTAAATTAAGGACGGCATGGCGAATCGATTTTGACATTAACTGTCAAACCAATGACTGTGATACCAACTATCTAAACTAAAATTCGACCAAATTAAATTTAAGGTATAAAATTAATCTTTATTATAGAATTTTTGCAAAATAGATAAAATAGCATAAAGAACTAATGTCTTAAGACCTTTTGTCGCACTCGTCCATTACAAATTGTCCGCGTGCGACAAAATGCCGTCTTATGACTTTAATATCTTTAATATACTATTATTTTAAACATTAGGTAGGTACATAAAATAATAAATAACAATTCCTAAATAGTTGTAATACTTGTTATAAATATAGGCTATAATATATTATATTATACTATATATTATATAATTTAAAACAGACTTTCAAACTAAATGTTTTGATGCTTACGGTATTTTGGCAAAAAGCCATCGATATAATAAACGGAAATACTCGTATATATTTCTCGTGAATTCCACGAGTATTTTTTACGAGTACATTGAATTTGGTTTGTAAGTACGAGTAATAATTATTTCAAATGAAAAATAGTACCTACTCGTACTTTTTTATTCGTAAATGAAATACGAGTAAAATTACTCCGTACTTGGTCAGCTTTGATTAGAATATTCAAACAAAATTCGCACAAATTTAAAAAATGGTAGGACAAATTCGCACAGTAGTACAAATTTAAAAAGTTGCAAGACAAATTTGCACAGTGCTTCAAAATTAAAAAATTACAGGACAAATTTGCACAGTAGTATAAATATAAAAAAATGGTGGGACAAATTTTCAAAATTTTTAAAATTACCAAAATTCCATAAATTGACAAAATGATACAATTCTGTTACATATTTTCCAGCACCAGTGACTTGGACATTGATATAGTGGATAATGGAGATGGTACCGTCAGTATCCATTACACGGTGCAAGATGCCGGTGAATATACCATCAACATTAAGTTTGGCGGGCAAAATGTTCCTGGCGGTTTCTACACATTTGTGGTAAGTCCAATTTATTTGAAACACTGACATTGCTGGGGGCAGATTATTCATTAAATTTTCAGCTGTTTTTTTTTTCATATATAAATATCACTTTCCCGTACATTCGGCAAAAGTTATTTATGCTCCCAATTAGTTATGTTAAAAATAACAGATTTTATTGGTTAGTGCCCTCTCTGTAGCTATAAAAATATTTCGGATATTTTTAATTCAGCCGATTTAACACATATTTAGTACCGTTAATATATTTCTGATAAGTTGCCAAATTCATGTAGTAATATTTGTTTTATTAATAAAATCCAAGAAAAATGTGCATTTGCTCGCGCAATTAATAAATAATTAACGACAATACACCATAACTTTTAAGCATACATATATCTTAATTGCAACATATGTATTAACGCTTTGACAACTACACTAATTATTTTGAAACTTAATTTAATTGTAACGTGTGCTTTCAAGTCACAACTAATTAATTGTAAAATTAGGTTTCATTGTCCTGAAAACAAACTGAAAGCTAGTGGGAGAAATAGGAGATTTATAAAACAAATAATTTAAAGGCAATTTTATTTGTTGTTTTATCTTACAGCTGTCAAACCGTTTTAACCTCACTTTTTCTCTGATTTTAAATTAAAGCTAACTTCAGCCCGTCGGCAAAACAGCTTTAGGATAAAATTCTATAAAAGTAAGGTTAAAAATGTTTGACAGTTGTCAGATGTTGGATCAAATATCAAATAAAGTTGGCTTTGGTCAAATTTGAAAAGATTCCACTCGCGTTTTACCGCATTCATTATAATGAATAAATTAAAAAATATTTTTCAAAAAAAAATAGATTTATTTATTTATTTATAAATGTCCTGGAAACAAAAAGTTTGATGTCTAGAATATTCGAGTTTATTTATAAATACAGCACCATATAATCTAAATATATAAACACATAAAATTTCGTAAATAATAAAATAATTTATAAACTTTTTTATTATTATTATTATAGACTTAGGTAAAAAATACACGGGGGGAAATGGGTAAATTTTATTAAAAAATGTTTTGGCTCTCTAAACTTGCGCTGGCCCCACCCTAATCTGGATTCGAAATTTATAAATTTAGTATGCATGTACCCTAAAAATAGAAAAACCTCCTTGTAAATTCTAGTAAGTGTATAGTGCTATCCTGATTATTTTCCGAATACGATTCCAGTGTTGTTTTAGCAGAGAAAAATTTTTTCACCAATTAAAATCGAACTAGGTCGACTTATGCCGATCGTGACGTTCTATTCTTTTCAGAACCCACCACGATTTAAAATCACTAAATGTATGAAATTTGATTGTCTTCAGTCTTGTGAATAACTTTTCAGGAGGTATGTCGAAACATTTTATTGTGTTAAATAAATTTTTATTTTAAATTTATATAAAGAAAAAAATGCGTTAAACTTGTAGCGCAATTAATAATTGGCAGCTTACATTTTAATAATAATGCACAATTTCAATTTTATTATTTTTGGAAATTAAAATGCTGCCTTGTAATTTATTTTGCCAAATTACGCATACTGAAATAATCCTTCTTCCGCTAGATTAACTCACTAAAATTAGTTTATTAAATATTAAAATATTTATTCTGCACGTCTACTTTATACACGTATATTTAATACTGCACGCCCTAAATCTAAAAAATGTATTTTTAGCTTTTAAAATTTTGAGTTTCTTTATAATATAAGTAGGAAATGATATCTATAGAAAATAAATTTAGCCTTAAAGGTGTCCAAATGACTTCAAACTTAAAAATTTCGTTGTGTTCTCTAAACAGTTGCTTTAAGAATTTTGACATTTTTTGAAGGAAAATTACTTTTATAATGATCTTTTAAATAAATAGCTTTTTTATTGTGTTGAAATTTGGCAAAATAAAATTCCAAAACAATGCCAACAAACGACATTAATATCTGTGTATTATTTTAATGCAGCGTTTAAATTTAATAAACTACATTACTTTGTTGTAAGATCATTACAAAATTATCTGAATATTATAAATAATTCTTATGTTAATTAATGGTAAACGAGAATAAAAATAAAATTGTTTGTCGCTCTGAATTTATTTAAGCTCTCCACACCTGTTCTCTATATCTCAAAACTAGGAAAACTATTTAAAGATTCCTACCATCTAGTCCACAGCAATAAAGCTATTTACATAAAATATTACATTTATATCATTTAAACAAAAATAATTAAGTAACATTGGCCAATTACCCACATATAAAATATCCTTTGGCAAATTTTATTTACAATGATAAATATTCAGTGCATCTCTCATAATTTCTGCGTGAAATAAATGACCCGATATTTAACACTACACAGAAATTACGAGATTAATAACTTTACAATACACTTTGAAAAATTGGTAATCGGCCAATTTAAATCAAACAAATCGTCTGCTATGTCAAATTTGTATCAATGAACCCCACTCTTTAAAACATTTATTTAAAAAGTACCTAACATTTTAAAAGTGCGATTTTATTTCCTTTAGAAAATGATCTCTATAGATGGAGAGCAATAAACCAATCAGAGCACGGCATTCTCCACAGCACACTATGCGCAATAAAAAACGCCGTTCTTTGATTGGTTTATTGCTCTTCATCTAATGAGATCATTTTCTATAGAAAAAGAGAAATTTTCAGAAATACCCACCTCTGGTCAGATAAAATATCAAAAAAAAATTGCTTGCGGTAGTTGAATAAAAAAAGGAAATGAAAGATAATAATAAGTAGAAAAAATATTGTTGATGTTTTTTAGTTAAAGTCTCAAAAACAAATAATTTGGAGTGTGTGACAGATGTCTCTTAACAGATGCGTCGCGACGCCTCTCCAGTGATTTAATTAGTTGTATTTACTTAATATTTTACATCAAAATATATTTTTAAAACGTATCCCAACCAAAATAACAACTTTGTTTGTTATTTCTTCCGATGTCTCATATTTTAATTGGATGATTTTACGAAACTATTTGGGATATTAAAATTAAACAAATATTATTTTATTATTGGAAGTTAAATATTTAGCTGGAGTCATAAAACATATTTTCTGAATAGTTTTATGTTTTTCTAAAAATGAAATATTGTGCATGTCTATCAATTTATTATTTCAGTGACATATATGAATTAAGAGAGCTTGCCTTTTACCTCGTCTCGGTCTTTTATGTCTCATCAGTGACGGGTATCCACGTAGTCGTGGCTAACCACGTCTTTTGGGTCGTGTGATTTTTTATAAGTATACTTGCACTATGACACGCCACATAGCTATCCGGGTCTAATGAGGTCCAGTTCTCACAATTTGGGCCCTACACCTATTTTTTGACAGATTAATTAGTTTGGCAATAAATACATATTTTTTTAAGGCCGAAGAAGTCAGCACCAAATCGACCGTTTCGAAAACCGATTCAGCAAAATCGAGCTCCACCCAAAAATCGCAAACATTCAGGCCCGTCGCGCTTGATAATATACCCTTACCCAGTACTGGAGGACACGTAACAGGTTAGTAAACTATTGAAAAAAATATATATTTCAGATTTATCATCGGCGCAAAAATAGGAAGAATTTTGTGGTTAGCAGGATAAATATTTTACTAGTATTAGTTTTAATGGTCAAGAAAGTTTATTTTGACAAAACGGTTTTAAAATATCGAAAAAATATTTACCAAGGAAATATAAATTATTATTATTAATTTGTTTTTGAATCACGTCTAGTTTGTGCCAAAAGTTGCACAATATTGTTTTGTTGTTGTCTTAATTTAAATATAAATTATTATTATTGTTTTTTTAATTTTTTCATGTAAATATTGTTGAGATGGCGCCATATAGCTCAGACTATAGTCTATTTATAAATAAACATTTTTTATAGCAAATCTATTTATAGTAATAAAATAAAATCTCTTTGTTAGCAGATTAATGCCGTCCATAAATCTCGTGACGCTAAAAATGGTCAAAATTGACCCCCCCTTCGTGATAGAATGTGACGATTCCCGAAGGGTCATTTGACGAATTATAAAACTGCCCTAGCCCTAAAAATATTTTTTTAATTCTTTTTTTTGTAATAATCTGACTAAAAATGGAACAAAAAAGTGATTTCATTTGATTTACTTTGTCCCGTGACATTTAAAAACCTTCAGCGTCACGAGATTTATGGACAGACCCTTAAATTTTTGGGATATGGTTTTTTGTAAAACAAATCACTTTATTAAGGTTTTATAAGTAGCTCAGGCAAACTTGGTTAGTGTCTCAGCATAATTCCGCGCGCGCCTTTTTTTTAATAGATACTGATTTTTTCCTATATTTTGTTTTTACTTAAATGACATGCAAGCTGGGTTGGTATCTCAAATAGTACTGTTTTTATTTTTTTAAACATTATTCACACCCAATAAAATAACGAAAAGGTTTTTAAAAAAATATCGTCGAAATTCGAAATTGCAAAGAAAAATATCTCAAATCTTGTGAGTCATTATTTTGATGTAGAGAATAACTTTTATTTGGTGAAATGACCCATATGTAGAAAACAATCACTTTAACTAATGAACTAAAGAAAAAACTTAAAACCCAAAATAAATTGTTAGGATTAGATGAAATTTAAAATTCCAATTCGGAACGTGTAAAATATTGAAGTAAAAAGTAAGCGATCCGAAACGGTTTGAAATTTATGAGTGGTCAGATGCGTAAAATATGTAATTCTAAAGTAAACATATGAATAAGAGGTTGATTGCTTAGATCCCAACGCTTCGTGAAATTATTAATAACCGAAATAAAAATCTTCAACTCGTCCACAACCTATTTTTTTACATTAAAAATATTTTGATATTTTTAGACCAAATTTTATCCACCTTACACAGCTGTCTACTTCGTACGAATTATTAAATTTGGTTTTTGACAGTGATGATCTTTCCATCCTTATCCCTAAAAATTTCGAATTGACTCAGTCGATCCCGAAAGCTCGTTTACTTCAAATCGCTCTTTTACATTTGCATCTAACACAAGTAGTTACTATGTGTATTGAATATGTCTTACTCTTGGATTAATAAACCACCGGAAGCAACTTGGTTGGACATTTCGACTTTATTTATTGCTAATTACAAAAAAATTACTCACTCTGAAACTAATCGCGAAGAATATCCAATCGTTTATCGAAATATACCGTCATTGCCCGTCGGCGGAAAGGGTTTTAACGGCATCGACTTCACACCCCTTACTTTTGTATCATGCTTTTTTGTGCAACACTCTAAAGGTAATAGTTTTTTTACAACACTACCTAAAACTAACATAATTTTAAACATTCAATTTTTTTTGTTTCTTTAAGAAACTTTCTTGACTGGTAATATTCATAAGAAAAAATTGAACCTACACCTCGCCAAAGTTTTATGTTTTGAGTGCGTTCCGCCAACTTCAAATACCGATAGACAGCTTTTATACTGGGTTGGTAAGCCAACAGAGGCGAGATGTAAGAACATCATTCTTACATCTCGTCTCTGTTGGCTTACCAACCCAGTATATAAGCTCAGGGAGAACTTTGTTTTTGACAGACACTGATAGACAGCTTATATACTGGGTTGGTAAGCCAACAGAGGCGAGATGTAAGAATGATGTTCTTACATCTCGCCTCTGTTGGCTTATTAACCCAGTATATAATCTCAGAGAGTCCTTTGTGTTCCACTACACCCAGTTGCCCGACACTGATGAGACCCAATATAGGTCGAAACAGCTGTCTGTCGGTATTTGAAGTTTGTGGAACGCACTCAAAACTAAAACTTTGCCGAGGTGTAGGTTCAGTTTGTTCTTATAACATAATTTTGCAGCCGAAATCAAAATGCCAAGCGGAAATGTAGATAAGCCGGTCATCGAGGACAACCACGATGGTACAGTGACCATTAAGTACGATCCCCGCGAGGAGGGTGTCCACGAGCTGGCCGTCAAATTCAACGGCGAACATGTGCAAGGTTCGCCGTACAAAATCCACGTGGATTCCATCAGCTCTGGCTACGTGACCGCGTACGGTCCCGGCCTGACCCACGGCGTGACAGGGGAGCCCAGCAACTTCACAATTTCTACAAAGGGAGCCGGCGCCGGCGGCCTATCGATGGCCGTCGAAGGGCCCAGCAAAGCCGAAATCAGCTGCCACGACAACAAAGACGGCACCGTGTCCGTATCCTATCTGCCCACCGCACCGGGAGAGTACAAAATATCCGTACGTTTCGGCGACAAGCACATCAAAGGTTCGCCGTTCAACGCCAAAATCACCGGCGAAGGCAGAAAGAGGAACCAAATCTCCGTCGGTTCGTGCAGCGAGGTCTCGCTGCCCGGCAAAATTTCCGACGCCGATATTCGCTCGTTGAACGCTTCAATTCAGGCGCCGAGCGGCCTGGAGGAGCCGTGCTTCCTCAAGAGATTACCGACCGGCAACATCGGCATCTCCTTCACCCCGAGGGAAATCGGCGAGCATGTGGTTTCTGTGAAAAAAATGGGCTGCCACATCACGAACTCCCCATTCAAAATCAACGTGTGCGAAAGGGAGGTGGGCGACGCCAGGAAGGTTAAAGTGTCCGGTACTGCCTTGAAAGAAGGCAAAACCCACTCCAACAACACTTTCAACGTCGATACGAGAAACGCCGGCTTCGGGGGTCTGTCGTTGTCCATCGAAGGCCCGTCGAAAGCCGAAATTCAATGCAACGACAACACCGACGGTACAATGAACATCTCCTACAAACCGACCGAGCCGGGTTATTACATCGTCAATTTGAAATTCGCTGACCACCACGTCGATGGCTCGCCGTTCACCACAAAGGTGACCGGCGAGGGGTCCAACAGGCAGCGCGAGAAGATCCAAAGGCAACGGGAAGCCGTTCCAATCACGGAAGTTGGAAGCCAATGCAAGCTCACCTTCAAAATGCCCGGTAAGCCTTCAACCGCACAAAGAATGTCTGGATATTTTATTGAGGCCTAGATATTCCTTATTATATTTCGTTGTTTCATTATTCATAATTTAGGAATTACATCCTTCGATCTAAGTTCATCCGTAACATCACCTGGTGGAGTTACTGAAGATGCCGAAATCAACGAGGTCAACGACGGTTTATACGCCGTGCACTTCGTTCCAAAAGAACTTGGAGTGCATACCGTATCCGTCAAATACAAGGAGATCCATATTCCTGGTAAGCATTGCCTGATAACAAAAATCTGACTACGGTTTTATCTATGATTTTTTCTTTAGGTTCTCCATTCCAGTTCACGGTGGGTCCGTACAGGGACCACGGTGCCCATTTGGTGAAGGCCGGAGGTGCCGGTTTGGAGAGAGGAGAGCAAGGAGAGCTGAACGAGTTCAACGTGTGGACAAGGGAGGCTGGTAGCGGGCAACTTGCTATTTCGGTGGAGGGTCCCAGCAAGGCTGAAATCAACTTCACGGATCGTAAAGACGGTTCTTGCGACGTTTCCTACAAAGTAGCGGAGCCCGGTGAGTGATAAATTTGCGTGAAATGTGGAAAGTCTGCGAGCGTTTTAATTCAATTGGCAAGGGGAGCATATACCAAAAATAATATTCATGAAAGACGCAAGCTATACTAATTAATTTAGCTCTTTCTAAAAATATATGCGTTTTACAAATTATTTTACGTGTATGCGTTCGTTAAGGTGACATGATGGTTTTAAAAACAAAAACAAACTGAAACCACGATGAAAAATGCTTGGAATTCATTGAAATAAGGCAAACATGCCCTCGTTTATCATTTTTAATCTGATGCGCGATTGATGCAATTGGCGTGGGCGTCCGTAAATTTCGTTTAAGGAAAACATATTTGCATATGGATATTTGTATAAATATATTGGTACGTTACTTTTGATTGGAGGCGAGCCAATTTTAAATTTTCGAGTATGTATCATTGCACTGTGACAAAAAAATAACCCAAGGCAGTTTTGGCCAGTTAATTTTAGACGTTCATTAATTTAATTATTTCATAACTAATGTAAAACATAAGGAGTTGAATTGAATCGGTGAGATTGAGAACAGAACAAGTCCATAAAATTAGTTTTGTGAGAAGATTTATAACATTTTATAAAACATAATTAACAAAAATCTAAGTAAAACAACGTTTTTTAAACTTGTTTTTTAACCAATTGGTCCAACCATTAACATTTTTTTTAAGGTTACTATGAACTAAAAAGTAACCCTTTAAATTTACCAACCCGTTGCAATAATCTTAAGATAAATTCAATTAATATTGTTTAGTATAATTTAACTAATAAAAGAAACCTATTGGTAATATTACTAACTAGTTAAATATTTGGTTTATGTATAGTCAATTTAAACTCTTGAGATAACCTTAATATACCTAGGTATAGCTATATGTTATAACTATACTATATATATATAGGAATATCTAATAATATTACTTATAAGTTAAAAAGTAGGTTATTTTAGAAGTTACATAAAGTTATATTAACCTGTGAAAATGGTTAAGACTATTTTAATTTTTGTAGACATATTTTGGTTTAGTTTAATTTTGATATAACTTTTTAGTAAATTACACAGCTTTGGTTAATTTGTATATACTTTTTTACCCAAGAAGTTATATTTTAACTCTCTGGTAAATTAACGTTAATTAAAAATCTGTTTAAAAAAGTGATGGTTTTGCACTTTTCATAGTTACCTGCATAGAAAAATTAGTCCCAATAGGTTGTGAGTTTTGTGTTTGTCAAAATTTTAAAAAATACAGGCTTTCTTTAACTTACCATGGAAGAGTTAACAAAGTTGTAAATAATTATTTATCTACAAATCTTAAAACAGTCCCCTCACATTTAATTAATTTGATAAGCATCTATAGGTTTTATCACAGAATAGATGCGTTTTCTAAAAATAAAGCAGGGCTGCAACTAAAATCAAAACGTAAGATTAGCGGGATTTTTTTTAGGTTAGTTATTTTAAAAATAAAAAGTTAGTTTAATTGCCGATAGGTAAAACAACGTTAGAAAAATGACTTTTAGAGATTTTTTTTGTATTTTCTGTATTTTCGTTACTGTTCGTTTGATTTGTACAACATTTTCAGGGTATACTTACAAAAATACGGTCTTTAACAGCATATTTTTTATTTACTTAAAAAAAATCTCTAAAAGTTATGCTTCGAACGTTTTTTGGTAAAGGCGTTTAAGAGTTAGAATTTTTTTACTTTTTATTCATTAATTTTGACGCGCAGTGTGGTTTAAGTTGACTTAAGAGTTAAAAAGTAGTTAAAAAAGGGTAAAATAAACCAAAAACTACCAAATATTACCTTCTTTTTAACGAAAAGGTACATTAACCAAGAAGTTAAATTTAACTAACAGCGTTAATTTTACCATAATTGAATTCCCCACTTATTACAAAATAACTTTAATTTAAGGTTAACTTAACGTTGTAGTACAATATTACTTAAAATAATAACCAGGCATAACGTAAATTTAACGTTAATTTAACCAGTTGTGCTACTTAGGATGTAAGCGCGTTAGAAGTTAATAAAGGTTTGATTAAAAAAACCATAATTATGATTTTGGAAATTTTTAAAATTTTGAAAACTTAAAACTTCTGAAGATTTTATAAATTTTGTGAATTTTGAAAATCTAAATTTTTAATAATTTTGAAAATAATAATAATAATAATAATAAGAGTCAAAGAAGTTTAAAAAAAATAGGCTATCCATCTTACGGCGGCCGCCATATTGGATTGATTTATTTCCATCTCTCTCTTTTACGCACAGCCACTCATTTCTTACGCCACTAGGTGGAGATCCCCTCATATCGATATTTTTAGACGGCTAAAGTTTGATTTATAGATTTCCTTATTGATGGAGGGCAATCTATAAATCAGGCTTAACTTCTTGGTGTCGAATTTTCGTTGCATGGTGCGCGCGCAACTTTCGTTGCGCTCTATAATTTTAATAATGATGTCTGTATATTTTCACAACAATGCATTTTAAACTATAAAATTGATTTGAAGTAATAATTTTTATGTTGCTAAAACAAAGGCTATATTTTTCAGGTGAATACCGCATTGGCCTTAAGTTCAACGACGAACACGTGCCTGAATCGCCATTTAAGGTGTACATATCGCCAGCGATGGGCGATGCCCATCTACTGGAGGTGATCCAGTTCCCCGAGGGCTACATCCAAGCCGACAAACCGTCGCAGTTCCTCATCCGCAGCAATGGCGCGAAAAAAGGCGACCTCGACGCGAAAATCATCGGGCCGTCGGGCAACGAGGACGACTGCTTCGTGCAAATGATCGACATGGAGGAGTACTCCATAAGATTCATGCCGAGGGAGAACGGCATCCACAAGATCCACGCCAAGTACAACGGAGTGCACATCCCCGGCTCCCCGTTCAGCGTGAAGGTCGGCAAAGACACCGCCGATCCGGCCGCCGTGCACGCTTCCGGGGCCGGCTTGAACAACATCAAAACCGGCAACAAGACCGACTTCATCATCGATACCGTTAACGCCGGTGCCGGTACGTTGGCCGTCAACATCGACGGTCCCAGCAAAGTGTCCATGGACTGCACGGAGGTCGAGGAGGGCTACAAAGTCCGCTACACCCCGTTGGCGCCCGGGGATTACTACATCAGCATCAAGTACAACAACAACCACATCGTCGGCTCTCCGTTCAAGGTGCACAGCAAGGGGGATCCCAAGATGGCCGACCTCGGCGGGCAGGAGTCCTCGTCGGTGGTCGTGGAGACCGTGGCCAAAATCGGAAAGGCCAACGCCAACTCCGGACCCAAGCTGCCCAAATTCACCAGCGACGCGTCCAAAGTACAGTGCAAGGGTAACGGCCTGAAGAAGGCCTACCTGGGCAAGACCAACGCCTTCACTGTCTCCGCCCAAGATGCCGGCACCAACATCCTGTTCGTCGGCCTTCACGGGCCCAAAGGACCATGCGAGGAAATGGTCACAAAACACAACGGCCGCCAGCAATACAATATCAACTACATGGTCAAAGAAAGGGGGGAGTACTTTATCATTGTTAAGTGGGGAGAGGCCCATGTTCCTGGATCTCCTTTCAGAGTTGAAGTCTAACTTTAACATTTTTTATATTTATTTACTTATTACGTTTCGTACTAGCCATTTTATTTATAACTATAATTTTACTGGACCCTTTAATTTTATTTTGTACATATCCAAATTAATTTTCTCATTATTTCATACTAGGTACATAGGTATTCAATTCCAGTAAAATTATCATGGATATTTTATTGTATTAATAACTTTAATTTTAATATTATGTTTTGCCTGTTTATTGTTTAAGAACTTTTCACTTTTAATTTCATAATGATAACTTATGTATTTTTTAACTTAATTTGATAAGTTCTCTGTATAAGTTAAAGTTTTATTATATATGTTGTGTTATTTTCATTAGAAGATATTCTCTTGAATGTTACATTATTATTATTTAAATAAATTTATGCTATTTACTTACCGCTGTGAAGATTTTTATTCCCTTTACTTCATCCTATAAAATATTTAATAAAAAAACTAAAAACTACTTAAGTTAAGTAGCAGATGCCACTTTATAGGTAAGTTTAACTTTTGTACTTTTGCTAAGGAAATCTTAAAATATTTACCCAAGGCTTTATACACTGCGCGTCAAAATTAACGCATAAAAAGTAAAAAAAATTCAACTCTAAAACGCCTTTACCAATCTTTATAAAATTTTGAATAAAAATACTTTAACTTATATCTGTGTTTACGTGTTCAAGGGGTTTTCGAGAAAAAATCCTTAAAACCCTTTTATTTAATAATAAAAAACTCTCAAAAAAAACTTTTATAGGGAATTTTTTTTAAGTAAACAAAAAATATGCTGTTAAAGACCGTATTTTTGTTAATATACCCTGAACATTTTGTACAAATCAAACAAACAGTAACGAAAATGCAGCGCTTCAAAGTCGTCAAAAATGACCACTTTTCAGCAAAATAATCAAAAAGGGGTAATTTTTACCGACTTAGCGCTGTATCTTCGTTACTGTTAGTTTGATTTTTACAAAATGTTCAGGGTATACTAACAAAAATACGGTCTTCAAAAGCATATTTCTATTATTAAATAAAGGGGCTTTAAAATATTTTCTCGAAAAAACCTCGAACACGTAAACTGAGATATAAGTTAAAGTATTTTTATACAAAATTTCATAAAGATTGGTAAAGGCATTTTAGAGTTTTTTTCCTTATTATGCGTTAATTTTGACGGGCAGTGTATAAATATATCTGCTCACCTGCAAAAAAGATGTAATTTCGTGGCCCTACTGAGGCTAATAACCTTCTTTATCTCTGGCTAATTCCCTAATTGTTCATTTCTTAATTTCAAGTGTTTTTATTTAGTTCATTTTCTACTTTATTATGATAGTCGTAGAAAAAATAGTGTATGCAACTACCATTTACATTACATATAATTCCCATGCTCATGTCTTAATAACACATATTAATATTAAATTTAAATATGTGCTTAATAGCCATAATTAAACGGTCGTTGCATACAATCTTAGAAGAAAAAAGCATAAATTACTATTATAACAATTTTACGGCGTAACCTGGGTTGCATAACAAATCTCTAAAAAGAAAACCGACAACGTCGCCATCCGGTAAATGTCATCTCATATTTCAGGCGAGATTTTGTTTAGGTATCAAATTTTTCGGCTTGCTATCATTTTTGTTATATGATCTATTTGTTAAATGCTGGACAATTTCTGTGTTAATAACAATTATTTTTGGGGCAACAGTTTTTAGCTAGAGTTTGAAGAATGGATAAAACAAATATTGAAGCCAAATATCAAAAACTGGCCACCGAGTATTCCAAGGTATTTTTCATGTTTTAAATGTTAAAAACGTTGAATTCTTCCTTTTTTATTACTAATATTTTTAACGTTTAAGGTGCGATCTCAAGCGACAGTACTAAAAAAGGCTGTATTAGATGAACAGGCCAAAAACATTCAATTCAATGAAATTAACAAAAAACTTGAACAACAAATACGAAAGCATGATCAAGAGATGGAAAGTCTTACTTTTCGTAATGAGCAACTAACTAAACGAATTGGAGTGTTGCAACAAGAATTGCATGAAACTAATCATGGGAAAAAAAATAAATCAAAAACCAATTACAGCACTACAGTTGACAGTGATATTGCTGTTTTAAATGAAGAACTACATAAACGAATTATTGAAAATGCTCAACTAAATAGTAGTGTAAGAATTTATCATAGTATTCTATACCTACTTGGCCATTTAAACATTATTTTTTCAGATATCTGATAAAGAATGTGAACTTTCCGAATATGCAGAGAAAATAGATTGGTTAGAAAGCAAATTAAGGAATGCTCAAATTGCACTGGAATCATTGGAGAACACCAATAGAGAGGAAGTGGATAAGTTAAGAAATGATAAAATTATTCTACAAAAAAAAATCAACAACATTATGTCTGAAAAATCCCTTGTAAATTGTGAGTTTGATAACAGAGATACAAACAATAAGGTGCATAACAATGTGAGCACACTTTTTTATTATTAATATAACCATTTAATATTCTTAATATTATAGATTAATTTATTACATGAAGAAATCAATCGTTGGAAAACCGAATGTGATGTGTTGAGATCAAGACCTAGCTCAAATAAACAATTAACCGATTATTATGAAACACAGTTGGCAGAATTAGTAGAAACAAAAAGTTTGGCCATTTCGGAAACGCATTCAATTCTAGCGGAAAATGTTGCCTTAAGTTCAAGAGTAGAATCTTTGATATTGGATTTAAGTAGCTTAGAGAGTTTGTTGGGCAAAAATATTGAAGAACTAACAAATTCGAATGATAATTATAAGGCCCAGTTAGATGCTTTAACAGAGCATTTGGCAGTTCAGAATGAAAAAATCACAAAACAATGTGATGAGATAGAAATCTTAAAATACAAATTACAACAGATATTTTTTGACTAGTCCTTTTTTATAATTATATTAAATATTATTTTTTATATGTATAATAGTGCAAGATACCATGCTTTAAAAAGACATTTCTTTATTTCTCAAATATGTAAATGTGTAGAAAATCAACTCGTTAAACAATTTGTTTTTAATTCTGGGCCAGAACAAGCATGGTTTCTATACTGTGCTCTGATTGGCTAATCACTTTCTATGAAAACCATTTATAGAAAGTAAAGTCACCCCCCATTCCTCAGAAGAGAAGACTGAAAAATCCAAAAAAATCAAAGAAACTAAAAAAGATTAAAATCAAGATACAAAATAAAATAAGGGTTTCCTCAGGGGGTGTATAAAATTATATTTTTTTTATGTATAATGTTCAAATTTTCTATAAAAATTATGTGGTTTTTTTTTCATTCTGGCCCAGCAAAATGTGGGTACCTATAATTTAAAAAAAGGAACAAACAATATAAGCAAAAGAGTTGCCTAGGAGATGGTGGTAAAGATGTGATTTTAATGTTATGATCCAACATAATGTATAGTTTAATTAAGTTAATTTATTACATATTAATTTATACATAATTCATATACCTATATATATTTAATATTGTTAACTGTTGTTCATGCTACATAAATCATGTAACCCAATTTGTTTTTTATTTATATCATATTTTAAAAAACTAAAATATACGTCTAAATAGGTATTACATTTTCAATATTTGTAATAACGAATTTATTAAATACATTTTAAAATGTATTCAACACACAAAAATTGAAAAAAGTGAAGTTAAAACTGCTTTACAGATGTCAGTTAAAATATTAAATTCCTTGCGGTAGTTCAATAAAATATTGTGTGAGACCATTGATCAAAAGAACCGAAACAATTGTGGCGCAATTTTATTTAATATTTAACACCTGTCAGACAGCTTCAACGTCGCCTTTTCCAATTTTAATTTAAAGCTAATTTTAGCCTGTGCGGGAAGTATGAACAATAAGGAAGTTCATTATTTTGCCCTCCGTCAGTAGAGCCACGAAGTTACATATTTCTTGCGTGCATTGAATAATATACTTTTCCTTAATCCCTAAAAATCAATTAAAGGCACATGGCATTTAAATTTTCGCGCTGCTTGTCAGCTTTATAACCTTAAAACATAATACAAATAATGTATTGTATTTAAATACAATAAAATCGGAACTGAAACGTAAGTAACTGACGACTTTTAGATAATAATAAATTGCTTTTTTCAAGAATATCTTATAGTTGGCTTTCAAACTTTGAAAGTTCCAAAGGTCAATATTTGTAAGCTATCACTTAAGTAGGTACATGGCAGTAGTAGTAGTTTTGTCGATAAACGTTAATAAATAATGGCAACAGCAGCTAAAATGTTTAAGTCTGTGATATTAGGCGCACCTGCTTCAGGAAAAGGCACAATTTCCTCAAGAATAGTTAAAAACTTTAATTTAGAGCATATTTCGAGTGGAGACAAACTAAGACTGAATATTCAACAAGGCACAAGCAAGTTATTAATTGGTTTATTTAAGTTTTACATTGTAATTTAATTTTACACTTATACAGGCATTGGAGAGGAAGCAAGCCAATACATCAAAGCCGGCAAATTAGTGCCTGACAATGTTATGATCAAATTTATCGTCAATGAAGTAGAGAAAGTTAACAATTCCGCCTGGCTATTAGATGGTTTTCCAAGAACCCCATCTCAAGCTGAAGCACTGTGGAAAGCACAAAAACTGGATTTGGTCATAAATTTGGTTGTTCCATTTCAAGTCATTATTGACCGGGTTAAAGGCAGATGGGTTCATTTACCCAGTGGCAGGGTTTATAATGATGATTTTAATGCGCCCAAAGTCCCAGTAAGCAAACCCCACTTAAAGGGATTAAAAAAGAAAAATTGTTGAATCATCTAAGAATGGTTCACATACTTTCTATAGAAAGAAATAAACCAATCAGAGCACTGCATTGTCGCAATCTAGTGTGCTGTGGAAAATGCTGTACTTTGGTTGGTTAATCAATTCTAAAAGAAACCACTTTCTATAGAAAGTAGTCGCAAATTTCAAGAAAGATGATTTAACAACCCACACAACAATCCTGAGTTCATATGCTATTTTTCATGAATTGTACTGCACGTCCTGAACTCTTTACGCATTTAAATGCCGCCGCATATGCGATTGCTCAGTTGAGCATCGTTAAGTTAAAATAATTGTCACATGGAACTCACAAAATGAACTCATCAGGTTTGCTTTGCATGAACATGAGGAAAAATTTGAATACCAAATTTTGATGTTTATTCTTTTGAAGGGCAAAGACGACATTACTGGGGAGCCTCTAATCCAAAGAGAAGATGACAAACCAGATGTAGTGCTGAAAAGATTGGAACAATATGACTCACTTACAAGACCTGTCATCGACTTTTACAGGAAAAACAATATTTTGAAAGATTTTGAGGGCAAAACTTCTGATGAAATATGGCCAAAGGTATTGGATTGCCTTACAAGCTATATTCCACTGCAAATAACAAATCAAAATGAAAAAAAAACAATGTAATTTGTCATTTTTATAACTTTATTTGTACATATATAATTTTTGATTTTTTTATAATATACTTGGGAAAAATAAAGTTAACATAGGTAAATAGAGAGATTTTTCATGTTAAATTCTACTTTAATTTATGAGTTTGATACTTATATTAATAGTAACATATATATAGGTCGAGAATGATAATAAATATGAATGATTTTTGGCAAAATTTATAACAAATGTTACAAATGGTAACATACATGCAGGTTTGTATAGGTATAGGTGCTAAATACTAAATATTTATTTTTGTATGTAGGTTGTTCATTTTCTTAAAATCTTAAAGCCAAATAAATCACAACCACAACAAATGAAAATAGCCTTCACAAAAAATATAAATAAATTGATTAAGTTTAAATTAATTTTTGATTGACTATTAATTAATTACAAAATCTCGAAGGCCTCTGTTTCCATATCAGAGTCATTGCTGTCTATAGAATACTCGAGATCTTGAGGGGGGAGTCTTTTTGGAGTGACTTGTGCGTCTTTGCTATGTCCATCGCAAAAAATAAACATGGGATATTCGTTTCCACTGCCAGATCTGCTTGGTGGAACAACCAGCTAAAAATACATTAGTTAGCAAATATTGAATTGCATTGAAAAAAAGTGATAACTTACTGGTTGCACAGTCTCAATTAAATAAAAGAAGTCCTGTTTGGTGGCGCAGTAAAAACCGATACAACAAGACGGATCCATTTTGCTTATGTGCAATTTTCTTGGAGATCTACAGTGAAAACTGGTGGTGGGGAAGTCAGGGGCCCAAACATCCACCACCTCCTGACAGTAATGTGGATCCAAGTGTATTAACTTGTCATCTAAAAATAACGTTTTAGATTTTTCTGTACGCGTAAATTCTACGCATGCGCATTTTTTTCACACTACGCATAGATTGTTGTGACTCATTAATATTTACCTTGGTATCCAACAAAATATAAGGAATGTTTGGGACGGCCTCCAATGATGCCAATGCATTGTTTTAAACTAAAAAGAGTTGTCAAACACGGCGCATATATCGAGTTGAATTTTTCAGCTCCCAGTCTGACTGGTATAAGTAAAATTAAAGATCTCCATTTGTCATTTTTCAAAGTGCATTCATCTAAGACATCTCTAATATAAACTAAAAATGACCTAGTAAAAAAACTGTACATTTATTTCCAACAATGTTTTTACCTGAGCAATCCTGAGCTACATAAACAGAAATTGAATCAAATTCATAATTGTCATTGGATGCCAGTTTAAAAGCTTGCCTAAAATACAAAACAAAATAATGATAAATAATAGTATATCAAGTATCAAGTTTTATAAACGCCATTTTAGTTACGAGTTTTATTAGGCACGAGCGAGCGTTTAATAAAAACAAGTTTATAGAGAATTTTATAAAACGAGTTGCATACTATTCTTCATCAACAACGAACAAAAATATGAGTTTAAAGCCAATTTTATTTGTTAAACATTTGACATCTGTCAACTGTCAACGGATTTAACCTTACTTTTTATCAATTTTTTAATAAAGCCCGTAACTAAACTGCCCAAAAGCCACTGTTGCTAACTTCAGCCCATGACTAAAACGCCATAAAGTCACAGCTCATCAATGTAGGTGTAGATAATAGTATATTATGTATCAAGTTTTATAAACGCCATTTTAGTTACGAGTTTAATTAGGCACGAGCAAAGCTTGCAAGCGAGTGTTTAATAAAAACGAGTGTCTAGATAAGTTTATAAAACGAGTTGCATACTATACTTTATCTACGACGACCACAAAGAAGAATTTAAATCCAATTTTATTTGTTAAACATTTGACATCTTGTCAAATGTCAACGAAATTAACCTCACTTTTATCTAATTTATAATAAAGTAAACTTCAGCCCGTGACTAAAATGCCCAAAAGCCACTATTGCTAACTTCAGCCCATGACTAAAACGCCATAAAGTCACAGCTTATCAATGTAGGTGTGGATAAATATATAAACAATTAAACTTACCTAAATAAATGGGCTACAAATCCGGGTCCATACCAGTCACCAGCTTTTTTACCAGCTGCCTCACCTAAAGTTACCAATGTGTGAATTGATAAAGGACTATTTAACGAAGGTTTATCCCCAAACCACTTAATTATTTTTCTATGTGTTATACTCTGGATACACGGTGCTTTGGTAACATCAGGTAGCCACCTCCAATCTAAAAAAAATTTAGTCTTTGTATAGTTATGATGATATAGATGGTTAGAGCCTGTAATGAAATGTAAAATTTTGAAAGGTTTCTTAATAAATTCTATTCTATTCTATATTACTTACCTCGTCCTAAAAAATGTGAGATCAGCCCCTGGGCAATGAGCATTTGCCCACTTCTAAGCATACAGCCCCATCCACAATCGCTGCTGTAGTTTGAACCATTTAAAATAGGAAACTCTCTTCTATATGTCAACCATAGTTTTGTTATAAAGTCTTTTTTAAAGCCTTCAAATCCCTCGTCGTCAGGATTTAAAATCTAGAAAGGTTCAAAATGATTTTATACCTACTAGGTATAGGTATCAACTAAATTGTAGTACTAGTACTTACATCAGTCTGACTTTGAATAGCAGCAACATCTGTTCCCAATTCAGTAATATCTGAAGAGGGACTTTCTATCCTTCTATAACATTTCCCCAATAGCCAGACAGGAGATTCTTTGGAAAAATTGGTTTTTAATTTCATGCCTAAAAATGAATTTGAATGGGTATTTGTGAAGCTCATTATCACCTCAAAATACCTACCATATTTGACATTGTTCCACATAGAGAGAAGTTTGGTTTTAACTTTTCCCTCAACCTCAACCCCATTTTCTTGTATACGATTTTCAGATGTACTTGAGAGGGAAAATTTTGGAAAAAAGATCGACCTTTCAGTTGATACAATTTGTGTATTCATATTTGTATTTTTATCTAATTTAACGCATTCTATTTATCCTGCACAAAACAATCCATAACACATTTGAATATTACTTTAATTGCTAACAAAAACACCAGCCGTTCCTTGGATTTTGACGTTCTTTACAAGTTAAGTCAACAATAATCACAGATTATCAAAGAATGACAATAATTGTTGACAACCATTGTCAACATAGAACAAAAATATGAAAAGGGCGACCTCTGTGTTAAACAAAGGAAACACATGACGTTTCTGTAAACAGGACCGGTCTAAGACATTTTTTTAATAATTAAATAATATAACAGAGCCGGCTATCAAAATTTAATTTATACAAAAAAGTAATAACAATATGATAAAAGTAAAAATATGTATTAATTTTTCAAAATAATAACAAAAATGTGCTAAATTATGTGCAGTGATTATGATAAACCTGACAACACTGCAGACTGCACCTGAATTAAAGTAAACTTGAATTATAGTTATAAAAGAGTTAAAGGTAAAGACATTGTAATTCCCTGCTTACCCAAATAAACATTAACTAAAACATATAAATAGGTTGTAATCAAGAAACAAATTTAAAAATAAAAATGCAATTATTCTATATAATGTTGGTGACATTGTATTCTATGTTGGTAGCCATGTGACCTGCCTTGTTTGACATTTGAGGAATTTCTAGGTTATGTCATTAAAAATGTCAAATAAACAATAACAAATATGGTATAAAGAGCAAATAAACAAACATAAAGATGCTTCCGTACTTAACACGCTTTAAAAACCCTTCTAAAATCCTCTTGGCGGACTTACGATGTATGTCAACAAGTGCACCTTATTTAAAAAGCTCCTCACAGGAGCCCTTACCGACACAAGCCCAAGTAGTTATAGCAGGTGCAGGTGTAGTCGCAAATTCTGTAGCCTATCACTTAGTACAAAACGGATGGAATGACATAGTAGTAGTAGAACAGGGTAAAATAGGCAGCGGTACCTCACATTTTGGCTCTGGCACTTTGGGCCTATTTAAACCTATAGCCCCAAGGAACCTTATTATGTACAGCATAAAGTTATATCAAGAATTACAACAAATGGGGTATGATGTGGAAATGAGGCAGTGTGGAAGCTTAAACTTAGCTACAACACCAGACAGATTAATTGTTTTAAAAAGAAGAATTGCTTATAATATACCAACAGGTTTACATTGTGAACTTGTAGACAAAAAAGAATTACAAGAACTACACCCTTATTTAAAAGTCGACGATATTCTTGGGGCTGTTTGGGTGCCGGAAGATGCTGTTATTAACCCTAGGGCTATCTGTGATGTTTTGGCTATGATTGCACAACAAGGAGGGGCTAAATATGTTGAGGACACTTGTGTTAATAGAGTACTTACGAAAAATTCTGCTGTCTATGCAGTGGAGACAGATAGAGGCAATATATTCTGTGATTATTTTGTTAATTGTGCAGGAATGTGGGCTCGGGAGCTGGGCTTAAAATGTAAGCCACAGGTTAGAATTCCAGCCTATCCAGCACAACATTTTTATGCTACAACCCCACCAATAGACACAGGTAAATTTTTATAATGTAAAATCTATGATACAATAATTTTTAATTTAAGGTACCAATTCTATTCCCATTGTAAGAGATTATGACAACCAAACTTACATAAGGGGTTATAATGGAGGTTTTATGGTGGGATGGTTTGAAAAAGAAGCAATTCCTGCCTTTGAAGACAGTAAAGTTCCAAAGGACTGGAAACGGCATGTTAAAAAAGATTTTAAACACATACGTAACAATATTATTATATAATAATATAATATTGATGAAAATGATATTTTTAGAGCCTCTATGGGAAAAAGCGGTGGAAAGAATACCGCGCTTGCGCAGTATTAAGAATCCGGAGGTTGTAAACTCGCCTGATAATTTCACTCCGGATGGCAGATGGGTGTTGGGGGAAGCACCTGAAGTAAACAACTATTTTATCGCGTGTGGAATGAACGGCAATAGTTTACAAGTAAAATATTTTAACTAAACAATAATTTGATTTAATCAATAAATAATTTTAGGGGGCTGGCGGAATAGGTAAGGCTGTAGCAGACTGGATAATAGAGGGGGAGCCAAAACAAGACCTTCTGCCTTTCAATGTGCAAAGGTTTTTGGATATACACAATAGCAGACCTTATTTGCAACAAAGGGTGAAAGAGGTGGTGGGGAGGCATTACAGCATACTTTACCCCCACCAATGCGAATACAAGTATGCAAGAAACTTAAGATGCTCACCTTTGTACAGTGTTTTGGAGGAGAGAGGGGCTGTTTTTGGAATTAAAATGGCCTACGAGAGGGCCCTTTACTTTGATTCTACTTATAAAAGTATGCGTTTGTTTTAACTTTTATAATCCCTTATTTCTACATTGGTATTTTTTAGAAGGTGATGCGAAACCCAAAATGCCCCCTGGAAGTTTTTTTAAGCCCAAATTTTTCGATTTTATGATGGAGGAATATTTAGCTTGCCGCGAGGGTGTAGGTATTATAGACATGTCCTCGTTTTCAAAGATTGAAATAAAGTCAGGGGGTTCTGAAGTTGTGAGTTATTTACAAAGACTTTGCTCAAATGATGTAGATATCCCCATTGGTGCTATAGTACATACCGGGATGCAAAATGAAAGGGGTGGTTATGAAAATGACTGTATGTTGGTCAGACAAAGTGAAAATTGGTAATATAATAATAATAACATTTAAAGCAATTTATTTAACAAATATTTTAGTTATTTTATGGTATCACCAACTAGTCAACAAACCAGGGTGAATGAGTGGATGTCTAGAAATTTACCAAATAACACAACAACTGATTTAAACGACGTAACCTCAATGTATACTGTAATAAACGTGGTTGGTCCAAAAGCCAATCAACTAATCAATGAGTTATCCAATAGCAATTTAACTTTAGCACCGTTTTCCTATAAAAAAGTCAACATAGGTTACGCCTCTGACGTTATGGTTATGTCTTTTACACACACTGGGGAACCAGGATATTGCCTACATGTTCCTTCAGAATACGCATTGCATGTGTACTATAAATTAATGACAGTTGGAAAAGATTATGGTGTTCGAGATGTAGGTACTTTAACACAAAGATTTATGAGGATAGAACGTTTCATACCATTTTGGGCTGAAGAATTAAGCAGCTTTATCACCCCTTTTGAGGCTGGAAATGGCTACAGCGTCAGATTAGACAAAGTATATTTTTTTGCTTATTATCATTTTTTTTTCAAATAAATTATATAATTGTAGAAAGAAAATTTCATAGGAAAGCCAGCATTACAAAAACAAAAGGAGGAAGGGGTTAAAAAACAATTGGTACTCTTTCATTTAAATAATATTGATCCTGATGTAGATATCTGGCCCTGGGGTGGAGAACCCCTATACAGAAACAATGAATTTGTTGGGACTGTTACTTCAGCAGGGTAAGTACAAACCCCGAGAATAGGTACATCATTAAAAAAATATTTTGCAAGCCTATCTTTTCCTTATACTGCAAGGGAAAAAGCTTTTACCGTTCCCTCACTGTTATAGTGGAAAATATGTTCTATAAAAGTTTCCAAATAAAAAATACTGTTATAATAATATGTACTAGTAAATATACTTGAAACATTTTAGGTACGGTTTTTCCGCCGACAAACTAATTTGCCTCGGTTTTATAAGTCGTCCAAAATCGTCGGGCAAAAAAACAATAACAGCGGATTATATTTTATCTAAAGACGCGTTCTATCAAATCGATATAGCCGGTCATAGATTCTCGCTAACCCCGTATCTACATGCTCCCACAATACCGAACGCCGTATCACCGGAAAAAAAATACAAACCGACACTTATTAAATATAAAAGTGATATTTCTCGATAGATTATACAATATTTAGCTTCTATTTATTAAATTATTGACAATTTGTACTATTTATTGTTTATTTTATTTTGTTGTTTTATTAAATATTTCAAAAAATTCAACTACTTTTTAATTGCACCCTGTATATTATAATAGGCGTTTCAAGAAGACGAAATATAGGAGGATTAACTTGACAATCAGCGCCTCTGGTGGTGAAAAAAAACACTTAATTTGTGAGATTAGAGGGCAGGTTTTGTTAATTTCCCCTATTAAGTTCAGGCCCCTTGTGTAGGCTCCATGATTTGGATCATACACACAAATTACGTTTTCTTTTTTCACCACCAGCGGCACTGATTTCCGTTTTGTATTGACGTCTGCCTATATATCTCCACTTTTTCAGTTCAAACAAAAAAACAAACAGAACACTAGCGCCCTCTAATTTTGGAAAGCCATTGATATGCATCAGGCCAAGACTTGGGTATGCATGGAGTTAGTACTCCTTGTGTAGGCTCCATGTCCCTGACATCCACTTGACAGTCCAAAAACTATTTGCTTAATTGGTACGCACCAGAAAAAACGAAAGAAAACAAAAAGCGTTAACTAATTAAATCAATTCACTTGTTAAAATTACAGGAAACTGCACTCCGGGATAGTTTGTTAGTATATTTACCGATAGGGGGCAGCACGTATTTAAAAGTGACATGTTAATACAAGTGATTTAAATTTAACCAGTTTTTAGTTTTAAATTTAAAAAAAAAGGAGGTATTTTTTATAAAATATGGTTTAAAGCCTTGGTCTGCACATGGGAAATGCTGGAATTTGATTTAAGGTATTTATAAAATAGTTTTTAACTTATTACCCAAGGTTATGTTATGAACAAATAATGTTTATCGAGGATATTTTACTTAAAGACTACAGTGGTGGACACGGAATTTCGAACGTCATAATTTGGTCGTCCTTGTGTAATTCTGTAAATAGCAAATATACAATAAAGACCATATTCGCTTTCGCTGTCAAATTGACAAGAAGTTGTCCATAAATTTATTTAAACTGCCTTAAAGGAGTTTCAGATTTTGATGGTAACAGAATGATAAGTCGTTTCAAATTTTCTTGTCCCCCATTGTACAAAGTTTTGGCCAAATTATTTACCGAGTATATTGATAAAGTTCACAATTGTTATTGGGTACGTAGGTATATACAAATCCAGGTCCATTCCTGGATGTAAAAAAAAATAAAAAAGCATGTTTTTTCAATGATTTTACAAATGGAGGTTTAGTAGGTACGAGAAGGAATGTTATAAATCTGGCTTTATTCTAATAAATAACAAACATTGGTAGAGATTTTCTGCTTATTTCCACTACAGTATGTACCCTAATATAATGTAGTTGTATGAAAAAAGGGAGTGATGGTAAATGGCATGTCCCCAAGGGGTTCTTAAAAATACACATTTCTCCAATTCGAATAAATTTGCAGCTAAAGAAAACGAATAATCTTTGATAGTGACAGGTGACAATTTACGGCATGTTTTTTCTTTCGTTACTTTAAGAGCGCCGTCACTTTTAATCTACCGCCTTTTTTACTTGAAATAAAATAAGATGAAAAGTAAACACATGCGATTGAGAAATTAAAGAAAAAGTCAATTATCATTTTTAATGTATTCAGCTTAGGAAAAAAGTTACATCCGCAAAACTGCGTCCACATAAATTATGTTTCCCCTAAGCATATTTTAATTCGAAATGATTTCATGGTTGGTGTTTCAGAAAATAATATCAAGAAATATGAATTGTGAAATAAATCTTATTACCAATTAACTACTACGCTTTTAATTTATGAAATATCTTTTTTCCTACACAAGTAAACACGTGTTTGTAAACATACCATGGTTACAACCCGCATAAAATTATTCATAAAAAGGAATGGCTTCAATAAAAGTATAATTGATTTAATTGCTTTGAATTAACGACTGAAACACATCTTTTAAGATGAAAAATCAGCTGTGAACGTATTTAGATCATTATGTAATTGAAGGCACAAAGCCGCGTAACTGAACGTGAAATTCCACTAATGGATTCTTTTTGTGATTTATATACCTGGACAAATTTGTCATTTTGTCCATTTCTGTCACCTTCACAGTTATTAATGAATCCAAATTTTACTACAGATGTGGACGTTTTCTGTTTACATTCGATTCTCTACCGAAAACCGTTACCAAATCTCCTCTAATGATTATTTTAAACATTTTAAATCGTCACAGATTTTATCTACGAAAAAATTCCATCCCACTGGCTTTATGAGTTTATTAACAAATAGAATCTTTAAATAGTCAATTATAATTCCAAAAAGTTAAAATTTACAACAACAAAAAAACAAATTATTTAAATGGAACTATTTTTCTCTTATTAAATTTTTACCATATTGGATTTTATTCGCTTTATACTCGTCAAACCCTTTCATTTGATACCCATGTCAAGTAGGTTGTGAAGAAATATGTATCCGCCGTCTCGGGGCGGCCGCCATATTGGATTTAGTATGACGTCATTCACCTAGGTGAGTGACGTGATAAGCTTATCGTTTTCTACTCGTCAAACCCTTTCCTTTGATACCCATTTCAAGGAGGTTGTAAAGAAAAAGGTAATCCGCCATCTTGGGGCGGCCGCCATATTGGATTTAGTATGACGTCACTTACCTTATCGTGCATTGTCATCCAGTTCTGAGCTATGTTTAAATTTCGAGTATATAGCTCATCGTGAAGTTAGTTTTAAATCGACAAGAAGTTAATACATTTTATCTACTCCTTCATTGACGAGCTGCGACTTTATGGCGTTTTAGTCACGGGCTGAAGTTAGCTTTATTATAAATTAGGAAAAGTAAGGTTAAATCCGTTAAAAGTTGACAGATGTCAAAAGTTTAACAAATAAAATTTGCTTTAAATTCTTCTTCGTGTGCGTCGTAGATAAAGTATAGTTTGCAACTCGTTTTATAAACTTCTCTAGACACTCGTTTTTATTAAACACTCGCTTGCAAGGTTCGCTCGTGCTTAATAAAACTCGTAACTAAAATGGCATTTATAAAACTTGATGCATAATATACTATTATCTACTCCTATAGGAGTTTGTATACATTGACGAGCTGTGACTTTATGGCGTTTTAGTCACGGGCTGAAGTTAGCTTTCTTAAATATTGGGGAAAAGTAAGGTTAAATCTGTTGACATTTGTCAAATGTTTATCAAATAAAATTGGCTTTAAATCCTTCTTTGTGTTCCAGCTCGTTTTATAAACTTCTCTAGACACTTGTTCGTGCCTAATAAAACACGTAACCTAAATGATCTTTTTTAAAAAAGCTTCTTTATGAAATTTATTAAATGCAATAATATTTATTTCCTTTAACTTTTTACGCAAAAAAAAACTCTATTCACTTTTTTGAAACCGTGATCGACCCTTGTCGCAATTAACAATTCTCTAAGATTATATAATGCGCCACCATATTTCTAATGCAAGTACTTCACAAGTTATTAGCCACTAGGGTTTTCAAATTCACATTAATAATTCAGATTTTAAAAGCAAATCCCATTGGGTATAATGGCTTCAAAAAAGCTTACACACAAATTCCCTAATTAGCTTCTCAGTTTAATGCGAACTACTCAAATATTTTTTGATTGTCAGATTTTCATTTATAGTGAGTGAAGTATTGACAAAAAAATATATATTTTTGATCAAGTTAGAAATTTTTGGTACTTTTTGTTATATAATAATGTTTTTATTGCTAGTATAAAAATGTTGCTAAATTTTAAATTAAATTAAAATTAAAAAATTAAATTTTAAAGAAAAGTGTATAAACCAGTACCTACTATACTTTATCTGCGATAAATAATATTAATTGCTAATTAATGTAAATATTTTTATAGAGCGACATCTATACAAAAATAGAGTAACCAAATTGAAGTTGGTAATCTGTTTTACCGGCTTTCAAATTATCAGTGTCAGTTTCTCAAATTTTAGTTTAAAAATTAATTATTAAAGAAACGATTTATTTTGCATTTTTTTATTGAGATATTAACCTAATTTGACAACTATCAACTAACTTAAAGCTAACTTCAGTGTCATGGAAACCTGTACGAAAATGGGCGTTTTAAAATTAATTTAATTCCACCAAATACCTAGGTAGTTTTTGTTTAAGATGGGCTTTTTTAATTGTCGATTCCCTTTTTAAATGTGCCGCTAATATGTTCTGTTACACCAAAAAGAAATGAAACATTGTGTCGGACAGGCGAAACGATTAATAGTTAGTGCCTTTTAAGACCAGGACCGAACTTGGAACACGTTTCGGTTTTTTTACCACTTTTCGAACTCTAACGTGATTCAATAGTGCTACGAGCAAACAATAAACAATTTTCGTTCATTAAAATTAAATCTGAAATTATCTAGAACACTGTGACGTAACAATACCGTTGTCACATACCCGATCTCTTATAAGAATTGACCTTTTATTGACACCAATTAAAACTGTTAAGGCACGCATTCTATACATGTAGGTATACGTTTTTAAAATTGATTTAGGAAATTAAATAATAGTTAGTGCTCAGTTTTTGGCTGAATTTCATATATTTAGGTACTTACGTTTGTTTTCAGAATTTTAAACTATTATCTGAATACCAATATTAGAGAAATGAAAATTACTTTGATTCAAAACATTTGCGCTTTTGAATAGGGCCAAGAGATATGTTTCTTAATCCAAATCAGAAACTATATTCACATCAATTTTTTTAAATTACTTGAGGGGAGAGATTAATCTATTTCTTGGTACAAGAACCAAAAATATTTCTCGAAAGATATTTGAATGAACACAACGTTTTTTAGCTCAAAAAAAATGGGATTTAACAAGAAAACTGCATCTTTTTATTGAAAATCTTAGGAACTTTCTAAGAAAAAAATTTGTCTTCCTACAAAAGCATATACTATTGACCTAACTAAATTTTATTTTGATTTTAGAGCAAATATCTCTTTGTCCAATAGTATGATGCATTTAACAATTAAAATCAAGGACCTTCGTATACTCACTATAGTGAGGGAAGTTTAAGCCTTAATATTGGCATAGTTGACAACTAGAAGATTTACAAAAAAAATATATTTCAATAAAATAAGACATTTATTGTTTGATATCAACAAAAGCACAAGTTTAAACTAACATAAATATGATTTAACATAAAATTTGCATCCCCTCCCCAGTATCAGAAGATACCAGATTTTGTTAGAAAATTGACATGCTATTGAGATAATTGTGATGTATCTTGAATGAATTGCGTAAATATAAATAATTTTTATAGCTTTTGAACAAAAACTCTTTGCACTTGGCTGAAAGAAGAAACATTCAAGAGATTTTGTATTTGTTTTCTTTCACTAAGAACTTTCTTCTTCAAGCAATAAATACTGCTGCTATTAGTTTTTCTCTTTTAATTTAAGGGCACCTTTTTTTCAGTGTATTTATATTATTATAGGTAATTCTTAAATTATTCTAAACTATTTTTTTGATTCTTAAAAAATGACCAATAGTTTGAGATTGAGATTTAAGTAGTTTATAAAATGTTTTTGATGCGGTTAAACGTTAATGTTGCTCAATAAGGTTGGCGCCTATTTGAATTCAGTCTGCCATAATATTAATTAAGGCGAAATCTTAACAACATGTGTCTAAATTGAAAGCTACGTCTTGTCATTGTCTCGAATCATTGTGCAGTGCAGTGACCACGCAATAAAAAGGAAAGCAATAAATCGGGATAGGTTCTGGGAGTCCTTTTTGAAAGGACGAAAAGTTGAATAATCCGCCAGACGATAGCCGAGATTGTGGGCGTAGCTATCGACACTTTTCCGACCGGCCAATGGGAACAGGTCAACGGTTACCTTGGATACCATCTTTGTCCTTAGTTGTGTGATAAAGCGAAAAGTCCTTGCTGTCTTTTATCCTTAAGCTCGGGTCTGAAGGAAGGAAGGAAGGACGCAAAAAAAGAATCCACTTCGACGATAAGCGGGATAAATCTCGTCCGAAATTTAAATTTCCCGGAAAATTTAATGATAAGCTCAGGTGTTGGCTTAAAGCTTTTACTAACAACGGCACTTAGATACATCAGAAATGAAGGCCCGAGTTATTAACAAGGCTCAGCTGCACCGGCGGTGCCGCATAGTGCAAAGTTTCTAAATAATCAACCCTCTACCTAATTGCCGGGCGCGAATTAAAATTTATTTAAAATTTCGCACCCCCGCTCTCTCCCGCCACATTCAATGGAAAAATATTGAATAATGAACATGGTTAGAGGAGGAAATGAACTTTTTATCTGAGTAGCCTTTGACACCCTCAATACAAAGAATAGTGCCGCTTGATTGACATTTTTCATTTTTGTCAATACAATTTCAAAATATATACATTTATCTTAAATGAACAACGTTTTAAAATCTTCACTTACCTTTTTTATTTGTATTTATTCACTTTATACTTTATACTACTAGCAAAAAAGGTTATTGGATTGAAACAAACAAATATAAATACAGTAATTTTATTCACTATACTATATATATAGTTATATACAGGTTTATTACAAATAAGGAGATTCCCAACTAGGATAAAAAATCGACAAATGATCAATATATGTTTTGGCGCATTAGCCAATAAATAAATTTTTAATTTAAAAGAAAACATTGCACTAGGTACTAAACTATTAAAAAAGGTACGAAACAGGGCTTGTACATATAAAATTGAATTTGATTCCATAACATAGGTATTGCCACTTTTGTTTATTATTCATTGTGGGCCGAACTAGGCAAATCCAATTTTTGATAAATCTAAGTACGTATAAGTAAAAATTAAGTAAAATACTTTTCTCTTAAAAAAAACTGGCCAAATTATATACCGTATTTTCACGTTGCGAAATATCCCCACTCTCTTTAAAGGCGTTCGGATGCACTCAGCGTGAAAATACGGCGTGTTATCATATACTAAGACGATCAACAAAATTATATGAAAAACGTGATCCAAACAGTAAAAATTGTGAAAATTATACACAGTATCGCAAAAAATGGCACATATTTACTATGAAAGTAAAAAACTTTAAATATGCGTTATTTTTCGTTGTGAAATAATGTAATAACAATAACAACTAGTAACAAAAAACAACTACTTAAATCATAAAAAACAAATCGTGAAACACTGACTAAGTCGATATTAAAAAAAAACAATAAAATATTTTTCTCATTTCTGGCGAACTAGTTTTATATATAGGTATGTACATTTTTACAAACTTTTTGTCCAATAAAATTTATTACTAAAACATTTATACACGATGTAAGTTATACAATTAATAAGGAGAACTAAAAATTTATTTATAAAAAGGAACATTTTAGGAGCTATATTTTTTTGGCAAATTTGATATATGCTCGATTCTTTTTACCTTGATATGTTACGTATGAAAGTCTATGGCGAGAAACTAAATACGATGTATCTATCACTCAAATTCGGCTTTTTTGTATGTTCATTCACTTATGGTACACTGGATAATCATAGATACCATGACATGTATTGCTACTAACGAGACTGTCCAATTGCTAAATTGCCTTTTTCACAAACAAGTCACAGTATTTAGACTGTGACTTGGACAAGGAGGGGCAGTGAATTTTCACCACTTTTGAAGGTGAATTAAAAAAATGAAAAAGTTAGAAACGATTTTTTTAACTTTTCCACTTTTTTAATCTTATAAAAGAGGAAAACAAAGTCCAGCGTAGTGTAAATAATAATAATAATAATAATAAACAAACAAAAAATGACTAGTACCCCTAGTACAATTTCAAGTATCACATGTACGGCCAAGAGAAAGAGCTGCCCGATAAAAGCATGTCCCTGATGAGGGTCTCGATCGGCGTTTTGCCCACTAATCTCACGAAAAACAATTGTTCGATCACGGCCGAACTCACGGTTCTCAAGCTGGGCAACCTGAGCAACAACTTACCGAACCTGGTAGGTTGATTCGGGTACTGCGATCGGCAGTACTCTTCCAGAGCGCACTGCGACTTTTCCTGGATCGATTCTATGTGCGCCACGTCGCTTAGGCCGCATGCATCTGAAGAAAAAAAAATATTTTAATTTGTCGACGGTTCGTTCCTACCCCTAAGCCTTAACTTAATCAACATCACTATCAATCTTTGATTTGTAATTTTAAAGAAATATATTAATATTTTTACGATTTGTTTTTTAAAAAATATTCCACAATTAAAAAAAATATTTATTCAAATAAATTATTTCCCACAAAATGACTAATTTTATGTTTTATTTAATGTAAACAAATGGTTCCACCTGACACAATAGAGTCTCGTATATGCAAATATGGCTACTAGATATCAGGTTTTGATCGATTCAGATCTTATTTGACCCACCAGTGTGTAAAGAATTAAGAAATTAAAACCAAATTTATGGAATTCCTGAATTATGCAACAAGTTTGATAGTAACACTAATTCTTATTGCGATCTTCAAAACTACAATAAAACTTGTATTCTTTAAAACGTAAAAATTATGTTTTTGTATTTAAAGTGGAATTTTATTGAGCATATAGGGTAAGATAAAAGAGTTTTTAATATATGTGTCTATAAAGAAGTTTATAAAACAACATACTATACTTTTTCTACGACCAACACAAAAATAATAATTATTGAGTAATTTTCTCTCTTTCTCTTTATTTTTATTTATTACTTCAAAACTGTCAATAAAGTATGATTTTTTTACATTCCTTACTAACCACGGTTTGACTACTCTGAAGTATTTCGTAATTTTTACGAAAGAAAATTACTTATAGGTTATTTTATTTTAAGGCATTTTTAACGGTACATTTATTATAAAACATTTTAATCTAAACCAAATTTTACTCAATCATATTTTTATTATATTCTAATTCTAATTAGGCACGAGTAGGTTTTTAAAATGTCGAAAAAAAACGTAAAAATTGGAGAAAATACCTGTTTTTTCCTTTTTTTACCCAGGGCTTGAAAAAATTCGCGTTTTTGGGAAAAATTGTTTTTTTTGGAAATTACGCATTTGACAAAAATATCCTTATAATATAAGTAAATGTAAAGGTAAATGTCAATGTATAGAAATCGACTTTTTTAGGGAAAATATAAATGTTGAAAAATAATTATCCAATTTATTTTATAAAACAACAGTTTTTAAAGTTAAATACTGCGTTGCCATGTCGTGCAAAAACCTATATCCACTGATATAAATCAGTTGATATAAATAAATGAACGTTTCTGCATACAGCCCTTAGTCAATATTTTAACTTAAAACATTTAGTCAACATTTTAATTTCTGAATTTATTTTTTCATATATATTTACAAGCAAAAATACTGTGTATTTTATACATATTTTAAATCAGTCGTTAACGACTGATATAAATTATATCAACCGATTTACATTTTAGATGATTTTATTGGCCAAAAAACAAATCTAGTAAACCATGACTTATATTAGCGAAATTATTTTCTATGGTTAAAAGCAAATGTCACAAATGTCAAATAAATCTTATATGTAAATTTAACACGATATTTGTTAAAATTTACACAAATTTGTGTAACATAACACGATATTTATTAAATATGAGTTTATAACACATTAACGTGTAAATTAACAAGTGGTTACACGTTTTAGCATTGATTCCGAATTAAGGAACATTCGTGTAAAAGTATTTACAAGATTTTTACACAAAAATTTTAACACAAAAAAAGAGAATTTACACACTGATATTTTTTGCAGTGTATTAGCGAAATTATTTTCTATGGTTAAAAGCAAATGTCACAAAGGTCAAATAAATCTTGATGAAATTTTAATTGTTTTATGTCTAATTTAAAATGTCAATGTATAGAAATGGACTTTTTTATGGAAAATTTAAATGTTTCCTGAAGTCAAAGTTTAAATTTCATATTACATATAAAGGGGTAAGAAGCAAAAGGGCAAATTTTACACGATATTTGTTAAAATTTACACAACTTTGTGTAACGATATTTATTAAATATGAGTTTATAACACATTAACGTGTAAATTAACAAGTGGTTACACGTTTTAGCATTGATTCCCAATTAAGGAACATTCGTGTAAAAGTATTTACAAGATTTTTACACAAAATTTACACAAAAATTTTAACACAAAAAAAAAGAGAATTTACACACTGATATTTTTTGCAGTGTATTAGCGAAATTATTTTCTATGGTTAAAAGCAAATGTCACAAAGGTCAAATAAATCTTGATGAAATTTTAATTGTTTTATGTCTAATTTAAAATGTCAAAGTTTAAATTTCATATTAGGTACATACCTATAAAGGGGTAAGAAGCAAAAGGGCAAATTATACACGATATTTGTTAAAATTTACACAACTTTGTGTAACATAACACGATATTTATTAAATATGAGTTTATAACACATTAACGTGTAAATTAACAAGTGGTTACACGTTTTAGTATTGATTCCCAATTAAGGAACATTCGTGTAAAAGTATTTACAAGATTTTTACACAAAATTTACACAAAAATTTTAACACAAAAAAAAAGAGAATTTACACACTGATATTTTTTGCAGTGTATTAGCGAAATTATTTTCTATGGTTAAAAGCAAATGTCACAAAGGTCAAATAAATCTTGATGAAATTTTAATTGTTTTATGTCTAATTTAAAATGTCAAAGTTTAAATTTCATATTACATATAAAGGGGTAAGAAGCAAAAGGGCAAATTATACACGATATTTGTTAAAATTTACACAACTTTGTGTAACATAACACGATATTTATTAAATATGAGTTTATAACACATTAACGTGTAAATTAACAAGTGGTTACACGTTTTAGCATTGATTCCCAATTAAGGAACATTCGTGTAAAAGTATTTACAAGATTTTTACACAAAATTTACACAAAAATTTTAAAACAAAAAAAGAGAATTTACACACTGATATTTTTTTCAGTGTATTAGCGAAATTATTTTCTATGGTTAAAAGCAAATGTCACAATGGTCAAATAAATCTTGATGAAATTTTAATTTTTTTATGTCTAATTTAAAATGTCAATGTATAGAAATGGACTTTTTTATGAAAAATTTAAATGTTTCCTAAAATCAAAGTTTAAATTTCATATTACATATAAAGGGGTAAGAAGCAAAAGTGCAAATTTTACACGATATTTGTTAAAATTTACACAACTTTGTGTAACATAACACGATATTTATTAAACATGAGTTTATAACACATTAACGTGTAAATTAACAAGTGGTTACACGTTTTAGTATTGATTCCCAATTAAGGAACATTCGTGTAAAAGTATTTACAAGATTTTTACACAAAATTTACACAAAAATATTAACACAAAAAAAAGAGAATTTACACACTGATATTTTTTGCAGTGTATTAGCGAAATTATTTTCTATGGTTAAAAGCAAATGTCACAAATGTCAAATAAATCTTGATGAAATTTTAATTGTTTTATGTCTAATTTAAAATGTCAATGTATAGAAATGGACTTTTTTTATGGATAATTTAAATGTTTCCTGAAGTCAAAGTTTAAATTTCATATTACATATAAAGGGGTAAGAAGCAAAAGTGCAAATTTTACACGATATTTGTTAAAATTTACACAACTTTGTGTAACATAACACGATATTTATTAAACATGAGTTTATAACACATTAACGTGTAAATTAACAAGTGGTTACACGTTTTAGTATTGATTCCCAATTAAGGAACATTCGTGTAAAAGTATTTACAAGATTTTTACACAAAATTTACACAAAAATATTAACACAAAAAAAAGAGAATTTACACACTGATATTTTTTGCAGTGTATTAGCGAAATTATTTTCTATGGTTAAAAGCAAATGTCACAAATGTCAAATAAATCTTGATGAAATTTTAATTGTTTTATGTCTAATTTAAAATGTCAATGTATAGAAATGGACTTTTTTTATGGATAATTTAAATGTTTCCTGAAGTCAAAGTTTAAATTTCATATTACATACAAAGGGGTAAGAAGCAAAAGTGCAAATTTTACACGATATTTGTTAAAATTTACACAACTTTATGTAACATAACACGATATTTATTAAATATGAGTTTATAACACATTAACGTGTAAATTAACAAGTGGTTACACGTTTTAGCATTGATTCCGAATTAAGGAACATTCGTGTAAAAGTATTTACAAGATTTTTACACAAAATTTACACAAAAATTTTAACACAAAAAAAAGAGAATTTACACACTGATATTTTTTGCAGTGTATTAGCGAAATTATTTTCTATGGTTAAAAGCAAATGTCACAAAGGTCAAATAAATCTTGATGAAATTTTAATTGTTTTATGTCGAATTTAAAATGTCAATGTATAGAAATGGACTTTTTTATGGAAAATTTAAATGTTTCCTGAAGTCAAAGTTTAAATTTCATATTACATATCACGGTGCTGTTCTGAGAGGTGATTTTTGGACTTTCTGTGAAACCCATTTTTTTTAAATATTCTTGTTAATTAGGTCAAAATTTTAAGAGCAAAATAAAAAAAAATTGACGGTTAATTTAGTTTAAATTGGATGTTTATTAAAAATATACACACTTTCAATTCTCCAATTAAAACTTGCGATTTTATTTAAATAATATCATAACTTTTTAAATCAGATTAAAGATTAGTTAATTTCCTAAAAAAAGGTCTATACATTTTTTTTATCTTTTACTGTTTTGTTGTAATACACATTTAAAGTTTTAATTTAAGGTTAATTGTATAGTATACATTTATCAAGGGTGCCACATTTTATTTAGGGCCGATTTATTCATTTTTGATTTATTTGACAAATAATTTCTTTGGATACTAGATATTGCCAAGACATGAAAGTTATCGGCCCGATAAACTTTAAACCGGTCCTTAGTTAAATTTCATGAATTTCTTCGTAACTTTTACTACAATTTTTCATTTTTGTTTATAAAAAACACTTTAAAAAAATAAACAAAAATTATAGAATACGTATACTGAAAATGACAATTCAAACATCAAATAAATTTTTAATATATCTAAGTATCATGGCAACCTTTAAGGATA